GGGCTGTGGGGGGAGGGGCTGGGTGTCTGTGTGGGGGCGGAGCTGGGGGATGTCTGGGGGGCCGTGTCAGGCATGTGTAACCCCCTCGTCCCCCCGCAGCTGAAGGACCTGGCCGATCGTTACATCAGCCACTACGAAGTCCAGGGCCAGAGACTTCTGCTCTACTTCGAGACGGTGAGAGGGGGCGGGGAGGGGTATGGGGGGCTGAGTGGTGATGGGGGACAGGAGGGAGGGGCCCCCTGGGGTGCTGCGGTTGCAGTGGGGGGAGTTGGGGGGCTGAGTGGTGATGGGGGACAGGAGGGAGGGGCCCTCTGGGGTGCTGCGGTTGCAGTGGGGGGAGTTGGGGGGCTGAGCGGTGATGGGGGACAGGAGGGAGGGGCCCCCTGGGGTGCTGCGGTTGCAGTGGGGGGCTTGGGGGGCTGAGCGGTGATGGGGGACAGGAGGGAGGGGCCCCCCAGGGTGCAGCGGTTGCAGTGAGGGGGTCTCTCCCGGTGTCTGACCCCCGTCCCGCCCCCCAGGTCCCCCAGGAGCGGGACTGTGTGGGGTTCCGGGCGGCCCAGACGGTGCCCGTGGGCCTGCTCCAGCCGGCCAGCGCCAGCCTCTACGACTTCTACGAGCCAGGTGGGGAGGTGGGGGGGCAGGATGGGGGGGCAGGGGGAGGAGTTGGGGGGCAGGATGCGGGAGTACTGTGGGGGGCAGGAGGGGTCACATGGGATACATGGGAGTGGGGTGGGGAAGGGGGCACATGGGGGGCAGTGGGGCTCCAGCCGCCCCCACTGGCCCCTCACCCCCTACCTCTCCCCCCAGCCCAGCAGTGCAGCATCTTCTACACGGCCCCGGCCCGGAGCAGGTTCGTCTCCGCCCTGTGCTCCAAGGAGGTCTGCCAGTGCGCCGAAGGTGAGACCCTGCCCGCCCGCCCCCCGGGAGGGAACCCAGGCATCCGGGCTCCCAGCCCCCCTGCTCTAATCCACTGGACCCCCTCCCCTCCCCGAGCCTGGAGAGAACCCAGGAGTCCTGGTTCCCAGACCCCCCTGCTCTACCCACTAGACCCCCCTCCACTCCCGAGCCGGGAGAGAACCCAGGAGTCCTGGCTCCTAGCCCCCCCTGCTCTACCACTGGACCCCCCTCCCCTCCCCTCCCCGGGCTGGGAGGGAACCCAGGGGTCCTGACCCATCTCCCCCGCAGGCGCCTGCCCGCAGCTGAGGCGGACCCTGAAGGACGAGATGACGGAGGCCAGTCGGACGGAGTTCGCCTGCTATAGCCCCCGGGTGCAGTATGGTACGGCCCCCCCGGCCCCGCCCCACGGTCCCCCATAGCCCCACAGACCTCCCACAGCCCTGCCCCATGGCACCCCCAACTTCACACCCCACAGCCCCGCCCCACCGGCCCCATGCCGCAGCCGGCAGGGAAGATGTGGGTTGGTTCGTCGTAGAAACTCCTCTGTTAACGCCAAGTGCAGGGAGCGGCAGCGGTGTGGGTCAGCCCCACAGACCTGGCTCGACCCCCAAGTCCCCAGCAGCCCCTCCTTCCCCCCACCTCGGGCTCAGCCCGGCCTCCTGCCCCGGCCTTTGGCCAAGCTCCCGGGAAAGTCTGGGGTTGACTGCCCCCAGCCCATAGGAAACTCCCTTCCCCCACCCTGTGAAACATGCAGCATGTGGGGAAACTGAGGCACACACCATGTTCGTGCAAAATACTATGAAAAATTCCCACTTGGTCTCAGCGCCCCCTCACCCCACAGACCCTGACCCACAGCCCCCCACAACCCTCCAAGCAGCCCCAGGGCGCAATACGGGATGGGGGAGGGGCTGTGTGACCCCTCCCCGCACTGACCCCCACCCCTTCCCCCAGCGTACGAGGTTCGGGTCCAGCGGCTGGAGGAGCTGAGCGGCTTCCGGTCCTACGAGGCCGAGATCCTGGAGCCCCTGCAGTTCAGTGAGTGGGGGGGGGGATTGTGGGGGAAGGGGAGGGGGATGAGCTGGGGGGAGGGGGAGTGAGTTGGGGGAGTGGGGATTGTGGGGGGAGGGGGAGTGAGCTGGAGGGAGTGGGGGATGAGCTGGGGGGAGGGGCGGGGAAGGGGTTGGGGTGCCCAGGGAAGAAGGGAGCAGGGCAACCCCCCATCTAACCTCCCCCCCCCCAGCGGAGGACGTGGGGCTGCAGGCTGGGCAGAGCCGCTTGTTCCTGGTCCGGGGCTCGTGCCGGATCCGCCTGGGGCCGGGCAGACGCTACCTCCTGATGGGGCAGGACGGGGACACCCGGGACCCCCAGGGCCGGTGAGTGCGGGGGGTGGGGGGGAGTGGGGGGGACGTATCGGAGGCAGAGAGGGCGGAAGGGCGGGGGGCAGAGAGGGCTCCATGGGGGCAGTGGGGCAGGGGGCCGAGAGGGGTGGGGGTCGCCCAGGCCCCCGCTGAGCCCCACTGCCCCCCCAGCCGCCGGTACCTGCTGGACGCGGCCGCCTGGATCGAGGAGCTGCCCGACCCGAAGCAGTGTCAGGCCACGGCCAACCGGAACCGCTGCGCCCAGCTGCGGGCCTTCGCCGAGGGCTACGGGCAGCACGGCTGCAAGGTCTGAGCGCCCCGCTCCGCCCGCCCCGGGACCGCCTGGATCCCCCCGGGACCGCCCCCGCCCGCCTGGATCCCCCCGGGACCGCCTGGATCCCCCCCGGGACTGCCCCTGCCCGCCTGGATCCGCCCCGGGGCCGCCTGGATCCGCCCCAGGACCGCCCCCACCCACCTGGATCCGCCCCCGCCCACCTGGATCCCCCCGGGACCGCCTGGATCCCCCCCGGGACCGCCTGGATCCCCCCCGGGACTGCCCCTGCCCGCCTGGATCCGCCCCGGGGCCGCCTGGATCCGTCCCAGGACCGCCCCCGCCCGCCTGGATCCGCCCCCGCCCGCCTGGATCCCCCCTGGATCTGCCCCCGCCCGCCTGGATCTGCCCGCCTGGATCCCCCCCGGGACTGCCCCCGCCCGCCTGGATCTGTCCCGCCCGCCTGGATCCCCCCGGGACCGCCTCCGCCCGCCTGGAACCGTCCTTGGGACTGCCCCCAGAACCACCCCTGCCCACCTGGAACTGCCCCCGGAACTGCCCCACGCCTGGAACGACCCCCAGATTAGAACCGGGCCCCCAACCTGCCTGGAACTGCCCCCAACCCAGATCAGAACAGCCCCCCCAGCCCAGATTGGAGCTGCCAACCTCCTCCCCCAGCCTGGCTCGGGTCAGAACCGCTGGCCCAGCCGGACCGGGACCCCCCATTCCTGGAGCTGATTGGAATAAAACATGTTTCCCCCTGACTGCCGTGTTGGCTCCATTGGGGGGTGAACCCAGTACCCCCTGCCCTGCCCCCCATCACTGACAGTACCCCCTGTTCCCCCCACCCCTGCCCCCCGGCACCCCTTGGCCACCCCCCTGTCCCCCTCTGTTCCCCCCACCTGCTGTTTCCTCAGCCCCCCCAATTGACTCCCATTCGGTGTCTGGCTCCCCGTTTATTCCAGCAGGGGGCTGAGGGGGTTGGGGCGGGGGCCCCCTGCCCAGTCTGTGAGCATCACTTCGGGGTGGATCCTGCAACAGAGCAGGGGACAGGGGACTTCAGGCACCTGGACGCCTGGGTTCGGTAAAGCTCCTTCCCCTCCCCCGACCCTGCTCCAGATTTGGGGGGACTTCCCCGACGCCTGGGGCCTGGGGCCAGTGACATCTCTCCCCTGGACACGTGGGTCCTCTCCACTTCTCCCCCTCCCCTCCCCCCCTCGGATACCTGGGTCCTTTCTGCGGCGGGTGAGCCCCACCCCGACCCCCAGGGCTCCGAGCAGCGAGAGGTTCAGAGCCAGCCAGATGCAGAGAGCCGGGACCCAGCTGTTTGGGGTGGCGACACCTTCAGGTGGGCAGGAGCAGAGACCTGGGGGGGGGCAGGAGAGGTGTCAGCCCCCCAGGAGATAGGAAAGACCCCCCACATCCAATGGGGCCCCGGGCGCCTGGGTTCTATAATAATCAGACGATCAAATAGGAGCCCAAAGCCCAGGCTCGACAAAGCCCTCACCCTCCTCAAGTGGCCCCCATGGGGGAGGGGAGTGTCCCGGACGCCTGAGTTCGCTCACCTTGGACCTGAGACACAAGCAGGGAAACCAGGGTCCATCCAGCCCATTTCATCCTCGGGAGAGACCCCCCCAGGCCCCGCCCCCCATGGTGAGGTCATTGCTAGGCAGCATTGTGAGGTCATCAGGATGATGTCACTGCAAGCGCCGGCTCCTCACTCATGACCCGCAACCCCCCGCCAGCCCTGCCCTGGGCTCCCCCCAGCCCTGCCAGTGCCCCTCACTCCCGACCCGCAGCCCCCTGCCCGCCCAACCCTGGGCTCCCCCCACTCTGCCGGTGCCCGTCACTCCCGACCCACAGCCCCCTGCCCGCCCAACCCTGGGCTCCCCCCACTCTGCCGGTGCCCCTCACTCCCGACCCACAGCCCCTGCTACCCCGCCCTGGGCTTCCCCCAGTCCTGCCAGTGCCCCTCACTCCCGACCCACAGCCCCCTGCCAGCCCAACCCTGGGCTCCCCCCACTCTGCCGGTGCCCCTCACTCCCGACCCGCAGCTCCTGCCAGCCCAGCCCTGGGCTCCTCCTCCCCCCTCCCCAATCTCAGGGGAGTGTGTGTTTGTGGCCCCCAGGCACCTGGGTTCTCTAGAAGCTTGTGCTGTGGGTGGTTGCGGGGTGTTGTGTGTTGTACGGGGGGGTCTGTGTGTGTGTGTGTGGGGGGCATCGTAGCTGTGGGTGCGGGACGTGGTGCCGGGTGCTTGGCATGGCCTGTGCGTCAGGGGTGGGTAGATGGTGGCAGATGCCGGGCCATGGGGTGATGGGCCGTGGAGTGTGTGGGGTGCGGCGCCGTGGGGCCTGGGGGGTGTGAGGTGTGTGGGGTGCCGGGCTGTGGCGCTATGGGGCCTGGGGGGTGTCCAGTCGGGTGTGGGGCGGATCCTGGCTCTGGTGCGCGGGCCCTGCCCAGCTCCATGTGACCCAAAGGGAAAGTGAAAGGACCCAGCGAGGCCGACGGAGTCACAGGAAGACGTGGGACAAGCAAGGCCCGGCCTCCCAGTGACCCCCAGAGACCCCCAGTCCCAGCGCCTGCCCCCCACATGGACAGAGACAAGCCCCCCCCGGAGCCACACGGGGGCTTCGCCTTCGAGAACTGCCTGAGGTGAGACACCCCCTCCCCTTGCAGAGACAGACAGGCCCCCCACATCCTGCCCCCGGACACCTGGGTCCCTCCTCAGACCACCCCCCGGCCCTGCATCCTCACAGGGCTCGACCCCCAGAGCCTCAACCAGCAACACCCTGAGACTGGAGAGCAAAAGTGAAACACAAAATCTGCCCCCCATCCCGCAGCTCTGCCGGGCCAGCCCTGCCCCCCAAGCTCTGCCGGTGCCCCTCACTCCCGACTTGCAGCCCCCTGCCAGCCCAGCCCTGGGCCCCCCCAGCTCTGCCGGTGCCCCTCACTCCCGACCTGCAGCACCCCGCTAGCCCAGCCCTGCCCCCAAGCTCTGCCGGTGCCCCTCACTCCCGACCTGCAGCACCCCGCTAGCCCAGCCCTGCCCCCCGCAGCTCTGCCGGTGCCCCTCACTCCCGACCCGCAGCCCCCTGCCAGCCCAGCCCTGGGCCCCCCCAGCTCTGCCGGTGCCCCTCACTCCCGACCCGCAGCCCCCTGCTAGCCCGGCCCTGCCCCCCGAGTTGGTTGTGGTGGAACGATGCCCCCGGGGAAGGGCCGATGGGAGCGGAGGATGGGCTGGGATTGCCCTGAGGGGGGCATGTGCCTACCATGGGGTGGGTCACACCTGAGGCTGGCACCCCCCCGGCGGGGAAAGGCCCCATGTCCTATCCACCCCCACAGTGGTGCCTCCTTACCCCACCCAGGAATACGGCTCTGGCGAAGGCTGGGGGCCCCCAGGGTTTCCTGCCCCCCAAGGCCAGGAAAACAGGAACGACCATCGCTGGCCTCATCTACAAGGTGATGGGATGGGGGGGCGGCGGGGGCTAGGAAAGGGTGGGGGGTCTGTGCCAGGGGCAGGGGGGCTGGGATAGGGGGCTGGTTTCGGCACATGCCATGAGCTGGGGCTCCAGGATGGTGGCAGGAGGGGTTGTGGCCACGGAGCTGGGGGTGTGTGCAAAGGGGAGGTGTGGGGCTGGGACAGGTGGGGGAACTGGGGGGCTGTGTTGGGGGGGTCAGGTATGTGATATTGGGAGTCTGTCCCAGGTGGGGGTGAGGGGCTGGAAGCCTGTCCCAAGGGGAGGTCTGGAACCGGGGACAGTTGTGGGGCTGGCTATGGGTCGCTGACCTGCCCCACATCTCCCCACAGGAGGGGATAATTCTCGGGGCCGACACTCGCGCCACCGATGACATGGTTGTAGCTGACAAGAACTGTGAGAAAATCCATTACATCTCACCCAACATCTAGTGAGTGACCCCCGAGTACCCCCCCGATGCCCCTCACTCCCGACCCGCAGCCCCCTGCTCCCCCCAGCCCTGCCGGTGCCCCTCACTCCCGACCCGCAGCCCCCCCTGACCCCCCAGCCCTGCCGGTGCCCCTCACTCCCGACCCGCAGCCACCAGCCCCCCCAGCCCTGCCGGTGCCCCTCACTCCCAACCCGCACCCCCTGCCAGCCCAGCCCTGCCGGTGCCCCTCACTCCCGACCCGCAGCCCCCTGACCCCCCAGCCCTGCCGGTGCCCCTCACTCCCGACCCGCATCCCCCTGACCCCCCAGCCCTGCCGGTGCCCCTCACTCCCGACCCGCAGCCCCCTGACCCCCCAGCCCTGCCGGTGCCCCTCACTCCCGACCCGCAGCCACCAGCCCCCCCAGCCCTGCCAGTGCCCCTCACTCCCAACCCGCAGCCCCCTGACCCCCCAGCCCTGCCGGTGCCCCTCACTCCCGACCCGCAGCCCCTGCCAGCCCAGCCCTGCCCCCCCAGCCCTGCCGGTGCCCCTCACTCCCGACCCGCAGCCCCTGCCAGCCCAGCCCTGCCCCCCCAGCCCTGCCGGTGCCCCTCACTCCCGACCCGCAGCCCCCTGACCCCCCCAGCCCTGCCGGTGCCCCTCACTCCCGACCCGCAGCCACCAGCCCCCCCAGCCCTGCCGGTGCCCCTCACTCCCGACCCGCAGCCCCCTGCCAGCCCAGCCCTGCCCCCCCAGCCCTGCCGGTGCCCCTCACTCCCGACCCGCAGCCCCCTGACCCCCCAGCCCTGCCGGTGCCCCTCACTCCCGACCTGCAGCCCCCCCCGAGCCCTGCCGGTGCCCCTCACTCCCGACTCGCAGCCCCCTGACCCCCCAGCCCTGCCGGTGCCCCCTCACTCCCGACCCGCAGCCACCAGCCCCCCAGCCCTGCCGGTGCCCCTCACTCCCGACCCGCAGCCCCCTGCCAGCCCAGCCCTGCCCCCCCAGCCCTGCCGGTGCCCCTCACTCCCGACCCGCATCCCCCTGACTCCCCAGCCCTGCCGGTGCCCCTCACTCCCGACCCGCAGCCCCCTGACCCCCCAGCCCTGCCGGTGCCCCTCACTCCCGACCCGCAGCCCCCCCGAGCCCTGCCGGTGCCCCTCACTCCCGACCCGCAGCCCCCTGCCCCCCCAGCCCTGCCGGTGCCCCTCACTCCCGACCCGCAGCCCCTGCCAGCCCAGCCCTGCCCCCCCAGCCCTGCCGGTGCCCCTCACTCCCGACCCGCAGCCCCCTGACCCCCCAGCCCTGCCAGTGCCCCTCACTCCCGACCCGCAGCCACCAGCCCCCCCAACCCTGCCGGTGCCCCTCACTCCCGACCCGCAGCCCCTGCCAGCCCAGCCCTGCCCCCCCAGCCCTGCCGGTGCCCCTCACTCCCGACCCGCAGCCACCAGCCCCCCCAGCCCTGCCGGTGCCCCTCACTCCCGACCCGCAGCCCCCTGACCCCCCAGCCCTGCCGGTGCCCCTCACTCCCGACCCGCAGCCCCCCTGACCCCCCAGCCCTGCCGGTGCCCCTCACTCCCGACCCGCAGCCCCCTGACCCCCCAGCCCTGCCGGTGCCCCTCACTCCCGACCCGCAGCCCCCCCCTGACCCCCCCAGCCCTGCCGGTGCCCCTCACTCCCGACCCGCAGCCCCCCTGACCCCCCAGCCCTGCCGGTGCCCCTCACTCCCGCCCCGCAGCCCCCCTGACCCCCCAGCCCTGCCGGTGCCCCTCACTCCCGACCCGCAGCCCCCTGACCCCCCAGCCCTGCCGGTGCCCCTCACTCCCGACCCGCAGCCACCAGCCCCCCCAGCCCTGCCGGTGCCCCTCACTCCCGACCCGCAGCCACCAGCCCCCCCAGCCCTGCCGGTGCCCCTCACTCCCGCCCCGCAGCGCCCCCCTGACCCCCCAGCCCTGCCGGTGCCCCTCACTCCCGACCCGCAGCCACCAGCCCCCCAGCCCTGCCGGTGCCCCTCACTCCCGACCCGCAGCCCCCTGACCCCCCCAGCCCTGCCGGTGCCCCTCACTCCCGCCCCGCCCCCTGTCTCTCTCCCCCAGTTGCTGTGGGGCGGGGGTGGCGGCTGACGCCGAGGTGACGACCCAGATGCTTTCGTCCAACATGGAGCTGCACTCGCTGGCCACCGGTCGCCCGCCCCGGGTGGCCACCGCCTGCCGCTTCCTCAAGCAGATGCTGTTCCGGTGAGGGGCGGGGCATCGCCGCGTGACATCACGGCGTGACATCAGCGCATGGGGCGGGGCATCGCGGTGTGACATCACGGCATGGGGCGGGGCATCGCGACACGGGGCGTGACATCACGACGTGACATCAGCGCATGGGGCAGGGCAGCACCGCGTGACATCACGGCACGGGGCGGGGCATCGCAGCGTGACATCATGGCACAGGGCGGGGCATCGTGACATAAGTCAGCGGGGGCTAGGGCCAGTGTGGCTGTGACCTCACAGGCTCAGGTGTGATGTCACTGGGGTGGGGGTGATGTCACAGGCTCCGAGAGTGTCTCCTCCCCACCCCAGGTACCAGGGTCACATCGGGGCGTCGCTGATCCTGGGGGGCGTCGACTCCACCGGGCCCCACCTGTACAGCGTCCACCCCCACGGCTCCACCAGCAAACTGCCCTTCACCTCCATGGGTGAGCGGGGGGGCTGGGTGTGGGATGGGCTCTTTGGAGGGAGGGGCAGGTGTCTGTGGGGGGAGGACCGGGGAGGGGCTGCGGATGTCTGGGGGGGGAAGTCTATGGGGCTGGCTCTGACCCCTCTCCCTGCCCGCCAGGCTCTGGGGCCGCGGCGGCCATTGCGGTTCTTGAGGATCGGTTCCAGCCAGACATGGAGGTGAGGGGGGCCTCAGGGACCCAGGTGTCCGGGCTGGGTGGGTGGGTGTGGGGCGGGGCCAGGACTCAGACATCTGGGCAGAGGATGTGGAGGCGGGGTGGGGCGGGGCAAGGACCCCGGTGTCCGGGTGGGGAATGTGGGGGTGGGGACCCAGGTGTCTGGGCGGGGTGTGTGGGGGTGGAGCAAGGACCCAGGCATCTGGGAGGGGTGCGTGGGGCGAGGCTCCAGGCGGGGGATGTGGGGGCAGGGACCCAGGTGTCCGGGTGGGGTGTGTGGGAGTGGAGTGAGGACCCAGGTGTCCAGGCAAGGTGTGTGGGGGCGGGGCAAGGACCCAGGTGTCCGGGCGGGGTGTGTGGGGGCGGGGCGAGGACCCAGGTGTCCAGGCAAGGTGTGTGGGGGCGGGGCAAGGACCCAGGTGTCCGGGCGGGGTGTGTGGGGGCGGGGCGAGGACCCAGGTGTCCGGGCGGGGTGTGTGGGGGCGGGGCGAGGACCCAGGTGTCCGGGCGGGGTGTGTGGGAGTGGAGTGAGGACCCAGGTGTCCAGGCGGGGTGTGTGGGGCGAGGCTCCGGGCGGGGACCCAGGCATCCGGGCCGGCGGGCTCACCCCTCTCTCCCCCCAGCTGGCGGAGGCCCAGGAGCTCCTGGCCGACGCCATCACGGCCGGGGTGCTGGGTGACCTGGGCTCGGGGAGCAACGTGGATCTGTGTGTCCTCACCCGGGGGGGGGCCCAGATCCTGCGCCCCTTCCGCACCCCCATCGCCCGCGGGCAGAGGTGAGAACCCCCGGGGGCACCACGTGGCGGGGACCCAGGAGTCCGGGGCAGAGGGGTCGGGGACGGACGGGGCGGGGACCCAGGAGTCTGGGGTGGGGGGAAGTGGGGGGCTGGGGCGGGGACCCAGGAGTCCGGGGCAGGGGGGGGGGGGGTCTGGGGCGGACGGGGCGGGGACCCAGGAGTCCGGGGCAGAGGGGGGGGTGTTGGGGACGGAGGGGGCGGGGACCCAGGAGTCCGGGGCAGGGGGGGGGGTCTGGGGCGGACGGGGCGGGGACCCAGGGGTCCGGGGCAGAGGGGGGGCGTTGGGGACGGAGGGGGCGGGGACCCAGGAGTCCGGGGCGGGGGGGACGTGGGGGCCGGGGCGGGGACCCAGGGGTCCGGGGCGGGGGGGACGTGGGGGCCGGGGCGGGGACCCAGGGGTCCGGGGCAGAGGGCGGGGGCGGGGCCCCAGGAGTCCGGGGCGGGGGGGACGGGGCGGGGCCCCAGGAGTCCGGGGCGGGGGGGACGTGGGGGCCGGGCCGGGCGCTGGCTGACTCCCCCCCCCGCAGGCAGGGCCGGTACCGGTACCGGGCCGGCACCTCGGCGGTGCTGAGCGAAGCCGTCGCCCCCCTGCGGCTCCAGCTGCTGGACGAGACGGTGACCGGGATGGACGTCGACTGAGCGCGGCCGGCGCGGGGGGGCCCCGAGATACCGCCCCCCCCGCGGAGACACCGACCCCCCCCGCGGAGACACCGACCCCCCCGCGGGCACCGCCCCCCCCCCCCGCGGAGACACCTCCCCCCCGGCACCGCCCCCCCCCGCGGAGACACCGACCCCCCCGCGGGCACCGCCCCCCCCCCGCGGAGACACCGCCCCCCCCCCCGGCACCGCCCCCCCGCCGAGATCCCGACCCCCCCCGCGGGCACCGCCCCCCCCCGCGGAGACACCGCCCCCCCCCCGCGGAGACACCGCCCCCCCCGGCACCGCCCCCCCGCCGAGATCCCGACCCCCCCCCCGGGCACCGCCCCCCCCGCGGAGACACCGACCCCCCGGCACCGCCCCCCCCCCGCGGAGACACCAACCCCCCCCGGCACCGCCCCCCCCGCGGAGACACCGACCCCCCCGGCACCGCCCCCCCCCCGCGGAGACACCGACCCCCCCGGCACCGCCCCCCCCGCCGAGATCCCGACCCCCCCGGCACCGCCCCCCCCGCCGAGATCCCGCCCCCCCCACCGGAGGCACCGCCCCCCCCAATAAAGCGGCTCAGCTCAGCGGGTCTCTGTGCTCTGATTGGCGCGCGGTGACCCCTGACCCCGAGGGGCGGGGCTGTGGGGGCGGGGCGCGGGCCGGCGCAGGGCGGGCCGGGCGGGCACGTGACGCGCCGGGGGGGAGGGAGACAGGAGTGGGCGGGGCCCGGTCAGCCCGGGGGGCGGGGCAAGGCCCGGCTCGCGCCCAACGAACGGGGTGTGTGACGTCGCCGCGTCGCTGACTCCGCCCCAACGCCCGGCTCGCGACAGACCCCGCCCCCCCGCACGCCCGCCGCGAACTACGTCAGCGCTCGGGGCGGGGCTGCGCGGGGGCGGGGCGGGGCGGGCGCGAGGCGGATCGCCCCGCCCCGCCCGCCCCGCGGGCAGAGGGACCATAGAGGCGGGTCCGCCGGCGGCGCAGAGCGGCCGCGCTCGCGAGTTTCCGGGGAGGGCGGGGCCGGAGTTCGGGACGCGCCGGAAGTGACGAGAGGGGGCGGGGCCCGCGGGAGGTTTGAATCCCAGAGACGCGGAGCCGCCGCCGCCGCCGCCAGGTGAGACGTGGGGAGTCGCCTACGTCACAGCCGCCGCGGTAACGTCAGCGCCGGGGGAGGGGGGTGTGAGCGCGGGCTGGTGACGTCACCACCGAGGCGGGACGACCCGGGGTGCTCGGTCGGGCCGCTGTGACGTCATCGGCGGGGGAGGTCGTGACGTCATCGCTGCCGCGCTGGGGGCCCGGACTCCTGGGTTCCCCGCTCACCCGCCCCCCCGTGTCTCTTCCCCCAGGCCGGACCCGCCATGCAGCGCGGCTCCCCCCCGCGGCCCGGCTCCCGCCGCAAGGCCGCCGCCCCCCCGCGCCGCTCCCCCCGCCGGCCCGAGCCGCCCCCCCCGCGCCGCCGCCGCCCGCCCGGTAAGTGCCGGGGCCACGTCACTCGGCCCCCCCGCCGGTCCCCCCCCCGGACCATCCCCGCCGGGATCCCCCCCGGAGCCTGCCCCCCCCCCCAGGAACCTTCCCCGCCCCCCCCCGCCGGGATCCCCCCCCGGAGCCTTCCCCGCCGGGCCCCCTCCGCCGGGATCCCCCCGAGCCTGCCCCCCCCAGGAACCTTCCCCGCCCGCTCCCCCCTGCCGGGATCCCCCCGGAGCCTGCCCCCCCCCCAGGAACCTTCCCCGCCCCCCCCTCCGGGATCCCCCCCGGAGCCTTCCCCGCCGGGCCCCCTCCGCCGGGATCCCCCCCGGAGCCTGCCCCCCCCAGGAACCTTCCCCGCCCGCTCCCCCCTGCCGGGATCCCCCCCCGAGCCTGCCCCCCCCCAGGAACCTTCCCCGCCCCCCCACGCCGGGATCCCCCCCCGGAGCCTTCCCCGCCGGGCCCCCTCCGCCGGTCCCCCCCCCGGAGCCTTCCCCCCCCCCCCCCCGAACCTTCCCCCCGGACCATCCCCGCCCGCCCCCCTGCCGGGATCCCCCCCCGAACCTTCCCTGCCCCCCCTTCCGCCGGGATCTCCCCGCCGCCGGGTCCTCGGGCCCCTCGGGCCTCCCCTGCCCCCCGGGCCGGCGCCGGCCCCAACCCCCCTAACCCCGTTGCTCCCCAGGGCTGCGGCGCCGGTACCGGCCCGGGCAGCGGGCGCTGCTGGAGATCCGCAAATTCCAGAAGAGCACGAACCTGCTGATCAGCAAACTGCCCTTCTCCCGCGTGGTGAGCCCCCCCCCGGAACCCCCCTCTGCTGCCCCCGGGAACCCCCCGCCCCCTTTTCCCGCATGGTGAGCCCCCCCGGGAACCCCCCGCCTCCTTTTCCCGCATGGTGAGCCCCCCCGGGATTCCCCCTGCCCCCAGCCCCCCCCCGCCCCCTGGGACCCCCCTGCTCCCTTCTTTCGCGTGGTGAGCTGCCCCGGGCCCCCTCCGGACCCCCTTCTGCCCCCTGAGACCCTCCTGCCCCCTTCTCCCGTGTGGTGAGCCCCGCCGGGCCCCCCTCTGCCCCACAGGCCTCGCACCCCCCCCCCCCCATCCGCCCCATGGACTGCACCAGCCGGTCTCACCCGCTGCCGGTCCCCCCAGGTGCGGGAGATCTGCCTGATGTACACCCGGGGCGTGGACTTTCGCTGGCAGGCCATGGCCCTGCTGGCCCTGCAGGAGGTGAGGGGCTGGGGGGGGCAGGGGGGGTCGAAATGGGCTGGAGAAGGAGGGTCCCGGGGGTAGGGGGCCTCGGGGTCCATAGGGCTGCCCCAGCAGTTGGGGGGCGGAGTGTTCTGGGGGGGGCGTGCTTTGGGCTGTGCCGGAGGGGACGGATTCGGGGGCTGTCGGAGATCTCTCGAGGGGTCTCTGGGGCTGTTTGGGGGGCTGTAAGGGATCCCTCAGGGGGGCTGTTCGGGGGGCTGTGGGGGCTCCCTCAGAGGTGCTGTGGGGGCTCCCCCTGACCTCCCCCCCCCACCCCCAGGCAGCGGAGGCGTTCCTGGTGCGGCTGCTGGAGGACTCGTATCTCTGCTCCATCCACGCCAAGCGCGTCACCCTCTTCCCCAAGGACATCCAGCTGGCCCGGCGCATCCGCGGCATCCAGGAGGGCCTGGGCTGAGGGGGGCCCCTGAGTCTCCCTGGGCCCCCCGGGGCCCCACTGCAGCCCCCAGGACTTGGGCTGAGGGGGGCTGGACCCGCCCTGCGACCCCCAGCGCATCGGTGGTGTCCACAACAGGCTGGGCGGAGCAGGAACCAGACCTGGAATCCTCCCTGGGGCCCCAACCTGTCCCTGAGCCCTCCCCCGCAGCCTCCATCTCACCCCAATCCTCCAGGGAGGTTTTATCTGAGCCCCCCTTCCCTTGCTCTTTTTAATCCCCTGATCTCCCCCACAGGGTCCCCCCACTCTGAGCCTGGGGGCAGGGCACCCCAGGAGTCCTGGGCCTACCAGCTCCGGGAGGTGGGGGGCTGCACAGGGTTTTAACCTCTGATATTAACTTCTCTCCTGCCCCAGAGCCGACCCCCCCCAACCCCCCGGTGGAGAGAGGGAGGCACAGCGAAGGGGGTGGGGGGTGTCTCACCCCCAGTGGGGCCCCTCTGACTAGCACTTACCCACCAGCCAGGCGCTGTCCCAGGGCCCCAGTACGGGGGGGGAGCCCCCTGGATCGGGGGGGGCCAGGCCGGTGCCTTGTGTGTATTGTACAGAGCGGCTGCTGTGATGTCAATAAAGTTGGTTTGAACTTGTCCCGGACTCCCAGCCCCCGCCCCTGTCTCTCAGCTCCCTGGGGCGACTTCTCGGGGGGGCTACTCTCTCTCGGGGGTTAAACCATGGGCCCTGCCACCTCCTGGGACCCCACCTCTCCGACTCCAGCTGCCTGGCTCTGTGGTGGGCCCCTCGGGGAGTCCCCTTGCTCCCCCATTCCCAGAGGGAGCAACCCCCTTGTCACGGAGGGTGGGGGAGTCTGGGCCCTGCACCCCTCTTCCTGGGGTTCCCTGGGCCTCTCAGCCAGCCAGTAAGTTCCACCACCCAGCCCCAAACTGAGCCCCAGCCCCTGGGGCTCCGGCCTCTCCTTGTCCCCTGTCCAGCGCCCCCTCCTTCCAGCCGTGCCCCCATATCCCCTCCCCCAACAGCCCCTCCTCCGCCCCTTGTCTTCCCCTGGCAAACAGGTTACCTGGGCCCCCTCTCTCCTGCCGGTTGTTCCCCCCCGGCTCCCCAGAGGGGCTGGGCCTCTGGGTCCCAGCTGCAGGGCAAGGTCACGCCTGGCCCTCTGCACCAACAAGCCCCCTTCCCCTACCTCCTCACATGCAGCACTGAAGGGAAACTGAGGCACGCACTGTGCTTATGCAAAACACTAAGAAAATCCCCCACTTTGTCACAATCATAAGAACATGAGAACGGTCACACGGGGTCAGACCAAAGGCCCATCCAGCCCTGTGTCCTGTCTGCCGACAGTGGCCACTGTCAGGTGCCCCAGAGGGAATGAACAGAACAGGGCAGTTCTCGAGGGATCCATCCCCGGTCGGCCAATTCTCAGCTTCTGGCAAACAGAGGCCAGGGACACCATCTCTGCCCATTCTGGCTAATAGCCATCCATAGACCCGTCCTCCATGAACTGATCTAGTTCTTTTTTGAACCATGTTATAGTCTTGGCCTTCACAACATCCTCTGGCAAGGAGTTCCACAGGTTGACTGTGCGTTCTGTGAAGAAATGCTTCCTTTTGTTTGTTTTAAACCTGCTGCCGATTCATTTCATTGGGTGACCCCTGGTTCCTGTGTTATGAGAGGGAGTCCATAAGACTTCCTTATCTACTTTCTCCACACCCGTCATGACTGTATAGACCGCAATCCTGTCCCCCCTTAGGTGTCTCTCTTCCAACTGAAAAGTCCCATTAATTAAAGAGTCTTATCAACCCCTCCTCATAGGGCGGCTGGTCCATCCCCCTAATCATTGTTGTTGCCCTTTCGTGGAACGTTTTCCAATTCCAATAGATCTTTTCGGAGATGGGGCGACCAGATCTGCGCGCAGTGTTCAAGGTGTGGGCGTCCCATGGATTTCTAGAGAGGCAGCGGGATATTTTCTGTCCTATTATCTGTCCCTTTCCCAGTGGTTCCCAGCTTTGTGTTCGGGGTAGTGGCTGCCGCTGCACGTTGAGTGGATGATTTCCGAGAACTCTCCACGGTGACTCCAAGCTCGCTCTTGAGGGGTAACGGCTAATTCGGACCCCGTCATTTGATGTGTCGAGTTGGGATGATGATTTCCAGCTTGCGTCACTTTGCATTTAGCAACGTGGAAAGTCACCTGCCCGTCTGCTGCCCCGTCACCGGGGTTTGGGGGACCCCGTTGCAGCTCTTCGCAGTCCCCTGGCACGGAACTATCCGGAGTAGTTTCGTATCCTCTGTAAATTTTGCCACCTCGCTGTTTCCCCCTTTTTGCTGTATTGGGGTGGGGTGGGTAGGAGGGGGGTGGGGAGCCTGCTCAGGGAGGGGGCAGCAGCTGGGGGAGGGGATCCTGGAACCCATCCCCCCACCCCTGTCCCTGCCATTTTGCCTCTGGGCCTCTTTGTCTCCCAATTTAAACAAGTATTTTGAAACCCCCTGGGTGTGTGTGTCCATGACCCCCCCCGCCCCATCACCTGCTGATGGATGGGACCCCCCCCCGCTGTTTCCATGGCGACCGGGGTCCCCCAGGGTCAAGGGTGGGGAGTGACGCGCTGGGATGATTTATGCTGACAGTGCCTCAAGGTTGGGACTGGGCTTCCCGGGCTGGTTACAGGGAGCCCCCTTGCCTGGTGCTGGGGCGCGGCTGGCTCTGGGGTGGGGCTGGGGGCTGGTTACACGGAGCCCCCTTGCCTGGCGCTGGGGCGCGGCTGGCTCTGGGGTGGGGCTGGGGGCTGGTTACACGGAGCCCCCTCCCCCGGTGTTGGGATGCGACTGGCTCTGGGGTGGGGCAGGGGGCTGCTGAATGGTGATATTGAACAGGTGTTGATGGGGTGTGAAGAGGGACCCCAGGCAAAGCCCCGTGCCGGGGGGTCATTTATTTAATCCTGTCCTGCCCCCCAATACCCACCCCCCAAAAAAAATTGCTTCTTGCATTTTTATCCTTCCGATCCTGCTCGAGCGAGCCCCCCCCAGCAGCTGCTCAGCTGTGGGCAGGGAACGGGTCCTAGGCGTGAGTGGATCCAGAATAAACCACATCTTGCTCGTGCCATGTAAACGCCCCGGGACTCCGGTTTGAACCCCTGCCGTGCCCCGTCAGAGCGCAGTGAGCGGCTGCCAATCGGTCACCAACAAACCAGCGAGAGATTTGGTAGGTTCCCAAAATTCCCAGAGGCTGGTTTCTGCCTATTCAATGCTCCCCGCAGCAAAGTGCCTGGGACCCACGCCTGGTATTATGGCAGTGGGACCCCCAGACCCCGGCCCACTGCAGGGCTCTGACCTCAAGTTAATGAAACTGAAGTTACCCAGAAGTCACTTCTGAGCCCCAGGGCTGGGCTAGCAGGGGGCTGCGGGTTGGGAGTGAGGGGCGCCAGCGGAGCGGAGGGCTGTGGGTCGGGAGGGAGGGGCACTGGGGGGGCTGCAGGTCGGGAGTGAGGGGTGGCGGCGGAGCGGGGGGCTGCAGGTCAGGAGTGAGGGGCACTGTGGGGGCTGTGCATTGGGAGTGAGAGGCGCCGTGGGGGCGGGGAGCTGGGGGTCGGGAGCGAGGGGGACCGGGGGGCGGGAGCGAGGGGGCCCTGCGTCACGCCTGTCTCTCCAAGGCCCCGTGACGACGGGCTCTGGGGCTTTATATCCCGTCCGCGCCCCAAGGCCCCAGCCATGCTGACGGCCGCCCTGCTCCTGCTGCTGGTGCTGCTGGCCCTGGCCGTGCTGGGGGGCAGGCGGGGGGCCTGCGGGGGGGGCGGCTTGAGCGCCCTGCCTGGCCCCTGGGCCCTGCCCCTGGTGGGGGGGCTGCCCCCCATGCTGCACCCCGAGCTGCCCCTGCACCTGCTGGAGCTCGCCCGGCGCTATGGGCCCGTCTACCGGCTCCGCTTCGGGGCCAAAGGTCAGCGGGGCTGGGGCCCCCCTGCCGGAACCCCCTGGGGCCCCCCTGTGCCCCGGCCCCTCCCCCACTGGGCCCCTCTTCCTTCCCCCCCCATGCGCCCTGGCCCCAAGCCCCTCCCCAGATGGACCCCTCCCCTGCAGGCCCCCTCTTTCCCCATGTGCCCAGGCCAGGCCCCCCCCCCGCCTCCTTCCTTCTCCCCATTGGGCCCCCCTTCCCCCATGTGTCCTGCCCAGGGGCCCCTCCCCCCATGGCCTCCCCCTTTTGCCCATGGGCCCTGACCGGGTGCCCCCAGCTTGTTCCCTCCCTGCTCTGACCTGGCCGGGGTCCCCCTGTTAACCCCAGCCTCCCCCCAGTTGTGCTAGAGATGGGGGGGGAAGGGTTAAAACCCCAGCTGACCCCCCCGGCACGTGTGCCCCCAGACGTGGTGGTGCTGAACAGCGTGGACTCCATCCGCCAGGCGCTGACCCAGAAATGGTCCGATTTCGCCGGGCGCCCCTCCAGCTTCGTTGGTAATGGGGGGCTGGGGACTGAGGGGGTTGAGATGGTGGCTGGGGCTGTTTGGGGGAGCTGTGGGGTGAGGGTGGGGGATGTGTTGCCAGAGGACTCTGGGGGGCTGTTCATGAAGCTATCTAGGGGGGATCAGCCCTTCTCCAGCTCCCGGAGCTCCGACTCCCCTGGGTCCTCCCATCAGTAGGGTCCAGAGTTAATACTGGGACGGGATGGGGGCAGGTCCCGGGGGCTGGGGGGGTCTCTCCCAGCCGGTCACTAACCCTCCCCTCCCCCCCGCAGCGGATCTCATCTCCCTGGGGGGCCACGATCTGTCCCTGGGTGACTTCACCCCCGGCTGGCGGCTGCAGCGCAAAGTGGCTCACTCGGCCCTGGCCCGCGCCCAGCGCCTCCAGCTGGACCCGGTGCTGGGGGCCCAGGCGGCCGCGCTCTGCCAGGTGAGGGCCCCCCGGGACCCCCTAACCCCAGGGAACTCCCACCCCCCTTCACCCCAGGGGCCCCCTCACCCCAGGGGCCCCCCGGGACCCCCTAACCCCAGGGAACTCCCACCCCCCCGTAGGGAACGTCTTCATCCCAGACACCCTGTCACGGAGTCCCTGGGCGATGCTCTGGAACTGCTCCCCATGAAGCCAGTCAGGACTCTGGGGCAGTCGCCTTTCTGTGAGCAGCCTGTCTTCAGGACACACAGCTCACCCGGCTTCCCCCTTCCTGGGTCTGACCTCGGAGCATTCAGCATCCTCTGCCCCTCCGTGCGCTTCCCACAGCGAGTCCGCTCAGGCGGGGCTCCTGGGGAAGCCAGAGGGTCCTGCCCCCCAACTCCGCAGTCAGACGTGACTCTCAGCCAGCCGGGGAAACAGAAGGTTTATTAGACGACAGGAACATGGTCTAAAACAGAGCTTGCAGGTGCAGAGAACGGGACCCCTCAGCTGGGTCCATTTTGGGGGGCAGTGAGCCAGACAACCACGTCTGCACTTCACTCCATGTCCCAGCCAGCCCCAAACTGAAACCCCCTCCAGCCCCTCCTCCTCTGGGCTTTGTTCCTTTCCCGGGCCAGGTGGTCACCTGATTCCTTTGTTCTCCAACCCTTTAGCTCTCACCTTGCAGGGGGGGAAGGGCCCAGGCCATCAGTTGCCAGGAAACAGGGTGTCGGCCATTCTCTGTGTCCAGACTCCTGCACACACCTGCCCTCTAGGGCTCTGCAATGATCATACCCCCTTACTCCACCCCCTAGATACTTAAGAACTGCCTAGGGGAAACTGAGGCACCCCCACACTATTCAGAGGAAACATTAAGAACAGTCCCACTTCGTCACACACCCCTCAGGGAACCCCTTCACCCAGGGCACCCCCCTGGGACTCCCCTAACCCCAGGGAGCTTCCACCCCCCATAGGGACCCTCTTCATCCCAGGGATCCCCCTTCACCCCAGGGACCACCCCTGGGACCTGCTTAACCCCAGGGAAATGCCACCTCCCATGGGGACCCCCCTTCACCCTTGGGAACCCCCACCCCTCCCCCTCCCGTGGGCACTCGCCCTAAGGAAACCCCCCAACAGGGACCCCCACGACATCTCACTTCCCGCCCATACTCCCCCCCGGCCCGGGCCGGGAACCCGGATCTGCCCTGCCCCCCTCCCCGGGGATCCGCCTTGGCCTGGACCCAGGGCCCCGGGGGGCGTTGGACCCCCTTTACCTCTCTCTGCCCCCCAGGTTTTCCGTAGCTATGGGGGGGCCGCTGTGGACGTGGCCCAAGATTTCTCGCTGCAGACGTGTCGTACCATCTGTGCTATGGCCTTCGGCCCCATGGTGAGCCCGGGGTCGGGACCCAGGTGTCCGGGACGGGGAGTGCCCCCCTAGGAGACCCAGGCGTCCGGGGAGGTGGGGGACAGAGCGCACCCCTAGGAGACCCAGGCGTCCGGGACAGCACCCCATTGGGACTCAGCTCCCAGGACCTGGAGGAGGGGAGGGGACCCCGTACCCCTGGGACCCAGGCGCCCGGGACGGTGGGGCAGGGAGCGCACCCCTAGGAGACCCAGGCGTCCGGGACAGCACCCCATTGGAACTCAGCTCCCAGGACCTGGAGGAGGGGAGGGGACCCCGTACCCCTGGGACCCAGGCGCCCGGGACGGTGGGGCAGGGAGCGCACCCCTAGGGGACCCAGGCGCCCGGGGAGGTGAGGGACGGAGCGCACCCCTAGGGGACCCAGGCATCCGGGACGGTGGGGCAGGGAGCGCACCCCTAGGGGACCCAGGTATCCGGGACAGCACCCCATTGGGACTCAGCTCCCAGGACCTGGAGGAGGGGAGGGGACCCCGTACCCCTGGGACCCAGGCATCCAGGGCGGCGGGGCAGGGAGCGCACCCCTAGGGGACCCAGGCATCCGGGGAGGCGGGGCAGGGCCCCCTGGCGCCCAGCCTGGGCCGGGGGGGATTTGGGGGGCTCCGTCCCGCTCCCTCCCCGCAGATGCCGGACGCCGCCGCCACCCGGGACATCCACGACTGCATCACGGAGCTGGTGGCGCTGTGGGGCCGGGGCGCCGTGCGGGCGCTGGACGCGCTGCCCCTGCTGAGGGTGAGGGGGCGGGGTGTGGGGGGCGCTGGGGGCCAGGAGGGGGCGCTGTGGGGAGAGGGGGTTACGCTGTGGGGGCCGGCGGAGGGGGGTGGCGCTGTGCGGAGCTGCAGGGGGCGCTGTGAGGAGGGGAGGGGGGTGTCGCTGTGGGGGCCGGCGGGGGGCGCTGTGGGGCGGAGAGAGGGGGCGCTGTCGGGGGCCAGCAGGGAGCGGGGGCGCTGTGAGGAGGGGAGGGGGTGTCGCTGCAGGGGGCGCTGTGGGGCGGGGAGGGGGGTGTCGCTGTGGGGGGCCAGCAGGGAGCGGGGGCGCTGTGAGGAGGGGAGGGGGGTGTCGCTGTGGGGGCGGGGGAGCTGCAGGGGGCGGGGAGGGGGGTGTCGCTGTCGGGGGCCAGCAGGGACCGGGGGCGCTGTGAGGAGGGGAGGGGGGTGTCGCTGCGGGGGGCGCTGTGGGGCGGGGAGGGGGGTGTCGCTGTGGGGGGCCAGCAGGGAGCGGGGGCGCTGTGAGGCGGGGACGGGGGCCGCTGTGGGGGCCCAGCAGGGGGCGCGGGAGTCTCAGTCTCGGGGTCCCCCCCAGGTGTTCCCCAGCGGGGCCCTGCGGCGGCTCCTGCGCCAGGTGCGGTTCCGAGACGCCTTCGTCCGGGCCCAGATCCAGCGGCACCAGGTGGGGGGGGCTGGGGGAGGGGAAACTTGGGGGAGAGACGCGGGGGCTGGAGGGGGGATCCCCGGGGATGAAACTGTCTGGGGGGCTGGGGGTTCTCCAGGATGAGGGGGTTTCCCTGGGGGGCGGGGTATGAGGTGGGGGTTGGGGGTCTCTGGGGAGGGGTGGGAGTCGGGGTGGTGTATGGGGTCGGGGTCTCTGGGGTACAGGGTGGAGGGTCCGCGGGGTGGGCTGGGGGTGTCTCTGGAGCGGGGGTGGAGGGTCCCCGGGGCGCGGTTTGGGGGGCGGGGTGCAGGGTCTCTGGGGTGGGGGGGAGGGTCCCTAGTGTGGGGTTTGGGGGGTCCCCATTCCCTTCCCTCACCCCCATGTCCCCCCAGGAGTCGCTGCGCCCCGAGTGCGCCCGGGACATGGTGGATCACATGCTGCAGCTGCTGGAGGAGCGGCGGGGGGCCGGGGGCGGGGGGGACCCCACGGCCGAGGGGGGGCTCACCCCGGAGCACGTTCACATGGCGCTCGTCGACCTCTTCATCGGGGGCACCGAGACCACGGCCGCCCTGCTCACCTGGGCTGTGGCCTTCCTCCTGCACCACCCCCAGGTGAGCCCCAAACCCCCCGTACCCTCAAACCCCCCCGTACCCCCTGATCCTCCACAGCCGCCCTGCTCACCTGGGCTGTGGCCTTCCTGCTGCACCACCCCCAGGTGAGCCCCAAACCTCTGTGTCTTGGGAGGCGTTCGTGGGGGTCTCTGTGGGTGACCTTGACCAAGTCCCATCTCTCCTTGCCTCAGTTTCCCCATTTGTACAGCAGGCAGGACGAGCCTCCCCCCCCGTAAAGCACTGGGTGACCCCTGATGGGGGCGGTCAGTGTCTATGGGGGGGTCAGTGTCCATGGGGTCCCCCCACAGGTCCAGGACGGGATCCACGCGGAGCTGCAGCGGGTGCTGGGCCCCGAGCGCCCCCCCAGCTATGGGGACCGGGACCGGCTGCCCCTGCTCAGCGCCACCATCTCCGAGACGCTGCGTTTGCGCCCCGTGGCGCCCCTCGCCCTGCCCCACAGAACCACGCGGGACACCAGGTACCCCTCCCCCGCCCTGCCCCACGGCCTGCCCCACAGCTCCATGTGGGACACCAAGTACCCCTCCCTTCCCCCGCCCCACAGCCCCTATCCCCGCCCTGCCCCACGGCTTCCCTGCCCCCATCCCCCGCCCTGCCCCACAGCACCACGTGGGACACCTGGTACCCCTCCCCCCCCCGCCCCTTGGCCTCCCTGCCCCCATCCCCCGCCCCCACAGCACCATGGGGGACACCAGGTACCCCTCCCACGCCCTGCCCCACAGCACCACGTGGACACCAGGCACCTGCTCCTTCTCCCATCTGACCCCCCCTTGTCTCTGCAGCCTCCTGGGCTTCACCATCCCCAAGGGAACCACCGTGATCCCCAACCTCTTCGCCGCCCACCACGACAAGGGCACCTGGAGCCGCCCCCTGGAGTTCAGGCCAGGTACGGCCCCCCCTTGCCCCCCAGCTTCCCCTGGGCCACTCCCCCACCTACGGGGCTGAACACCTGGGCCTCCGATTCTCATGGGGGGCCGGGGGCGGTGCCCGGACACCTGGGTCCCAGCTGATGGCTCTCTCCCACTCCCGCAGAGCGGTTCCTGGAGGCGGACGACCCCCGGCTGGCCCAGCGCAACCTGGTGCCCTTCAGCTGTGGGGCTCGGGCCTGCCTGGGGGAGACGCTGGCCCGGGCCGAGATCTTCGTCTTCCTCGGGCACGTCCTGCGCGAGTTCCGGCTGGAGCCGCCTGCGCCCGGCGCCCTCCCGTCCCTGCGGGGCCTGTACGGCACCGTGGTGCGCTGCCCGCCCTTCCGCGTCCGCGTCCTGCCCCGGGGGCCCCTCCCCGAGCCCCCAGTGACCCCATAGCCCCCCCCCGGCGCCCTCCCGTCCCTGCGGGGCCTGTACGGCACCGTGGTGCGCTGCCCGCCCTTCCGCGTCCGCGTCCTGCCCCGGGGGCCCCTCCCCGAGCCCCCAGTGACCCCATAGCCCCCCCCCCCGGCGCCCTCCCGTCCCTGCGGGGCCTGTACGGCACCGTGGTGCGCTGCCCGCCCTTCCGCGTCCGCGTCCTGCCCCGGGGGCCCCTCCCCGAGCCCCCAGTGACCCCATAGCCCCCCCCCCGGCGCCCTCCCGTCCCTGCGGGGCCTGTACGGCACCGTGGTGCGCTGCCCGCGCGTCCGCGTCCTGCCCCGGGGGACCCTCCCCGAGCCCCCCGAGCCCCCAGTGACCCCATAGCCCCCCCCGGCGCCCTCCTGTCCCTGCGGGGCCTGTATGGCACCGTGGTGCGCTGCCCGCCCTTCCGCGTCCACGTCCTGCCCCGGGGGCCCCTCCCCGAGCCCCCCGAGCCCCCAGTGACCCCATTGCCCCCACTGCTGCCCTTAACCCCCCCGCCACCCCTGGGACCCCTGCTGAGCCTCCTGTGAGCCCCTGCGCCTCAAAGCAGCGCCCTGGGCCCCGTCTCCCTCATTCCCACGGGGCTGCGTCTCCCACACAGCGCCCGTGTGAGGTGTCGTGTGAAACCCGTGAGCTGCTGAGACCCGCTGGCCTGTCCCAACGTGGGCCGCGTTGGGGTGCAGGGAGCTGTGAGCTGCTGCTGTGGGGGGGCTACTGGGACCGGCGGCGACCCACCCCCAGGCGGGCGCTCCTCGACCCTGAGGCCTGCCCGAGCCCCATGCGCCGGGGCGGGGCTGCTCTGCGACCCGGGTGCACGAGGCCAGGCCGGGGGATCGCCCGGCCCCGGGACTCAGCAAAGCCCGTCGGGACGTCCGGGCGAGTGTCGTAGGCACAGGGGCCGAGGGCAGAAACGAGGGGACGGGGCCTCATGCGTTGGCCCTTCTTCTCCCCCGGCCACGCGGCCCCTGGGCAGACAAAGCCTCTGACCGAGGAGACTGGCCCCAGGCTGCAGGGAGAGGCCCGGGTCCCGTGGGGCGAGAGAACGGGTGAGCCAAGCCCGCCTGCGAGGAGCCGTCAGCTGTAGCCGGTGCGCTCACCGGGCGTTCGCTTAGGTAACGAGCGCGGCCCTGCGGCTCACCGCCTCCCGTCTCGCTCTGGCGTGAATAAACCTGGTTTCTATTGTCCCTAAAACAGGGGGTTTGCTCGGCGAGCTCGGGGTCTCCGCTCCGGTACAAAGGCTGGGGGCGTGTCCTCCCCACAGCCGGGGGGGCGGGCGGGTAATGAACTCACACTGGCCAGGCTGCTGCCCAGGAGAGGCCGGCCCAGCTCTGGGGTGCAAGGCTGGGGCCTGGGGGGGACTGGCTGGGGCCTCTCTCTGTGTGCGAAATTGGGGGTGGCTCTGGGAGCCTTCATGCGACCTCACCAGGTGTGGGGCTCCCCATGGGGCTGAGTGATCACAGCACCTGGAGGGTTTGCTGCAGCTCACTGGCCTAGCTCTGTGAGAGCCAGCCCAGGCTGCAGCGTGAAGGGGGCCCAGCGGTGCCATGCAGCACCCCAGGGATCCTGTCACATCTTCCTGAACCCCCGGGACTCCCAGTCACCTCCCCACGGCCCCAACCCCCATCCCGCCAGTGACCCCAGGTGACCCTCTTGCCGTCCTGAACCCCTCACTGACCCACCACTGCAGTGAGCCCCAACCCCGCATTGTACTCTGTGCCCCAGGGACCCCTCCCCAAGCCCCTTATATCCCCCCCCCGCATCCCTCCAGCTCATGGGGAGCCTCCACCCCACACCTGTCCCTGGCCCCAACAGTTTCTCACTCACGGGGGGGTTTTGTAACAATTTCAGCTGTGTTTTTAATATATAAACTATATCACTCAATAGACTCTGTACAGCCCCCTGCAACCCCCCTTAACTCTGCCCCCCCAGTTTCCCCGCAAACCCCCTTAACTCTGCCCTCCCCAAGGTCCTCGCCCGTCTGGGCCGTTTCAGTCAGAATAAAGGTGCTTTGGGTCCATCCGTCTCCGTCGCTCCACCACCCATGGGGTCACCGCTCGCTCCCCTGTCTCCCCACAGGCCCCCGCTTCTGAGTGGGGAGGTGATGGGAGCCCCAGAGGAGCTGGGGGTCAGGACTCCTGGATTCCATCTGCCCCGCTCCCCCACCAGGCTGGATTGGGGTGCCCCCTTTGGGCTGGGCCTGCTGCACAGACCCCCCCCTTCACTGTGGGGAGCAGGGACCCCCCCAGGGGTGTGTGGGAGGGGCTAGGTGAGGGGAGGGAATTAAGCATTGGGGCTCTGTGGGGGAGGGGAGTCTCATGGGGGGGTGGAAGGGCCCCGGGGGGGGTCTCCTCGTGATGCCCCGACTTCCCCTGGTGGCGTCCGGCAGTGCTGCGGTCTCGCTCGCTCGCTCGCTCTCCCTCCCTCCCGCGTCCGTCTGTCCGTCCGTCCAGCTCAGCCCCGCCGTGGCCGCAGCTTCATCTCGGTGAAGGGGATGGAGAACTCGAAGCCTTTCCAGTTAAACCAGTTCACGCCCTGGGGGGGCAGAAATGGGGGGTAAGAGACCCCCCAGCACTGGCCCCCTCAGCAACTTCCGTAATAGTGCTAAATGCAATCCGTGACTCAGTTTCCCAACTGGCTTGGATGTGCTGGATGGGAAGGAGTTAATTTCCTGCCCTGGGATGGGCCAACCCAGGAGTCCTGGCTCCCAGTCCCCACCCCTGCTCTCCCCACCAGCCCCCCCCTCCCCCCGCCTCCAGAGCTGGGAGAGAACCCAGGCATCCCGACACCGCCCCGCCCCCAGAGCCGGGAGAGAACCCAGGCATCCCGACACCGCCCTGCCCCCAGAGCCGGGAGAGAACCCAGGCATCCTGACACCCCTCCTGCCCCCAGAGCCGGGAGAGAACCCAGGCATCCCGACACCGCCCTGCCCCCAGAGCCGGGAGAGAACCCAGGCGCCCCGCCCCCGCAGCGGGGAGAGAACCCAGGCGTCCGGGCGGCGTACCTGGTGGTCCCGGCCGCTGCCGTAGAGCCCGTTGAGGTTGGCATAGTGGCAGTTCCGGTACCACCAGGCCCCCCGGTAGGACACCGCGCAGGGCGTCAGCAGCCGGCTGGGGTCCCGGTCCCGGGTCGAGAAGACGCTGCCCGAGTGGTAGCTCAGCGCATCGCCTGGGGGGGCAGGGAGTCAGGGGGGGCTGGGGGCCCAGCGCCCCTCCCCCAACCACCCCTGGGACAGGGACCCCCCCGCTGCCCCCCCAGCCCCCCCGGGACACCGACCCCCCATCCACTGCCCCCCCAGCCCCCCCGGGGCACGGACCCCCCCATCCACTGACCCCCCAACATAGCAACCCCTACTGCCCCCCAGCCCCCCCGGGACACAGACCCCTCCATCCACTGCCCCCCCAGCCCCCCTGGGGCACGGACCCCCCCCATCCACTGACCTCCCAACATAGCAACCCCTACTGCCCCCCCATCCCCCCCGGGACACAGACCCCCCCATCCACTGACCCCTGACATAGCAACCCCCCGCTGCCCCCCCAGCCCCCCGGGGCACGGACCCCCCATCCACTGCTCCCCCAGCCCCCCCGGGGCACGGACCCCCCCATCCACTGACCCTCCAACATAGCAACCCCCCCCACTGCCCCCCCGGGACACAGACCCCCATCCACTGACCCCCCAACATAGCAACCCCCGCTGTCCCCCCAGCCCCCCCGGGACACGGACCCCCCAATCCACTCACCCCTGACATAGCAACCCCCCGCTGTCCCCCATCCATCCTCGTCCTCTGCCCCCAGTCTGTTCTGCCCCCTCCGCCAGCACCCCGCATCATGACCCCCCCTTTCCTTCCCCATTGGCGACCCCCGCCTCCCTTTCGCCAGCGCCCCCCCTGCCCCTCACCGGCCGTGCCGCGGTAGCCGTCCAGGTGGAGGCGGTAATGCTCGCTGGGGGGGTCGACCCGGAACCGCTGGTACCGGGCGTAGGCGGCCTCGGCGCCGGCCCGAAGATCCACCCGCAGCTCCTGCTCCCCGGCCGCCGTCAGCTGGTGCAGGGCGTCGTTACCTGGGGGCAGGACGCCTGGGTTCTCTCCCTGCTGCGCCGGGGCAGCCCGGACGCCTGGGTTCTCTCCCGGCTCGGGGGGGAGCGGGGGTCGGGGGGATCGCAGGGCCGCCCGGACGCCTGGGTTCTCTCCCGGCTCGGTGGGGGGGGGGGAGCGGGGGTCGGGGGGGATCGCAGGGCCGCCCGGACTCCTGGGTTCTCTCCCGGCTCGGGGGGGAGCGGGGGTCGGGGGGATCGCAGGGCCACCCGGACTCCTGGGTTCTCTCCCGGCTCGGGGGGGAGCGGGGGTCGGGGGGGATCGCAGGGCCGCCCGGACGCCTGGGTTCTCTCCCGGCTCTGGGGGGAGTGGGGGACTCTGGGGGGAGTGGGGGTCGGGGGGGATCGCAGGGCCGCCCGGACTCCTGGGTTCTCTCCCGGCTTGGGGGGGATCGCAGGGCCGCCCGGACGCCTGGGTTCTCTCCCGGCTCGGGGGGGAGCGGGGGTCGGGGGGATCGCGGGGCCGCTCGGACGCCTGGGTTCTCTCCCGGCTCTGGGGGGGGGGAGCGGGGGTCGGGGGGGATCGCGGGGCCGCCCGGACGCCTGGGTTCTCTCCCGGCTCTGGGGGGGGGAGCGGGGGTCGGGGGGATCGCGGGGCCGCCCGGACGCCTGGGTTCTCTCCCCGGCTCTGGGGGGGGGAGCGGGGGTCGGGGGGGATCGCAGGGCCGCCCGGACTCCTGGGTTCTCTCCCGGCTTGGGGGGGGAGCGGGGGTCGGGGGGGGATCGCAGGGCCGCCCGGACGCCTGGGTTCTCTCCCGGCTCTGGGGGGAGTGGGGGACTCTGGGGGGAGTGGGGGTCGGGGGGGATCGCAGGGCCGCCCGGACGCCTGGGTTCTCTCCCGGCTTGGGGGGGATCGCAGGGCCGCCCGGACGCCTGGGTTCTCTCCCGGCTCTGGGGGGGGGAGCGGGGGTCGGGGGGATCGCGGGGCCGCCCGGACGCCTGGGTTCTCTCCCGGCTCTGGGGGGGGGGGAGCGGGGGTCGGGGGGAGCGCAGGGCCGCCCGGACGCCTGGGTTCTCTCCCGGCTCGGGGGGGAGCGGGGGTCGGGGGGATCGCGGGGCCGCCCGGACGCCTGGGTTCTCTCCCTCACCCAGCCAGAACTCGCGGGACCGGTTCCCGAAGCCCTGGGCGTAGGCCTGCCAGTCGCGCCAGAAATCCGTCTCGCCGTCCATGCGGCGCTGGAACACCTGGGGGGAGTCGGGGGGGGTCAGAGACACACACTCGGCCCCGCTGCCCCCCCGGGCCGGGTGTGTCCCCCCCGCAGGCCGCGCTGCCCCGGCCCCGGCCCCGCACTCACCAGCCAGCCGCCCCCGTCGGTCTCCATGTCGCAGTAGACCTGCAGGGGGCGCTGCCGGTCGCCCCCCAGGTAGATGGTCACCTCGCGGGAGGGGCCCGGCCCGTTCAGCTGCTCCTCCACGCAGTCCCGGGGGAAGGGGTAGGTCAGCCAGACTGCGCGGAGAGGCCAGAATGGAACCCAGGAGTCCGGGACCCCAGCCCCACCCCCTCCAACCACTAGACCCCGCTCCCTTCCCCGAGCCAGGAGAGAACCCAGGCGTCCTGGCTCCCAGCCCCCTGCTCTAACCCACCAGCCCCCACTCCCCTCCCAGAGCTGGGATAGAACCCAGGAGTCCTGGATCCCAGCCCCACCCCTGCTCTAACCCACCAGCCCCCACTCCCCACCCAGAGCCGGGAGAGAACCCAGGAGTCCTGGATCCCAGCCCCCCCTGCTCTAACCCACCAGCCCCCACTCCCCTCCCAGAGCCAGGAGAGAATCCAGGATCCCAGCCCCACCCCCTCCAACCACTAGACCCCACTCCCCTCCCCGAGCCAGGAGAGACCCCAAGAGTCCTGGCTCCCAGCCCCCCGGCTGTAACCACCCACTAGCCCCCCCTCCCCCGAGCCAGGCTAGAACCCAGGCGTCCTGCGGCTCACCGGTGTTAAAGGAGGTGGCGATGGGGGTGCTGGGGAGGCCCCCCCGGATCGCCTGCACCCGGACCTGGTAGCGGCTGGACGGGCTCAGGTTGCTCAGCTGGTAGGAGGCCGCGTCTGAGCCCAGGGGAATCTCCTGGGGGGAGAGGGAGTGAGGGGGGGTGATGGGCCGGAGGGGGTGGGGGAGGGGCAGGGAGCAGCGATGGGGCTGGGGGCGGGATGTGGGGGGAGCCGGGGGGGGGGGGTGGAGAGTTGGGGCGGGGTGTTGGGGGGGCTGTGGCAAGGGTTGGGGAGGGAACAGGGGGGCTGAGCAGGCAGGGGGCTGGGGGGGGGGCTGGGGGTCCGGGTACCTGCGTTTGGCCAGAGGGTGTCTCGTAGCTGAGCAGGTAGCCGGCGGGGGGGACGCGTGGGGGCGTCCAGGAGAGCCGGGCGCTGCGGGGGGTCACGTCAGTGGCTTGCAGGTCCCGGGGGGCATCCAGCCCTGGGGGAGGGGAGAGTGAAACAGGGACCCCCCGACCTCCCCCCTCCCCGTGACCCCCCTCGCCCCACCGACAGCCCCCCTCCCCTCACTGCTTCCCCCACCCCTCCCCGTGACCCCCCTCCCCCACCAACATCCCCCACCCCACCCCATGACCCCCCACCAACAGCCTCCCTCCCCTCACTGCTTCCCCCACCTCTCCCCGTGACCCCCCTCCCCCACCATCATCCCCCACCCCTCCCCATGACCCCCCTCCCCTCACTGCTTCCCCCACCCCTCCCCGTGACCCCCCTCCCCCCACCAACATCCCCCCACCCCCTCCCCATGACCCCCCTCTCCCCACCAACAGCCTCCCTCACCTCACTGCTTTCCCCACCCCTCCCTGTGACCCCCCTCCCCCACCAACATCCCCCACCCCATGACCCCCCTCCCACCACCAACAGCCCCCTCCCCTCACTGCTTCCCCCACCTCTCCCCGTGACCCCCCTCCCCCACCAACATCCCCCACCCCACCCCATGACCCCCTCCCCCCACCAACAGCCCCCTCCCCTCATTGCTTCCCCCACCCCTCCCCGTGACCCCCCCTCCCCCCACCAACATCCCCCCACCCCTCCCCATGACCCCCTCCCCCCAACCAACAGCCCCCCTCCCCTCACTGCTTCCCCCACCCCTCCCCATGACCCCCCGCCCCCCTCCCTGCACCCCCCCGTACCGGTGGTGAAGGTGGCGTGGGCGGGGGAGCTGCGGTTGCCCCCCGTCACCCCGTGGACGCTGACCAGATACTCGGTGTCCAGCCGCAGCCCGGTCAGGGGGTGCTCGGCCCGGGCCCCGGGGAGCCGCACCGTCACCGCGGGGCCTGCGGGGAGAGCTGGGGTGAGGGGGGGCAGGCTGGAGGGGAGGGGTCCAGAGGGGGGGCTGGGGATCCCCACATCTGAGCTGCCCCCAACACCCCCCCCCCGTGGATGCAATGCCGGCGTGGGGAGGCCGAAGGAGCCGGGCCGGGCGATGGCCCAGGGCCCCGGAGATGCCCGCGCCGGCCGCCTGGACCCGGGGCAGGCGGACGAAGGGCGCCGGGGCCCCGGGGACGGAGCCACCCGCCGGGGCGGGGAGCCAGCGAGAGCCAGGTGCAGGGCGGGGGAGGGGAGCGACGCCCTGCCCCCGTGCTCACCTTCGGGGGGCCCGTAGCTCAGCTCGTAGCTCTGGGCGGGGGCCCGGGGCGGGTTCCAGCGCAGCAGGGCCGAGGCCTCGGTGACGTTAACGGCACGCAGGTCCGAGGGGCCGTCGGGGACTGCGGAGAGAGCGCGGAGCGTCAGGGGGGCAGCCCCCGCCGAGGGGACCCAGGTGTCCGGCCGGTGGCATGGGGTGCTGGCCCCGGGGCAGGGGAGCAGACCCAGGTGTCCGGCGCTGGCCCTGGGGCAGAGGAGGGGACCCAGGCGTCCGGCCGGTGGCATGGGGTGCTGGCCCCGGGGCAGGGGAGCAGACCCAGGTGTCCGGCGCTGGCCCTGGGGCAGAGGAGGGGACCCAGGCGTCCGGCCGGTGGCCCGGGAGCAGGGGAGGGGACCCAGGCATCCGGCCCTTACCTGTGGTGACGTAGCCCACCAGTGGCTCGCTCTCCTCGAAGCCCCGGACGGCCATGACGCTGACCTCATAGCTGGCCCCGGGGATCAGCCCCTCGAGCGTTGTCTGCAGCCGGGTGCCCGCGACCATCACGCTCTGCGGCTCCCCTGGGGCGACAGGCGGGTCAGGACGCGCTGGGGGCGGGGCCATGTGTCGGGGCCAGGGCACAGGGCCAGTAGGGGGCTCTGGGGGCATTTTGGGGTGCTGAGTGTGGGGCGCTATGGGGGCGGTCACTGTGCAGCAGGGGCCAGCGGGGGAGGGCCAGGGGCCACAGTGTGGAAGCAGTGATGGGCGCTGTGGAGGGGGGTCGGTTTGGGACACTGTGGGGGGCAGCGAGGTGCACTGGGAGGAACTGGTTTGGGGTGTTGGGGAGGGCAGCAGGGGGCGCTGTGGGGGTTCAGCGAAGGGTGCTGTGGGGAGTCAGTTTGGGGTGCTGTGGGGAGGAGCGGGGGGTGCTGTGGGGCACTTACCCCCTTTGCTCAGCTGGAAGGACACCTTGTAGCGGTCGACATGGGTGGACGGGGCCCCCCAGGTCACCCCCACCGAGGTCTCACGGATGTCGCTGAAGCGCAGGTCCCGGGGGCTCTCCAGCTCTGGGGAGACATGGGGGTCAGGGGGGCCCCATGGGCCCTCAGGCGGAGCCAACTGGGGGGCCCCTTCTCAGCATGACCACTGGGGGGAGAGCACCAGCCTGCAAAGCCCCGTTCCCCCCCCTCAGCCGGGCGGGGGGGCTGAGACCCACCAGTGCCCCCCACCGTCACCCCCTGGCGCTCACCCATCCACCTGTCCCTCCCTCCCTCTGTCACGGGCTCCACACCCTCCATCTGTCCTACCCCCCCTACCCCCTCTCACCAGGGATGGGGCAGGGGGCAGCAGGGGGCTGTCACGCTACTGACTTGAACTGGGACCGTATAGAACATGGTTGCAACCAAGCTCCCGTCGTGGCCCCAGCTCTTGTGCAAAGGGGTGGGATGCGGTGTCTCGGAGGGGGTGAGGCTGGCCGGTTGGGATTATGCCGTCTGGGTGCAGGTGTCACGTTGTATTTAAAGATGCCGGCGTTAGCTCTGGCCTGTCTGCAGTTCACACGGGTGCTCTGCTCCTGGGGGACACCCCAGACAAGTGGGGGTCAGCTCTGCCCAGCCTGCTGGGTGGCCCATGAGCGACACCCCTGACCCACGGCGGACACGCCGGGGGACTCAGCCCGGCAGGCGGGGAGAGGCCTAAGGCCGGACGCTGGGGTTGGCCGTTACTGGATGTCAGTGAGTCCATGTCACCAGCTCTTGCTCTCGTCTCTTTCTTTTCCTTTTACGAATAAACCTTGAGATTTAGATTCAAAAGCGTTGGCCACAGCGTGATTCGGGGGTGAGATCTGACCTGTACATTGAGCTGGGTCTGGGCTTGGTCCTTTGGGATCGAGGGAACCTCTTTTCTCTTTCTGGGGGATTGGTTTTCATAACCACTCATCCCCATAACGAGGGGCGCGGGTGGGGATACTGGGAAACTGGGGTGTCTAAGGGAACTGCTCGTGTGACTCGTGGTTAGCCGGTGGGGTGAGACCGAAGTCCTCTCCGGCTGGCGGGTTTGGTTTGCCTCGGGGTGCACAGAAACCCCAGGCCGGGGCTGTGACTGCCCCGCTCTGAGCGATTTGTCCTGAATTGGCCCCTCTCCGTGGGGTCCCGCCAGAACCAGCCTCGTTACAGGGGCGCTGGGCTGTGGGGCGCTGGGACGAGGGGGCAGCTGGGCTCGGTGCCGCAGCGGGGGCCGTACCGAGGCTGCTGGTCTGTGCGGCCCCGTGGACATTGGCTGTCTCCTCGCCCTGCCGCAGGCCGTACACTGCCAGGCCGTATTCGGTGCTGGGCCGCAGCCCCCGCAGCACGGCCGAGCGCTGGGCCCCGGCACCGGCACCTCCTGGGCGGGCGCCGGCCCCAGCCCGGGCCCCCGGCCCGCGTCCCGGTACCGGATGAGGAAGGTGTCGAAGTTGCCCTCGGGCGCGTCCCAGCTCAGCCGCAGTGAGGTCGGGGTCACCTCGGAGATGAGCAGCTGGTCCAGCCGGGCGGGCGTCACGCTGGAGGCTTCCGGGAAGGCTGCGGGGGCAGGAGGGGGGTTAGGCTCCTGCAAGGGCAGGATGGGGTTAATTGTCCCTGGGGGAGATGGCACCGGGGAGGGGGGGGGGCTGGGGCCAGGCAAGAAGGGGTTAACTCTATCCCATCATGCACCTGGCCAGGAGCCCTGGGAGCAAGTTAGTTACTTTTGTCCCATGGGGCTCCGGTGCAGAGTGGAAAGGGTTAACTGCCGGGAGGGGCGGGGGGGCGACGGAGGGAGGACAGGAATGGGGGGTCAGGAGCAGGGGTGAGGCCCAGAAGAGGAAGGGCCTGTCCCCACAGCTTGTCAGTGGCACAATGGGATCGTTAGCCCCGTGTTACAGGTGGGGAAACTGAGGCAAGGGGCAGTTATGGGGCTTTTTGCATGGTCACCCGGAAGGTCAGAGGCAGAACTGGGAGAGAACCCAGGAGTCCTGGCTCCTAGCCCCCCTGCTCTAACCCACCACACCCCACTCCGCTCCCAGAGCTGGGAGAGAACCCAGGAGTCCGGGATCCCAGCTGGGCCGCGGAGGGAAGACCTGCGGAAGGAAGGGGGCTGGTAGATGTCGAGGGGCCCTGGCCGGCCGGCCCTCCGGCTCGCTGACCTGTGACGGCGTCGGTGGAGACGGGCCCGAGGCGCTTAGGGCCGGAGACGCCGTAGAGGTTGAACTTGTACTTGCGGGAGGGGAGCAGGTCGGACACGACGAGCGTGCGGGATGCCCCATCCGCGGGCAGTGCCTGGGGTTTGCCCTCCGCGTCCTTGTACTGGAGGAGGAAGGAGTCGAAGGCCCCGGCCTGGACGGTCCAGGAGAGGCGGACGGAGTCTTTGGTGACCTCGGAGGTCGAGAGCTCCCCCAGCTTGGGCTGCGAGGCACCTTCCTCCTCCTCCTCCTCGTCTTCCTCCTCCTGCCGGCCTGGGGAGAGGGGAGCAGCTCAGACCCGGCCCGGACCCCACGTCTCCAGACCCCACCCCTGTTTGGGATCGGGATGAAAGCTGCAAAACTTTGGCAAGCGGCCGAGAGGCCAGTCTCTTTGCAGGTGGCCTGACTGCTGCTGGGACGTGCCAGACCCAGCCGGCCCCGGGCCGTGGCGCGGGCAGGAGGGTGGATCAGAGCCGATTGCGGCCGGCGGCACAGAGCAGGGAGGGGAATTAGCCAGCCAGACAATCCCCACGGGCCAGGCCAGACTCTCCGTCCCTGGCTCACGTGAAACCCACACGGGCTGTTTCTGGACGAGCTCGCCGCTGGTTCTGCCCAGCGCGAACACAGGCCGGGGCGAGGGCCAGGGCTACGTGGCCCAGACCAGGGGTCCCAGGTCCCCTCGCCAAGCCCAAGGCTCCGTACGAGCCTGTTTCCTCGCCAGCGCTTCGAGAGGCGAGTCGGCATTTTCCCGTCTCAAAGCGCGTCCCTCGGACCCTCCCCCTGCCCCACGAGGCACAGGGACGTAGAGAAGGGGGCGATTCTATCCCATCATGCACCTGCCGGGGGGGGGGAAGGTGGGAGGAGAGAGCTGATAGCTGACCTGTGACGGCGTCGGTGGAGACGGGGCCGAGGCGCTTGCGGCCGGAGATGCCGTAGAGGTTGAACTTGTATCTTCGGGAGGGGGCCAGGTTGGCGACGGTGACCGTGCGGGATCCCCCGTCCACGGGCAGCGCCTGGGGGTTGCCGTCCGCGTCCCTGTACTGGAGGATGAAGGAGTCGAAGGTCCCTTCCTTCACAGTCCAGGACAGATCGAGGGAGTCATGGGTGATGTCGGAGGCCGAGAGCTGCCCCAGGCGGAGCCGTATCCCGGCTCCCTCCTCCCGCGGCGCTGTGGTTGGAGCAGAGTGGGAGGGTTAAGGGTGAGGTAAGAGCCTGTGGGGCAAACAGAGGCAGCTTCCCCCACTGCGGAGCGATGGGATCAGGCTCTCTGCAAACTCAGGCAGTGTCACCTCTGATGTCCGGGGCAAGTGGCCCCTCTGTGGGGTGGAAATAGGGGAGCAAAGTGACTGACAGAGGCAAGACCCCTTGGATGTGGCCTCTGGTGCCATGACTGCACCAAGCAAAGGGATGTGGAAGAGGGTGGTTGGGAGCGAAGGAATGTGGAAGGGGCCCTGGTGGAGGAGGGGACAGCCGGAGGGGTGGTGGGAAGAGAGGAGGAGTGAAAAAATGCCCAAGAGAAGAAAGGGGCAAAGGGAGACAAGGAGGGAAGGATCCCAGAGGAGGAAACGCCGCGCAGGGACAGGCGAGGTGGGAGAGTGGGAAGGCAGGGAAAAAGCAAATCAGTGAAGGTGCGTCCTGGGAAAGACCCTGCAGGGGGAGAAGGAAGGAGGCAGGCGCTGGCTGGGAACCTCCTCCCGGCAGCCGCTGACCTGTGACGGCGTCGGTGGAGACGGGGCCGAGGCGCTTGCGGCCGGAGATGCCGTAGAGGTTGAACTTGTATCTGCGGGAGGGGGCCAGGTTGGCGACGGTGACCGTGCGGGATCCCCCGTCCACGGGCAGCGCCTGGGGTTTGCCCTCCGCGTCCTTGTACTGGAGGAGGAAGGAGTCGAAGTCCCCGGCCTGGACGGTCCAGGAGAGCAGGGCGGAGTCGTGGGTGACGTCGGAGGCCGAGAGCTCCCCCAGGCTGGGCTGGGGGGCGGGTTCCTCCTCCCGCGGTGCCGCGGCTGGAACAGAGAGAGGGGGGTGAAGGGTGCGGCTGGGTTTGGGGGCAGTTTGCCGGGTCTTTGGGGGCGGGTAATTCCTAGCCAGAGGGGATCAACAGGGAGGATTAGCAGAGGGAGGGTGCAGGGAGCCCCAGGGACCGGCCCCAGGACACAGCCGGATCCTTCTGCTGGGTAGGAGAGCTGGGGAGAGACAGACGCACGGGGCATGTCTGCAAAGAGGATCCCGCATTCCTGGGTTCCCCGCGGCCACCCCGCCTCCGTGGAGGGGTCGGCCCAAACCTCGGTGAGAGCTGAGCTGAGATGGGAGGAGAGAGGGGGAAAGAAGAACAAGTGAGAGAGAAAGAGAAGGGGGTGAACTAAAGCCTCCAGCATCAATGGAAAAATCCCCATTGACACCCATCCAGCCCCATACACGCCCATATCACCATCTTCATACGCTCCCCTCCAACCACCCATCCATGGCCAGTCACATCCATCTATCCAGGCACCCACGACCTTACCCACCATAGCCCTTGTACCTGCCCCCTGCAGAGGGGTTACCCAGACACGCACACCTCTGCCGTGAATCCCCCAAAACACCCATCCATAAACTCCATCCATCCATCCCCTTAGCCATCCATCCCCATATACATCCATTCATCTCTCCATCTCTCCTGCCATCTCTTCCCTTAGACATGCATTCGTCTATCTATCCATCGATGACCATCCCCTCCCTCCATCCATTCACCCCCATACAGAACCTTAATCAGTCTATCCATCCATGAGATCCCCTCCATCCATCCATCCCTCCTCCTCGATTTCCATACACAGACATCCATCTATCTATTCATTCATCCATGCACATTGATCCATCTGTCTGTCTATCCACCCATCCATCCCCATCCAAACTCCTCTATCTGTTGAATGGCCGGTAGACGGGGGGTGGAGGTAGGAGTCCGGGAAGCGGCTGGCAGCTGCCGTCCCCACCCACTGCAAAGCAAAGGGGGTGGGAGGGGACAGAGCCGGCGCCCCGGGTCCAGCCGCTGACCTGTGACGGCGTCGGTGGAGACGGGGCCGAGGCGCTTGCGGCCGGAGATGCCGTAGAGGTTGAACTTGTATCGGCGGGAGGGGGCCAGGTTGGCGATGGTGACCGTGCGGGATCCCCCATCCACGGGCAGCGCCTGGGGGTTGCCCTCCGCGTCCTTGTACTGGAGGAGGAAGGAGTCGAAGTCCCCGGCCTGGACGGTCCAGGAGAGCAGGGCGGAGTCGTGGGTGACGTCGGAGGCCGAGAGCTCCCCCAGGCTGGGCTGGGGGGCGGGTTCCTTCTCCTGCGGCGCCACGGCTGGAACAGAGAGAGGGGGGTGAAGTGGGAGGCTGGGGTGGGTTGCCGGGTCCTTGGGGGGGCGGGTAATTCCTAGCCAAAGGGGATCTGCAGAGAGGATTAGCGGGGGGAGGGTGCAGGGAGCCTCAGGGACCGGCCCCAGGACACAGCCGGGTCCTGCTGCTGGGAAGGAGAGCTGGGGAGAGACAGACGGACGGGGCATGTCTGCAAAGAGGATCCCGCATTCCGCAGTTGCCTGCGGCCACCCCGCCTCCGTGGAGGGGTCGGACCAGAGCGACCAGCACAAACCTCAGTGAGAGCTGAGCTCAGATGGGAGGAGAGGGGGGAAGGAAGAACAAATGAGAGAGAAAGAGAAGGGGGTGAACCAAAGCCTCCAGCATCAATGGAAAGATCCCCAATGACACCCATCCAGCCCCATCCACTCCTCCAAACATCCCTCCATCCTCATACGCACCCATTCATCTATCTGTCCATCCATGACTATCCCTCCATCCCCATCCATGCCCATAGAGAGCCACCCATCTACACATCCATCCATCCCCACCAATCCCGATCGACAGCCATCCATCTATCTATTCACTCACTGATCCATGCACATCGCTCCAGTCAGTCAGTCTTCTCCATGCACATCGATCCAGCTGTCTAGACACCCCTCCATTCCCATCCAAACTCCTCCACACATTGAATGGCTGGTAGGCGGATTGTGGAGGTTGGAGTCTGGGAAGGGTCTTTCCAGGAAAGTCCCGGCTGGCAGCTCTTGTCCCCACCACGCTGCAAAGCAAAGGGGGTGGGAGGGGGACGGAGCCGGCAGCCCCGGAGCAGCCGCTGACCTGTGACGGCGTCGGTGGAGACGGGGCCGAGGCGCTTGCGGCCGGAGATGCCGTAGAGGTTGAACTTGTATCGGCGGGAGGGGGCCAGGTTGGCGACGGTGACCGTGCGGGATCCCCCGGCCACGGGCAGAGCCTGAGGTTTGCCCTCCGCGTCCTTGTACTGGAGGAGGAAGGAGTCGAAGGTCCCGGCTTGGACGGTCCAGGAGAGCAGGGCGGAGTCGTGGGTGACGTCGGAGGCCGAGAGCTCCCCCAGGCTGGGCTGGGGGGCGGGTTCCTCCTCCCGCGGCGCCGCGGCTGGAACAGAGAGAGGGGGGTGAAGGGGGAAGCCAGGGTGGAGGGTGGCCCACTGGGACCTTAGGGGGCCTTGTTATTGCCAGCTAGAGGGGTTCAGCAGAGAGGATTGGTGTGGGGAGGGTGCAGGGTGCCCCAGAGACCAGCCCCAGGACAGTGACGTATCCTGCTGCTGGGAAGGAGAGCTGGGGAGAGACGGATGGACGGGGCATGTCTGCAAAGAGGATCCCACATTCCCATCTGGGATCCTGCGGCCATCCCGCCTCCATGGAGGGGTCAGCCCAGAGCAACCGGCAGAAACCTCGGTGAGCGATGAGCTGAGACGGAAGGAAGAACAAACGAGAGAGAAAGAGAAGGGGATGAACTAAAGCCTCCAACATCAGTGGAAAGATCCCCGCTGACACCCATCCATCCCCAGAAACTCCGTACCACCATCTGCATATGCTCCCCCATCCATCCATCCCCATCCAAATCCATCCACCTACCTATCCATCCATCCTCGTAGACATCCATCCATCTACTGATCTATCCATCCATCCCCACCAGTCTCCACAGAGAGCCGTCCAGCTCTCCATTCATTCATTCATTCATTCATCCATGCACCTGTGACGAACTTGGGGATGTTTGTCGTGTTTTACATGAATAGCGTGTGCGTGCCTCAGTTTCCCTGTGTGCTGCATGTTTAACAAGGCGGTGGGAGGGGGTTGTTGTTGCCGAGGACCAGGTGTGACCTCGCCTAGCAGTCAGGACCCCCAGACAATGGCCTGGAGATGGGGAACCCTAACAACTGGTGACCAAGACGCCCACCCCAGCTTGGCCATCAGCCGGTTCTGGCCAGTGGGAGGACAGTGGGCTGCGGAGAGACCCCGGTGACCTGACCAGCCGGTTCCAGGCAGAGGGAACAAAGGACGGAGGAGAGAGGGCCCCAGCCTCCTGTTTACCTGGGATGGAGGAGAGAGGACAAAGGACAGGGGAGGAGCTGTTGGGGCCGGTGATATCAGCTGCCCAGCTGGGAAGCAGGGGGGCTCTGGGCTGGAGGAGGGAGCAGGCAGAGCCCCCCAGATGCAGGGGAGACTGGGATGCGCTGGGCTGAGGGAGGCCAGGCCTGAGGCCGGAGAGTTTCCTGTGCTGGGTTCAGACGCTCAATAACCCCTCCTGTTTTATGCTGGCTGAGAGTTGCTCCGGTCTAGAGAACAGGGGGGCATCATCCCCTTTGGGGGGGGGTGGAGGCCCAGGGGCCAGAGCGATGGGACTCCCTGAGGGGTCCCACAGCAGAGACAAGGGTGCTAAGGCTCAGAGAGGTGCGGTACCAGGAGGTGGAGGGGCTGGACCCCGAAGAGAGAGTGGACCCCCGGGAGAAGGGCTGTCTCACTGAAGGGGGTTCCCCCCACGGACCACACAGGGCCAAGAGTGGGCACGACCTGGGAGTCCGTGACACCAGCCCATACACAGTGACGCATTCACTCCATCAGCCCCACACACATCGATCCCTCTGTCCATCCATCCACACTCCTCCACCCACTGAATGGCCGGGAGGAGGGTTGTGGAGGTTGGAGTCTGCGAAGCCTCTTCCCAGGAAGGTCCCAAATGCCAGCTCTTGTCCCCACCGCGCTGCAAAGCAAAGGGGGTGGGAGGGGACGGGGTCGGCACCCCCGGGAGCAGCCGCTGACCTGTGACGGCGTCGGTGGAGATGGGGCCGAGGCGCTTGCGGCCGGAGATGCCGTAGAGGTTGAACTTGTATCGGCGGGAGGGGGCCAGGTTGGCGACGGTGACTGTGTGGGATCCCCCGTCCACAGGCAGTGCCTGGGGTTTGCCCTCCGCGTCCTTGTACTGGAGGAGGAAGGAGTCGAAGGTCCCGGCTTGGACGGTCCAGGAGAGCAGGGCGGAGTCGTGGGTGACGTTGGAGGCCCAGAGCTCCCCCAGGCTGGGCTGGGGGGCGGGTTCCTCCTCCCGCGGCGCCGTGGCTGGAACAGAGAGAGGGGGGTGAAGCGCATGGCCAGCAGGAACACTTGCCGGGTCCTTGGGGGAGCCGGTTATTGCCAGCCAGAGGGGATCAGCAGAGAGAATTAGCAGGGGAGGGGGCAGGGAGCCCCAGGGACCGGCCCCAGGACACAGCTGGATCCTGCTGCTGGGAAGGAGACCTGGGGACAGACAGACGCACGGGGCATGTCTCCAAAGAGAGTCCTGCATTCCAAGGTTCCCCGTGGCCATCCCGCCTCCGTGGAGGGGTCGGCCCAGAGCGACCGGCACAAAACTCAGTGAGAGCTGAGCTGAGATGGGAGGAGAGAGGGGGAAGGAAGAACAAATGACAGCAAGAGAGAAGGGGGTGAACCAAAGCCTCCGTCAATGGAAAGATCCTCACGGACACCCATCCAGCCCAACACAAACCTATACAGCCATCGATCACCATACCATACACCCATCCAGCCACGCATCTATCATCATACTCACCGTGTCCCATTGCTCACAATGCCACCTGGCCACACATCTACCCATGAATCCCCCAAAATACCCATCCATCCCCACACACATCCACCCACCCTACCGTCTGTATGTCCACCCTTCCATCCATCCCCACACAAATCCACCCACCCTACCGTCTATCCGTCCACCCCCATATATGTCCATTCCTCTATCCATTCATTACCATCGTCTCCATCCATCCATCCATCCATCCCCATACAAATCTATCCGTTCAATTAACCTGCCCAAGACACATTGATCCAGCTGTCTGTCTATCCATCTATCCATCCATCCCCATCCACACTCCTCTCTCTACCCATTGAGTGGCCGGCAATCTGCTTATGGAGGCTGGAGGATTGGAAGTGTCTTCCTGGGAAGGTCCTGGCCCAGTGGTCGGCGTTTCTGACACTGCAAAACAAAGGGGGGTGGGAAAGGGGCTGGTACCCCGGGTCCAGCTGCTGACCTGTGACGGTGTCGGTGGAGACGGGGCCGAGGCGCTTGCGGCCAGAGATGCCGTAGAGGTTGAACTTGTATCGGCGGGAGGGGGCCAGGTTGGTGATGGTGACCCTGTGGGATGCCCCGTCGGTGGGCAGCACCTGCGGTTTGCCCTCCGCGTCCTTGTACTGGAGGAGGAAAGAGTCAAAGGTCCCCTCCACGGTCCAGGAGAGCAGGGCGGAGTCATGGGTGACGTCGGAGGCCGAGAGCTCCCCCAGGCTGGGTTGGGGGGCAGGTTCCTCCTCCCGCAGCGCCGCGGCTGGAAGAGAGGGAGGGGGGTGAAGGACGGCGGGCAGGGCAGCTCGCTCGGTTCTTGGTGGGGCCGGGTAATTCCTAGCCAAAGGGGATCTGTAGGGAGGATTGGTTGGGGGAGGGTGCAGGGAGCACCAGAGACCGGCCCCAGGACACAGCCGGATCCTCCTTCTGGGAAGGAGAGCTGGGGACAGATGGAAAGAGGATCCCACATTCCTGGGCTCCCCACGGCCATCCCGCCTCCATGGAGCGGTTAGCCCAGAGCAACCAGCAGAAACCTCGGTGAGAGCTGAGCTGAGATGGGAGGAGAGAGGGGGAAGCAAGAACAAGTGAGAGAGAAAGAGAAGGGGGTGGATCAAAGCCACCAACACCAATGGAAACATTCTCACTGACACCTATCCAGCCCCAGAAATGACCATACCATCTTCATACGCTCCCCCATCCATCCATCACCCATGGCTAGTCACATCCATCTATCCTGGCATCCATGACCTTACCCAGCATAGCCCTTGTAGCTGCCCCCTGCAGAAGGGTTACCCAGACACGCACACCTCTGCCGTGAATCTCCCAAAACACCCATCCAGTTCCGTAAACTCCATCCATCCCCATATGCATCCATTCATCTATCCATCCATTCCATCCCCATTCATCGATCCATCTCCATCCATCCATCTCCATATGCATCCATTCATCTCCTTATCCATCCCTCCCCATACGCATCCATTCATCTATCCAGCTGCTCCATCCCTATCCATCCATCTCCATATGCATCCATTCATCTCCTTATCCATCCCTCCCCATACGCATCCATTCATCTATCCAACTGCTCCATCCCTATCCATCCCCATCCACATCCATCCCCTCCATCCATTCATCTATCCATCAGCTCCATCCCCATCCAACCCCATCCACATCCATCCATCCATCCATCCCCATCCATCCATCTCCTTATCCATCCATCCCCATCCACATCCCTTCATCTATCAATCCATGACCATCAATCCATCCATTCCCATCCTTACCAGTAGACATCCATCCATCTGCTCAGCCATCCATCCCTCCCTCCCCATACACATTCATCCATCCATCCATTCACGACCTTCCCCATCCATCCATCCCCACTGATCCCTATAAACAGCCATCCATGTATCTTTTCATTCATTCATTCATTCAATCATCAAACCCATAGTCATTTATCTATTAACTCAGTCTGCTTCATACACACTGATCTATCTGTCTGTCTGTCAATCCACCCATTCACCTCCATCCACACTCCTCCACCCACTGAATGGCCGGTAGGCGGGTTGTGGAGGTTGGAGTCTGGGACGTGTCTTCCCAGGAAGGTCCCCACTGGCAGCTGCTGTCCCCACACACTGCAAAGCAAAGGGGGCAGGAGGGGAAGGGGGCGGCACCCCCAGAGCAGCCGCTGACCTGTGATGGCGTCGGTGGAGACGGGGCCGAGGCGCTTGCGGCCGGAGATGCCGTAGAGGTTGAACTTGTATCGGCGGGAGGGGGCCAGGTTGGTGACGGTGACCGAGCGGGATCCCCCATCCACGGGCAGCGCCTGGGGTTTGCCCTCCGCGTCCTTGTACTGGAGGAGGAAGGAGTCGAAGATCCCCTCCTCCACGGTCCAGGAGATCAGGGCGGAGTCGTGGGTGACGTCGGAGGCCGAGAGCTCCCCCAGGCTGGGCTGGGGGGCAGGTTCCTCTTCCCGTGGTGCTGTGGTGGGAACAGAGAGAGGGGGGTGAAGGGTGTGGCCAGGGTCAGGGGGCAGCTCACTGGATCCTTGGGAAGCCAGGTTATTCCCAGTGAGAGGGGATCTGCAGAGACAATTAGTGAGGGGAGGGTGCAGGGAGCCCTAGGGCCCCTCCCCGGGACAGTGACGGATCCTGCTGCTGGGAAGGAGAGTTGGGGACAGACGGACGGGGCATGTCTGCAAAGAGGATCCCACATTCCTGAGTTTCCCGCAGTCATCCCGCCTCCATGGAGGGGTCGGCCCAGGGCAACCGGCGCAAACTTCGGTGAGAGCTGAGTTGAGACGGGAGGAGAGAAGGGGAAGGAAGAACAAATGAGAGAGAAAGAGAAGAGGGTGAACCAAAGCCTCCAACATCAATGGAAAAATCCCCATTGACACCCATGCGGACCTAGATACTCCTCCATCCTTCCATCCCCATACATACCCATCTACCCAGCCAGCCATTCCCTTCCCATCCATCCGTTCCCATGAAGGCCCAAGGTCCATCCATCCATTCACACACATCCTTCTATGCAGCCATTCGTCCTGCCATCCTTTCAAACACACCCATCCATCTATCTATGAATCATTTCTTCCATTCCTGGAGACGCCCCTCTATCCATCCATCCGCACACACCCCACTCTCTATCTGCTGAAGGGTCGGCAGCCAGGGTCGTAGATGCCTGAGGCTCACAAGTGTCTTCCTTAGAAGGTCCTGTCCCAGTGGCCGGCGCCCCTGACCCTGGAAAGCAAAGGGGGCGGGAGGGGAAGGAGCCGGTGCCCCGGGTCCAGCCGCTGACCTGTGACGGCGTCGGTGGAGACGGGGCCGAGGCGCTTGCGACCGGAGATGCCGTAGAGGTTGAACTTGTATCGGCGGGAGGGGGCCAGGTTGGCGACGGTGACCGTGCGGGATCCCCCGTCCACGGGCAGCACCTGGGGGTTGCCCTCCGCGTCCTTGTACTGGAGGAGGAAGGAGTCGAAGGTCCCCTCCTCCACGGTCCAGGAGAGCGGGATGGAGTCGTGGGTGACGTCAGAGGCCGAGAGCTCCCCCAGGCTGGGCTGGGGGGCGGGTTCCTCCTCCCGTGGCCCCGCAGCTGGAACAAAGTTGGGTGCGGATTCGATGAACGATTCCTTGGGGACTCGCCGCAGAGGGGAAATAGGGGGCAGAAGCATCAGGGAGAGCTGGGTGATGGGGTTGGGGGTCACCGGGACTGATGGGAACAGCCTGTGGATGCAAAGCATTGGGGAAGACCCCCATCCTGTCCCACCCAGACGTCCTGCGGGCTGGTCCGAGGTGCTCTGGGCTGACACATCTCCTAGCGCGTGAACCCAAAGGGCCCCCAGCCCCCACGGTCAGAGAGCTCAGGCTGTTCAGCCCCTTGGAGAGACGACTGAGGGTTGCCTCAAATTGTGACCCCTCGGGGAGAAAAGCCGCGACAACCCCCCAGGCTCCGCCAGGCTCTGTAACCCAGCAGAGACGTGCAGAACATGACCCAGGGGCTGGACGCAAACGCAGACGAACCCCTCTCAGAAATTGGGCCCACGCTCCCCAGTGTGGGGAATTGCTCTCCCCTGGGAAGCCATGTCCTCTCCACCTCCGCACAGCTGCAGACCCAACCCGGCTGCCTCGCTGGGACACGCGTAAGCCAAGCCCCAGTGTCTGGGCTCAGTACGGAGGGAACTGGGGGACATTCTCCGGCCTGTGGTGTACAAGGGTCAGACGGGACAATCAGCCCGGTCCCTTCTGGCCTTATCCTCCAGTAACCCTGCCTGTAACCTGGCAGGTGCAGACCGGTTGCAGGAGGGAAGGGTGTGGCGGGGATGCCGGGACATCAGTCTGCAAGCACAGGGCTGGGACGTTTAGCCGTGAGCTGCCTTAATAAAGAGCCAGCTGAGGTTAGTAACCCTCTTGTGACACCCTGTACCCCATGTTCACACCTTTATACAGTTATGATATATTTTGTACAAAGGATGCCTTGTGAGGTATCATTTGAAAACTCATAATCTGCTGGACATCATTGTCCTGTTAAGCTGTGTATAACAGCACTGTGTGTAAAGCTATGCATGATTGTTATTGAAACATGTTGCAGTTCTGGGTAATGCCAACAAACCCATTTTTCAGAGCCAAAGACACACTGGCAACCCCAGACAGGCATCAACACAGTCAAGTGGGCTGTCACTTACTTAATCGGACATTCTCCAGCAAGGGGAGAGGTGTAAAAAAGAAATTTACAATTCAAATGAAGGATAGTTTGGAGCTCACATAGGTATTGGAACTGCTGGCCCCCATGACCCAGCGAAGATCTTTCCAGCACAAAGGACGGGCATATAAGAAGGGAGGGAAATGTCCCTAGCCTCTCCACCTTACAGCTCTCTGCTCATCACATCAACGCACACCTGAAGAATACTGAACAAAGGGGACTGGTCCCAGTCTGAAAGGGAATCCTACCTGTGAACTGGCTGCGGCATCTGGTGTGGCGAGAAAACCAGTTACTTCAAATCCTATTGAGCTTGGCAAAGTTGAGGAATTAGCTTGTGTGTTTATTTCTTTATTTCTTTTGTAACCAGTTCTGACTTTTATGCCCTACCCTTTCTAATCACCTGAAATCTAGTTAATAAACTTGTTTTATTGTTTTGTCTAAACCAGCGTGTTTGCCTGAAGTGTTTGGGAAACTCCCTACCCAGGCCAATGGGCCTGGTGCAGCGACGGGTGATGTCTGAGCTTGTACTGCCCCGTGGATTATAGAATGGCACGAGACGCACATTCTGGGGGGCGAGGCTGGGATGGAGGGACACGCGGGTGTCACCCTGTATCTATTCACGGGTGGCTGGGCACAGCAGTCTTGCATTCAGCTGGGAGTGACTTTACACGCGAGTGGTTGTTCACAGCAAAGCAGTGTAAAAGGCAGCCCAGGCTGGTGGCTGAAGGGAATCCAGGGGTCCAGGCTGCACCCTGAGGAACGTCACACATGGTGATTACCCGGCATGCCACTCAGGCAGCACACACCTCGCCATATTCCCGGAAAGAAAGGGGGTGACCCAAAGCCACTAACACCAGTAGAAAGATCCCCACTGACACCTATCCATCCCCACACACTCCTCCATCCACCCCTCCCACCATCCCCCCATCCCCACACACACCCATCCATCCATCCCTGGGGACACCTGTAGATCCTTCCCCGTACACATCCAACGCAAACCAACCCAACTCTGCATCCATCCTTCCCGTACATATTAACTGGCATCTCTATCCATCCACCCGACCCCCCATTCTTCCCCCCACGACTCCCTCTCCATCCATGGATGGCTAATAACTGGGTCATGGAGGTGGAGTCTGGAAAGTATCTTCCTAGGAAGGTCCTGGCCCAGTGGACAACGTCCCTGACACTGCAAAGCAAAGGGGGCGGGAGGGGAAGGAGCCGGCAGCCCCGGGAACAGCCGCTGACCTGTGACGGCGTCGGTGGAGATGGGGCCGAGGCGCTTGTGGCCGGAGATGCCGTAGAGGTTGAACTTGTATCTGCGGGAGGGGGCCAGGTTGGCGACGGTGACCGTGCGGGATCCCCCGTCCACGGGCAGCGCCTGGGGTTTGCCCTCCGCGTCCTTGTACTGGAGGAGGAAGGAGTCGAAGGTCCCCTCCTCCACGGTCCAGGAGAGCGGGATGGAGTCGTGGGTGACGTCAGAGGCTGAGAGCTCCCCCAGGCTGGGCTGGGGGGCGGGTTCCTCCTCCCGCGGTGCCGCGGCTGGAACAGAGAGAGGGGGGTGAAGGGTGCGGCCAGGGTAGGGGCAGCTCGCTGGGTCCTTGGGGTGCTGGGTTATTCCAAGCGAGATGGGACCTGAAGAGAGGATTAGCGGTGGGAGATTTCAGGGAGCCCCGCGACTGGCCCCAGGACACAGCTGGATCCTGCTTCCAGGAAGGAGAGCTGGGGACACACAGACAGACAGACAGATGTGGCATGTCTGCAAGGAGGATCCCACATTCCCAGGTTCCCCAAGGCCATCCCGCTTCCCGCGAGGGGTGGGCCCAGAGCAACCGGCACAAACCTCAGTGACAGCTGAGCTGAGATGGGAGGAGAGAGGGGGAAGGAAGAAGAAATGAGAGAGAAAGAGAAGGGGGTGAACCAAAACCACCAATGTCAATGGAAAGATCCCCAGTCACACCTATCCAGCCCAGACACTCCTCCCTCCATGCATCCATCCTCATATACAACCATTCATCTATCTGTCCATCCGTGACCATCCCCTCCATCCCCATCTATACCCATAGACAGCCATTCATCTACCTATCCATCCATCCATTCATCCATCCAGCTATTCATCCATCCATCCATCTACATTAATCCCCATAGACAGCCGTCCAGCCCCCGACGTGCCTCTATCCATCTCTCCACCCTCATACACACTAATTTATCTATTTATCCATCCATCACCTTCACCATCCAACACCATCTATACCCTTAGAAAACCATTGTTCCATCTACCTATCCAACCATCCCCATCCTCATCCATCCATCTCCATCCATCCCCATCCATCCATCCTCACCCATCCCCATACATAGTCATCCATCTATTCATTTATCCATGCATTCCATACACATCGATCCATAAATTCAGTCTGCTCCATGCACTTCGATCCATCTGTCTGTCTATCCACCCATCTATCCCCATCCAAACTCCTCCACCCATTGAATGGCCGGTAGATGAGTTGTGGAGGTTGGAGTCTGGGAAGCATCTTCTCAGGAAGGTCCCAAATGGCAGCTCTTGTCCCCACCATGCTGCAAAGCAAAGGGGGCAGGAGGGGATGGAGCCGGCGCCCCCAGAGCAGCCGCTGACCTGTGACAGCATCGGTGGAGACGGGGCCGAGGCGCTTGCGGCCGGAGATGCCGTAGAGGTTGAACTTGTATCGGCGGGAGGGGGCCAGGTTGGTGATGGTGACCGTGCGAGATTCTCCATTCACGGGCAGCGCCTGGGGTCTGCCCTCTGCGTCCTTGTACTGGAGGAGGAAGGAGTCGAAGGTCCCAGCTTGGACAGTCCAGGAGAGCAGGGCGGAGTCATGGGTGATGTCGGAGGCCGAGAGCTCCCCCAGGCTGGGCTGGGGGGCGGGTTCCTCCTCCTGCGGTGCCACGGCTGGAACAGAGAGAGGGGGGTGAAGGACGGGGGGCAGGGCAGCTCGCTAGGTCCTTGGTGGGGCCGGGTAATTCCTAGCCAAAGGGGATCTGTAGAGAGGATTAGCGGGGGGAGGGTGCAGGGAGCACCAGAGACCGGCTCCAGGACACAGCCGGATCCTCCTGTTGGGAAGGAGAGCTGGGGACAGACAGACGGGGCATGTCTGCAAAGAGGATCCCACTTTCCCCGCAGCCATCACACCTCCGTGGAGGGGTTGGCCCAGAGTGACCAGCACAAACCATGGGCAGAGCTGAGCTCAGACGGGAGGAGAGGGGGGAAGGAAGAACAAATGAGGGAGAAAGAGAAGGGGGTGAACCAAAGCCACCAACATCAATGGAAAGATCCCGATTGATACCCATCCAGCCCCATACACACGCCTCCATCCCTCCAACTTCATATGCACCCATTCATCTATCTGTCCATCCATGACCATCTCCTCCATCCCCATCTATGTCCCTAGACAGCCACCCATCTACACATCCATCCATTCACCCATCTCCACCAATCCCCATAGACAGGCATCCAGCTCCAGACACTTCTCCATCCAGCCCTGCATCTTCATACACACCCATTCATCTATTTATCCATCCATACCATCCCCATCCAACACCATCCATACCCTTAGACAGCCCTCAATTGATCTATCTATCCATCCATCCATCCCCACCCACAGCCATCCATCTGTCTATTCACTCACTGATCCATGCACCCCACAGACATCGATCCATTCAGTCAAACTGCTCCAAACACATCGATCCAGGTGCCTGTCTGTCTATCCACCAAACCATATGCCTCCATCTGTTGAGTGGCCAGTCGATGGGACGTGGAGGTGGGAGTCTAGGACGTGTCTTCCCAGGAAGGTCCCTGCTGGCAGCTGTTGTCCCCACCACACTGCAAAGCAAAGGGGGCGGGAGGGGAAGGAGCTGGTGCCCCGGGTCCAGCCGCTGACCTGTGACGGCGTCGGTGGAGACGGGGCCGAGGCGCTTGCGGCCGGAGATGCCGTAGAGGTTGAACTTGTATCTTCGGGAGGGGGCCAGGTTGGTGACCGTGACAGTGCGGGATCCCCCGTCCACGGGCAGCGCCTGGGGTTTGCCCTCCGTGTCCTTGTACTGGAGGAGGAAGGAGTCAAAGTCGCCGGCCTGGACAGTCCAGGAGATCAGGATGGAGTCGTGGGTGACATCGGAGGCCGAGAGCTCCCCCAGGCTGGGCTGGGGGGGCGGGTTCCTCCTCCCGCGTTGCCGCAGCTGGAACAGAGAGAGGGGGGTGAAGGATGTGGCTGGGGTGCAGGGTGGTTTGCCAGGTCCTTGGGGGCGGCGATATTCCTGGGCAGAGGGGATCTGGAGAGAGGATTAGCAGAGAGAGGGTGCAGGGAGCCCCAGGTATCGGCCCCAGGACACAGCCAGACCCTGCTGCTGGGAAGGAGAGCTGGGGACAGACAGACGGACGGGGCAAGTCTGCAAAGAGGATCCCACATTTCCACATTCTCCGCGACCATCCCGCCTCCATGGAGGGGTTGGCCCAGAGTGACCGGCACAAACCATGGGCAGAGCTGAGCTGAGACGGGAGGAGAGAGGGGGAAGGAAGAACAAACGAGAGAGAAAGAGAAGGGGGTGAACCAAAGCCTCCAGCATCAATGGGAAGATCCCCATTGATTCCCATCCATCCCCAACCACTCCTCGAAACATCCCTCCATCCTCATACACACGCATTCATTTATTTATTTATTCATTCATCCCCGTCCCCATCCCATATCATCCATACCCTTAGACAGTCATCCATCTACCTATCTATTGTGATACGGGGGGGCCAGGGAGCAGTGGGGGAGTGGTCGAGGGGAGATATATAAGCCCTAGGCTAATTGAGGCCTGGTTCCCTGTAGACGAGGGAGGGTGGCTACAGGTTAATTGGAGCACCTGTGGTCAATTAAACCCTGTCAGGAACCTAATAAAACCCCCTGCTTCAGGCAGTCAGAGGAGGAGGAGGAAGGAGAGAGGACTGGAGCTTGGAGGAGCGTTGAGAGATTTGGAAGACCTGAGAACTGAAGTAAGGGAGACCCTGCCCCAGCAGGACAGGGAGACTCCCTTCCCCCCAGCATCTAAGGGCCGAGGGTAACCCCACCTAAGGGGGATGAGGGTAAGAAACCCGCAAGGGCTGAGAGGGGCTGGGGCTGGGGCTTAGAGTGAGGAGCAAGTTTCCCTCCCCCGTTTCCCTCCTCTACCGCCTTCCCAGGCTAGTAACGGGGCCCTCAGCACCCAAGAGCAGGGGCAAGGGGTGGCATCTTAGCCCCTCCCCAAGAAAAGCGCAGAACCCACCATATAAACATCGGCCATCTTGCCACACTATCCATCCATCCATCCATCCCCATAGACAGCCATCCATCTATCCATACAATCATTGATCCAGTCACCCCAGACATATTGATCCATTCATTCAGTCTGCTCCATGGACATCAATCCGTCTGTCTATCCACTCAGCCATCCCCATCCAAAGTCCTCTATCTGTTGAATGGCTGGTAGACGGGTTGTGGAGGTTGGAGACTTGGAAGCATCTTCCCAGGAGGTCCTGGCTGGCAGCAAAGCAAAGGGGGCGGGTGGGGAAGGGGCCGGCACCCCCGGGAGCAGCCGCTGACCTGTGACGGCGTCGGTGGAGACGGGGCCGAGGCGCTTGCGGCCGGAGATGCCGTAGAGGTTGAACTTGTAACGGCGGGAGGGGGCCAGGTTGGCGACGGTGACCGTGCGGGATCCCCCGTCCACGGGCAGCGCCTGGGGGTTGCCCTCCGCGTCCTTGTACTGGAGGAGGAAGGAGTCGAAGGTCCCCTCCTCCACGGTCCAGGAGAGCGGGATGGAGTCGTGGGTGACGTCAGAGGCCGAGAGCTCCCCCAGGCTGGGCTGGGGGGCGGGTTCCTCCTCCCTCGGTGCTGCGGCTGGAACAGAGAGAGGGGGGTGAAGGGTGCAGCCGGGATATGTGGTGGCTCTCTGTGTCCTTGGGGGGCTGCTTTATTCCAAACGATAGGGGACCGGTGGATAGGATTAGCGGACAGAGGGTGCAGGGAGCCCCATGGACCAGCCCCAGGACACAGCTGGATCCTGCTTCCGGGAAGGAGAGCTGGGGACAGACAGATGAGCGGGGCATGTCTGCAAGGAGGATCCCACATTCCCACCTGGGTTCCCGGGGCCATCCCGCCTCCATGGAGGGGTCGGCCCAGAGTGACCAGCACAAACCATGGTAAGAGCTGAGCTGAGAGGGGAGGAGAGAGAGGGAAGGAAGAACAAATGACAGAGAAAGAGAAGGGGGTGAACCAAAGCCACCACCATCAATGGAAAGATCCCCATTTACACCCATCCAGCCCCAGAAACGCCCATACCCGTCTAGCCCCAACCACTTCTCCAAACATCCCTCCGTCCTCATACACACCCATTCATCTATCTGTCCAGCCGTGACCATCCCCTTCATCCCCATCCATGCCCACAGACAGCCACCCGTCTACACATCCATCCATTCATCCACCTACCCATCCATCCATGCATCTCTATCCATCCCCACCAATCCCCATAGACATCCATTCATCCATCTATCCATCCATGACCATCCCCTCCATCTGTCCATTCATCCCTCCATCTCCCCATAGACAGCCATCCATCTATCTATTCACTCATTGATCCATGCACCCCAAGCACATGGCTCCAGTCAGTCAGTCTGCTCCATGCACATCAATCTAGCTGTCTAGCCACCCCTCCATTCCCATCCAAACTCCTCCACCCATTGAATGGCTGGTAGGTGGATTGTGGAGGTTGGAGTCTGGGACGTGTCTTCCCAGGAAGGTCCCGGCTGGCAGCAAAGCAAAGGGGGTGGGTGGGGAAGAGGCCGGCACCCCCGGGTCCAGCTGCTGACCTGTGATGGCGTCGGTGGAGACGGGGCCGAGGCGCTTGCGGCCGGAGATGCCGTAGAGGTTGAACTTGTATCGGCGGGAGGGGGCCAGGTTGGCGACGGTGACCGTGCGAGATCCCCCATCCACGGGCAGCGCCTGAGGTTTGCCCTTCGCGTCCTTGTACTGGAGGAGGAAGGAGTCGAAGTCCCCAGCCTGGACGGTCCAGGAGAGCAGGGCGGAGTCGTGGGTGACGTCGGAGGCCGAGAGCTCCCCCAGGCTGGGCTGGGGGGCGGGTTCCTCAACCCGCGGCGCCGCGGCTGGAACAGAGAGAGGGGGGTGAAGGGCGCGGCTGGGGTAGAGGGAGGCTCACTGAGTCCTTGGGGGCCAGGTAATTCCTAGGCAGAGGGGATCAGCAGAGAGGATTAGCGGAGGGAGGGGGCAGGGAGCCCCACAGACCAGCCCCAGGACACAGTCGGATCCTGCTGCTGGGAAGGAGAGCTGGGGACAGACAGACGGACGGGGCATGTCTGCAAAGAGGATCCCACATTCCTGGGTTCCCCGCAGCCAGCCCACCTCCATGGAGGGGTCGGCTCAGAGTGACCGGCACAAACCACGGGCAGAGCTGAGCTGAGATGGGAGGAGAGAGGGGAAGGAAGAACAAGTGAGTGAGAGAGAGAAGGGGGTGAACCAAAGCCTCCAATGTCAATGGAAAGACCCCATTGACACCCATCCAGCCGTATACACACGCCTCAATCCCCATCCATTTTCATTCATATCCATCCATCTCCATAAATACCCAGTGTCTACCCATCCCTTTCCACATGTCCTCCTACCAGCTATTCATCCCCCGCACACCCATCCTTCCATCTTGTCAAACACATCCATCCTTCGACCCATCCATCATTCCCTCCGTTCTTTGATACAGCCCTCCATGCATCCACACCCCCCCTCCATCCATCCATCCATCCCCCAATACAGCCGTCCATCCATCCACACCCCCATCCATCCACACACCCCCTCCACACGCCTCCTCCATCCATCCATCCGCACACCCCCTCCATCCATCTATCATTCCGTCAATTCTCTGATACCCCCCTCCATCCATCCATCCATCCCCCAATATAGCTGTCCATCCATCCCCCAATATAGCCCTCCAACAATCCATCCACCCCCTCTATCCATCTATCCACACACCCCCTCCATCCATCCACCCCCCACACTCTCATCTGTTGAATGATCAGTAGCCCAGTCTTGGACATCTGAGGCTTAGAAGTGTCTTCCTGAGATGGCCCTGGAGCACTGGCTAATGTCCCCACCGCACTGCAAAGCAAAGCGGGATACAAGGAGAAGGAGCCGGCGCCCCGGGAGCAGCCGCTGACCTGTGACGGCGTCGGTGGAGACGGGGCCGAGGCGCTTGCGATCGGAGACACCGTAGAGGTTGAACTTGTATCGGCGGGAGGGGGCCAGGTTGGCGACGGTGACTGTGCGGGATCCCCCGTCCACGGGCAGCGCCTGGGGGTTGCCCTCTGCGTCCTTGTACTGGAGGATGAAGGAGTCGAAGGTCCCGGCCTGGACGGTCCAGGAGAGCAGGGCAGAGTTGTGGGTGATGTTGGAGGCCGAGAGCTCCCCCAGGCTGGGCTGGGGGCTGGGTTCCTCCTCTTGCAGTGCCGCGGCTAGAACAGAGAGAGGGGGGTGAAGGGGCCAGATCACTGTCTGGGATAAAAGGCAACAATTGGAGGGAAGAGAAAGCAGAAGAGTGGAGAAAAAAAATAGACTCAAAACCGACCAAAAGAAAAAATGAATGAGGAAGGAGGGGAAACGTTCGAGGAAACGGAAGAGAGAAAAGGGGGGAAGCAGCAAAGGAAGAAAGAGGAAGAAAAGTAGAGGAAAGAATCCAAGGGAAGTGGGGAGACAGCGTGAGAGAGATCGGGAAGGGGAGAATGAAAGCATGAAAGGGAGGAAATAGAAGAATGATGGGGAAGGAACGTTGACTAAACAGCGTAGAGGAAGGAAAGGAGAGAACTGGATGGCGCAGACGGACAGAGAGTGAAAGTGGAGGAGAAAGAGAAATGAGGAGTAGATCGATCACGGAAAGGGGAGAGAAGGGGAGGATCCCTGGACTCACAGATGACAGACAAAGAGAGAAAGAAGGGGGAGGTAGAAAGAAAGGCACAGACCAGCCGGAGGGTAGAAGCAGGAGAGTGAAGGAGATAAAAGAAGGGCATTGGACGGACAGAAGGGGGAAGAAAGAGCCGGTTGCCTGGCATTGGGAGAAGCTGAAGGCAGAAAGAGAGAGAAGGTGGAAGGAGGCAGAGAACTAGGCACAGGAGATAGACGGAGCGTGGGAGGAGGAGGAGGAAACAGCCCCGGGACCCTGGGGATGGGCTGGCGGCCGGGTGGCTCTCAGCACAGACAGACACATGGTGCACGCCTGTGCTGTGAGCAAGGACAAGGGCACAAGCGGCTCCGGAGAGAGACGTGACGCTCGAGGAGCCAGAGAGGCCGAGGAGACCCAGGCACCTGGGCGCAGCCGCTGACCTGTGACGGCGTCGGTGGAGACGGGGCCGAGGCGCTTGCGGCCGGAGACGCCGTAGAGGTTGAACTTGTATCTGCGGGAGGGGGCCAGGTCATGGAGGTGGAGGGAGCGCAGGGCACCGTCCACGGGCAGCGCCCGGGGGTTGCCCTCTGCGTCCCGGTACTGGAGGATGAAGGAGTCGAAGGTCCCCACCTCCACGGTCCAGGAAAGGTCGAGAGAGTTGTGGGCTGCGTTGGCCACCGAGAGCTCCCCCAGGCGGAGCTGCGTCCCGACTCCCTCCTCCCGCGGTGCCATGGCTGGAAGAGAGATTGGGGGGGTGAGGGGCATGGCCACTCGCTGAGTCCAAGCGGGGACAATGAACCAGAGAGAGCAGGGGCAGGGCATGCTGGGGCTCATGCCCCGTTACCCAGGAACTCTGCAGGGAGTGAAAAGTTAAGCGGGGAGGTCGAAAGGGAGCAAAAAGGAGAGATGGGACCTCGAGAGGGGGCCTGGGTGACCCTGAGTGTATCCTGAATGGGAGAGATGGATGGATGGATGGATGCTGGGGTTGGATGGAGGTGTGGCTACAAGTTAGCGATAGATGGATGCTGGGGATGGATGGATGGATGGATGCAGGTGTGGGTACAAGTTGGAGATGGATGGATGGATGCTGGGGATGGATGGAGGTGTGGGTACATGTTGGGGATGGATAGATGGATGGATGCTGGGGATGGATGGATGGAGGTGTGGCCACATGCTGGAGATGGACGGAGGAGTACACAGTCACGTGTAGGCCCCATAAAGAGGTCCATAGACAGTCCAAGGAAGGGGGACTGGGGCAGACTCAGACAAGCGGGACAGAGGAACATGGGCTGGAAGCAGCATCTTGGTCCCCCAAGCTCCTGTGCAATGGAGAGAGACCACGAAGAGAAGATGGAAGAGAAGAACGTCTTCGCGATGGCCAGCACCGTTACTGTGCTGCAGGGCAAAGCGGGGTAAGAGGGGAAGGGGCTCGGCACCCCCGGGAGCAGCCGCTGACCTGTGACGGCGTCGGTGGAGACGGGGCCGAGGCGCTTATGGCCGGAGATGCCGTAGAGGTTGAACTTGTATCGGCGGGAGGGGGCCAGGTTGGTGATGGTGACTGTGCGGGATCCCCCATCCACGGGTAGCACCTGGAGTTTGCCCTCCGCGTCCTTGTACTGGAGGAGGAAGGAGTCGAAATCCCTGGCCTGGACAGTCCAGGAGAGCAGGGCGGAGTCGTGGGTGACGTCGGAGGCCGAGAGCTCCCCCAGGCTGGGCTGGGGGGCGGGTTCCTCCTCCCGTGGCGCCGCGGCTGGAACAGAGAGAGGGGGGTGAAGAGCGCAGCCGAGGTGGGCATGGCTCACCGGATCCTTCAGGGTCTGGGTTATTCCTAGGCCAGAGGGGATCTGCAGAGAGAATTAGCAGGGGGAGGGTGCAGGGATACTAAGGGACCAGTCCCAGGACACAGACGGATCCTGCTTCTGGGAAGTAGAATTGCAGACAGGCGGATGGTGAAAGTCTATAAAGAGGATCCCACATTCCCGAGTTCACCGCGGCGATCCCACCCCATGGAGGGGTCGGCCCAGAGCGACCGGCACAAACCTCGGTGAGAGCTGAGCTCAGACGGGAGGAGAGAGGGGGAAGGAAGAACAAATGAGAGAGAAAGAGAAGGGGGTGAACCAAACCCACCAACATCACTGTGAAGATCCCTATTGACACCCATCCACCCCCAGAAACTCCTCCATCCCCATACACAACCATCCATCAACATACCATCCGTCCGTCTACCCGTCCATCCATGCATTCATCACCACAACCATCCGGGCCTTGTTTCTGACAACGGCAGCTGGTCACAGAGTCACACGTATACAACTACCGGTGAATCCCCCAAAACACCCATCCTTCCCCACACACATCCCCATACACCTCCGCCCACCCTTCCCCCATCCCTCCATCCGTCTCCATACACCTCCGCCCACCCTTCCCCCGTCCCTCCATCCGTCTCCATACACCTCCGCCCACCCTTCCCCGTCCCTCCATCCGTCCCCATACACCTCCGCCCACCCTTCCCCGTCCCTCCATCCGTCCCCATACACCTCCTCACCCTTCCCCCGTCCATTCTAATTCACATCTGCCTTCCCACCTATCCTTCCGTCCGTCCATCCTTCCATCTCCATAAATATCCAATCCTCTATCTATTCATACATCTTCATCCACCCCTATAGACAGTCATCCATCTACCTATTCATTCAGCGATCCATCCCCATACACATCTATCCATTCACTCAACCTGCCCCATGCACATCCACACCCCCACCCACCCACCCACCCGTCTATCCATCCATCCATCCACCCACCCACACTCTCTCTGGCCGGCAATCTGCTTGTTAAAGCTGGAGGATTGAAGGCATCTTCCTTGGAAGGTCCCGGCCCAGGGGTCAGTGCCTCTGACACTGGAAAGCAAAGGGGGCAGGAGGGGACGGAGCCGGTGCCCCGGGAGCAGCCGCTGACCTGTGACGGCGTCGGTGGAGACGGGGCCGAGGCGCTTGCGGCTGGAGATGCCGTAGAGGTTGAACTTGTATCGGCGGGAGGGGGCCAGGTTGGCGACGGTGACCGTGCGGGATCCCCCGTCCACAGGCAGCGCCTGGGGTTTGCCCTCCGCGTCCTTGTACTGGAGGAGGAAGGAGTCAAAGTCCCCGGACTGTACAGTCCAGGAGAGCAGGGCGGAGTCGTGGGTGACGTCGGAGGCCGAGAGCTCCCCCAGGCTGGGCTGGGGGGCGGGTTCCTCCTCCCGTGGCGCCGCGGCTGGAACAGAGAGAGGGGGGTGAAGAGCGCAGCCGAGGTGGGCATGGCTCACCGGATCCTTCAGGGTCTGGGTTATTCCTAGGCCAGAGGGGATCTGCAGAGAGAATTAGCAGGGGGAGGGTGCAGGGATACTAAGGGACCAGTCCCAGGACACAGACGGATCCTGCTTCTGGGAAGTAGAATTGCAGACAGGCGGATGATGAAAGTCTATAAAGAGGATCCCACATTCCCGAGTTCACCGCGGCGATCCCACCCCATGGAGGGGTCGGCCCAGAGCGACCGGCACAAACCTCGGTGAGAGCTGAGCTCAGACGGGAGGAGAGAGGGGGAAGGAAGAACAAATGAGAGAGAAAGAGAAGGGGGTGAACCAAACCCACCAACATCACTGTGAAGATCCCTATTGACACCCATCCACCCCCAGAAACTCCTCCATCCCCATACACAACCATCCATCAACATACCATCCGTCCGTCTACCCGTCCATCCATGCATTCATCACCACAACCATCCGGGCCTTGTTTCTGACAACGGCAGCTGGTCACAGAGTCACACGTATACAACTACCGGTGAATCCCCCAAAACACCCATCCTTCCCCACACACATCCCCATACACCTCCGCCCACCCTTCCCCCATCCCTCCATCCGTCTCCATACACCTCCGCCCACCCTTCCCCCGTCCCTCCATCCGTCTCCATACACCTCCGCCCACCCTTCCCCCGTCCCTCCATCCGTCCCCATACACCTCCGCCCACCCTTCCCCGTCCCTCCATCCGTCCCCATACACCTCCTCACCCTTCCCCCCGTCCATTCTAATTCACATCTGCCTTCCCACCTATCCTTCCGTCCGTCCATCCTTCCATCTCCATAAATATCCAATCCTCTATCTATTCATACATCTTCATCCACCCCTATAGACAGTCATCCATCTACCTATTCATTCAGCGATCCATCCCCATACACATCTATCCATTCACTCAACCTGCCCCATGCACATCCACACCCCCACCCACCCACCCACCCGTCCATCCATCCATCCATCCACCCACCCACACTCTCTCTGGCCGGCAATCTGCTTGTTAAAGCTGGAGGATTGAAGGCATCTTCCTTGGAAGGTCCCGGCCCAGGGGTCAGTGCCTCTGACACTGGAAAGCAAAGGGGGCAGGAGGGGACGGAGCCGGTGCCCCGGGAGCAGCCGCTGACCTGTGACGGCGTCGGTGGAGACGGGGCCGAGGCGCTTGCGGCTGGAGATGCCGTAGAGGTTGAACTTGTATCGGCGGGAGGGGGCCAGGTTGGCGACGGTGACCGTGCGGGATCCCCCGTCCACAGGCAGCGCCTGGGGTTTGCCCTCCGCGTCCTTGTACTGGAGGAGGAAGGAGTCAAAGTCCCCGGACTGTACAGTCCAGGAGAGCAGGGCGGAGTCGTGGGTGACGTTGGAGGCCGAGAGCTCCCCCAGGCTCGGCTCGGAGGCAGGATCCTTCTCCCGCAGCGCTGCGGCTGGAACAGAGAGAGGGGGGTGAAGGGTGCAGCTAGGGTGGGGGAGGCTCACTGGGTCCTTGAGGCCCGGATTATTCCTAACCAGAGGGGACCTGAGGAGAGGAATTATTGTGGGGAGGGCGAAGGGAGTCCCAGGGACTAGCCCTAGGACACAACTGGATCCTGCTGCTGGGCAGGAGAGCTGGGGACAGACCGACAGATGGGGCATGTCTGCAAAGAGGATCCCACATTCCCCGTGGCCACCCCGTCTCCGTGGAGGGGTTGGCCCAGAGCAACCGGCACAAACCTCGGTGAGGGAAGGAAGAAGAAATGAGAGAGAAAGAGAAGGGGTTGAACCAATGCCACCACTGGCAATGGAAAGATCCCCACTGACACCCATTCATTGCCAAACCCACCCCTCCATCCATCACTCCCAATATACACCCATCTATCCATCCCTGTACACACCCATACACTCCATCCATCCCTCCCCTCATCCATCCACCCACCCCCATACACACCCATCCGTTAGTCGATCACCAAACCATCTGTCTGTCCAACCATCCATCCATCACTATACATAACAGCCTTTTGGCTCCCAGTACTAACTGGCAGAAGGGTTACACATACACACATGTCTACCTATGCATCCCCATAAATAGCCCTCCATCCCCATGCACATCCGTCCACCCACCCATCTGTCTATCCATCCCCATCCACAGCCATTCCTCCATCTATCCATCCGTGGCCACCAATTCCATCCTTCCATCCATCCCCATACACATCTATCCATTCACTCAACCTGCCCCGTGCACATCGATCCACCAGTTTATCCCTCCATCCCTCCATCCATCCCTCCCTCCATCCATCCATCCATCCGTGCCTATCAATTCTCTTCTCTCCAGACCTTGAATGGCTGGTAGTCTGGTGGTGGAGGCTGGAGGCTTGGAAGCATCTTTTTGGGAAGTTCTTAGCCTGGGGGCCAGCATCACCACCACGCTGCAAAGCAAAGGGGGCGGGAGGGGACGGAGCCGGCACTCCCGGGAGCAGCCGCTGACCTGTGACGGCGTCGGTGGAGACGGGGCCGAGGCGCTTGCGGCCGGAGATGCCGTAGAGGTTGAACTTGTATCTGCGGGAGGGGGCCAGGTTGGCGACGGTGACCGTGCGGGATCCCCCGTCCACGGGCAGCGCCTGGGGTTTGCCCTCCGCGTCCTTGTACTGGAGGAGGAAGGAGTCGAAGGTCCCCTCCTCCACGGTCCAGGAGAGCAGGATGGAGTTGTGGGTGACGTCAGAGGCCGAGAGCTCCCCCAGGCTGGGCTGGGGGGCGGGTTCCTCCTCCCCTGTCACGGCTGGAACAGAGAGAGGGGGGAGAAGGTCACAGCCAGGGGTGGGGGTGGCTCACTGGGTCCTTGGGGGCCCAAGTTATTCCAAGCGAGATGGGACCTGCAGAGACAATTAGTGAGGGGAGGGTGCAGGGAGCCCCAGGGACTGTTCCCAGGACAGAGCCGGATCCTGCTGCTGGGAAGCAGAGCTGGGGACAGACAGACAGATGGTGCATGTCTGCAAAGAGGATCCCACATTCCCGGGTTCCCCGCAACCACTCCGCTTCCGTGGAGGGGTCGGGTGAGAGCGACCAGCACAAACCATGGTGAGAGCTGAGCGGAGATGGGAGGAGAGAGAGGGAAAGAAGAACAAATGAGAGAGAAAGGGAAGGGAGTGAACCAAAGCCACCAATGTCAATAGAGATCCCCATTGACACCCATCCAGCCCCAGATACACACATCAGTCCATCCATCCCAGAACACTTCTTCTTCCATCCCTCTGCACGTACACCTATCCATCCATCCCTCCATCCCCGTACACAGCTACATACCCATCTATCACCAAACCCTCCCTCTGTCCATCCATCCATCCCTCCATCCCCGTACACAGCTACATACCCATCTATCACCAAACCCTCCCTCTGTCCATCCAACCATCCCTCCATCCCCGTACGCAGCTCCATACCCATCTATCACCAACCCTCCCTCTGTCCATCCATCCATCCCTCCATCCCCGTACGCAGCTCCATACCCATCTATCACCAAACCCTCCCTCTGTCCATCCAACCATCCCTCCATCCCCGTACGCAGCTCCATACCCATCTATCACCAACCCTCCCTCTCTCCATCCATCCATCCCTCCATCCCCGTACACAGCTCCATACCCATCTATCACCAAACCCTCCCTCTGTCCATCCATCCATCCCTCCATCCCCGTACACAGCTACATACCCATCTATCACCAAACCCTCCCTCTGTCCATCCAACCATCCCTCCATCCCCGTACGCAGCTCCATACCCATCTATCACCAACCCTCCCTCTGTCCATCCAACCATCCCTCCATCCCCGTACGCAGCTCCATACCCATCTATCACCAAACCCTCCCTCTGTCCATCCAACCATCCCTCCATCCCCGTACGCAGCTCCATACCCATCTATCACCAACCCTCCCTCTCTCCATCCATCCATCCCTCCATCCCCGTACACAGCTCCATACCCATCTATCACCAAACCCTCCCTCTGTCCATCCATCCATCCCTCCATCCCCGTACACAGCTACATACCCATCTATCACCAAACCCTCCCTCTGTCCATCCAACCATCCCTCCATCCCCGTACGCAGCTCCATACCCATCTATCACCAACCCTCCCTCTCTCCATCCATCCATCCCTCCATCCCCGTACACAGCTCCATACCCATCTATCACCAAACCCTCCCTCTGTCCATCCATCCATCCCTCCATCCCCGTACACAGCTACATACCCATCTATCACCAAACCCTCCCTCTGTCCATCCAACCATCCATCCCTCCATCCCCGTAGGCAGCTCCATACCCATCTATCACCAAACCCTCCCTCTGTCCATCCATCCATCCCTCCATCCCCGTACACAGCTACATACCCATCTATCACCAAACCCTCCCTCTGTCCATCCAACCATCCATCCATCCATCCATCCCCGTAGGCAGCTCCATACCCATCTATCACCAAACCCTCCCTCTCTCCATCCATCCATCCATCCATCCCCGTACACAGCTACATACCCATCTATCACCAAACCCTCCCTCTGTCCATCCAACCATCCATCCATCCATCCCCGTACACAGCTCCATACCCATCTATCACCAAACCCTCCCTCTGTCCATCCATCCATCCATCCATCCCCGTACACAGCTACATACCCATCTATCACCAAACCCTCCCTCTGTCCATCCAACCATCCATCCCTCCATCCCCGTACACAGCTCCATACCCATCTATCACCAAACCCTCCCTCTGTCCATCCATCCATCCCTCCATCCCCGTACACAGCTACATACCCATCTATCACCAAACCCTCCCTCTCTCCATCCATCCATCCCTCCATCCCCGTACACAGCTACATACCCATCTATCACCAAACCCTCCCTCTGTCCATCCAACCATCCCTCCATCCCCGTACACAGCTACATACCCATCTATCACCAAACCCTCCCTCTCTCCATCCAACCATCCCTCCGTTCCCGTACACAGCTACATACCCATCTATCACCAACCCTCCCTCTGTCCAAGTATCTCTGCATCCATCCCCATATGCAACAGAGCTATTATGGCTGCCAGTATCACCAGGCAGAAGGGTTACACATACATACAAATACACCTCTACGTGTGCATCTCCCAAAACAGCTGTCCATCCCCGTACGCCTCCACGCACCCTTCACCCCTTTCCTCCATCTGTCCTCATACACCTCACCCACCTGCTTGTCTGCCCATCCATCCACATCTGCATCCATTCCTCTATCTATCCGACTGTCCCCTCCATCCATCCATCCCAATACACACCCCTCTGTCCATTGATCCATCCCTCCACACAACTCCTCCATCCATCCATCTTCCTCTCTCTAGCTGTTGAATGGGTGACAATCTGTCTGGGGGAGGCTGGAGGATTGGAAGCAACTTCCTGCGAATGTCCCGGCCCTGTGGTCGGCGTTACCACCACGCTGCAAAGCAAAGGGGGCGGGTGGGGAAGACGCCGGCACCCCCGGGAGCAGCCGCTGACCTGTGACGGCATCGGTGGAGATGGGGCCCAGGCGCTTGCGGCCGGAGATGCCGTAGAGGTTGAACTTGTATCGGCGGGAGGGGGCCAGGTTGGCGACGGTGACCGTGCGGGATCCCCCGTCCACGGGCAGCGCCTGGGGTTTACCCTCCGCGTCCTTGTACTGGAGGAGGAAGGAGTCGAAGTCCCCGGCCTGGACGGTCCAGGAGAGCAGGGCGGAGTCGTGGGTGACGTCGGAGGCTGAGAGCTCCCCCAGGCTTGGCTCGGAGGCGGGTTCCTTCTCCCGCAGCGCTGCGGCTGGAACAGAGAGAGGGAGGTGAAGGTCACATCCAGGGTTGGGGGCAGCTTTCCGGGTTCATGTGGGGCCGGGTTATTCTGAGCCAGAGGGGATCTGCAGAGATGATTAGTGGGGGAGGGGGCAGGGAGCCCCAGTGACCAGCCCCAGGACACAGCTGGATCCTGAAGCTGGGAAGGGGAGCTGGGGACAGAGAGACGGACGGGGTATGTCTGCAAAGAGGATCCCACATTCCCGGGTTCCCCAGGGTCATCCCGCCCCACGGAGGGTGTGATGTTATGAGTGCAATATCATATCTCATTGATGGGTGACAGGGCCAGAAAGAGTTATTAACTCACAGACTGGCGTGACCCAGGGCTAAACTGTAAAGACTGGTTAGGAAGATCTGGAAATGAAGAGAGGTTTGCAATGCAGCCGGCATGGTTAGAGAGAGAAGGGGAGCTGCGTGCTCAAGTCTTGTGACGTCAGCAAACAAGTCTTGTCTATGGCTGTGGCTTTGATCCAAAGATCAAAAAGGCGTATTAATATTTAGGAAGACACTGGAGGGAACTAGTAAGATTGTCTCTATGTCTCTGGGAAGGTTGTGATAACCTGTGTCTGAACTGTTTAATGGAGAAATTACCCTGGGCTAATTGCCAGGATGTTTGGGAGGAGGAAATTTAAGCCGATTGTTTTCTCAGGCCAAAAGGCTGCAGGAAATGTATAAAGACCCCGGGACCCGATCCTCCTTCATCTCAGATCTGCTTTGGGGTTCAAGAAGGGGAAACCCAGATCCATAAGGATTGAGATCCCCAGTCGCTGACTGGAGTCACCCTGAATATGGACATTTAGAAATAGGCCACAGGTTATAGTCCAAGAACTTGGCCACTACAAACTTATCTCTGCTGTGACTCTGGACCTCAAGAACTGAACTCAAGTCTGTCTGGATATTGATCTTTCAACCAATGCCCTTTTCTTTTTTAATACATTTTAGTTTAGCTAATAAGAATTGGCGAGAAACAGGTATTCTGGGTAAGATCAAAGCTATCATTTGACTTGGGTGTGTGGCTGATCCTTTGGGATTGGAAGGACCTTTTCCTTTATACGGTGAGAAGATTTTCAGAATTTATCATCCTATGTTTGATGTGTGTCTGGACGGCGGCCGGAGGCCAGGCACTGTAAGGGCACTGCGTTGTTGGACTCCTGGGTCCCCGTGGGAGGTCGGACAGAGGCTGCTTTGGCCTGGCTGGGTAAATCTCGGCAGTGGAATATCCACCAGGGTTTGGGGTTCGCCTGCCCCAGTCTGTTTGCAGTTCACCCGGATTGAGTGACCTCAGCTGGCTCCCACGGGCACCTTCGTTACAGGGGGGTCTTTCCGGCACAAATCATTGTGAGAGCTGAGCTGGGGAGGGGAGAGGGGGAAGGAAGAACAAATGAGAGAGAGAGCGAAGGGGGTGAACCAAAGCCGCGAACATCAGTGGAAAGATCCCCATTGACACCCATCCAGCCCCACGGAGGGAGCTCAGCACCCACCAGCAGCCAGCTCCTCCCGCTCCCTCCCAGCGCTTCCCATCCGCTGGGATCAGCTGTTCCGCAGAGGGGGAGGAGCGGGGATGGGGCAGGCTCAGGGGAGGGGGTGGACCTGGCAGGAAGAGGTGGGACGGGGCAGAACACGGGTGGAAAAAGGCGGGGTGGGGATTTGGAGGAAGGGGTGGAGTGGGGGTGGGGCCTGGGGTGGAGCAGGGGTTGAGCACCCGCCAGGGCAAGGAGTAATCCGGCACCTGGGCACTCATCCACATACAGCCAGGCATCCGTCCATCGATCTGTGCGTCCACACATTCAGCGATTCCTCTCCATTTATCCCCCGCGTCTCACCATCAATGTCATCCATCCCCACGCACCCTTCCACCCTGCCACCGATCCGCAAGCAGATCCATGCACCCATCTACCAGTCCGTCCCAATACACCCCATAACACACAGCCATCCACCCGTCTACCTGTCCCTCCCCATACACCCCATAACACACACCCATCCACCCGTCTACCTGTCCCTCCCCATACACCCCAAAACACACAGCCATCCACCCGTCTACCAGTCCATCCCCATACACCCCAAAACACACAGCCATCCACCCGTCTACCTGTCCCTCCCTATACACCCCAAAACACACAGCCATCCACCCGTCTACCAGTCCGTCCCCATACACCCCAAAACACACAGCCATCCACCCGTCTACCAGTCCGTCCCCATACACCCCAAAACACACAGCCATCCACCCGTCTACCAGTCCGTCCCCATACACCCCAAAACACACAGCCATCCACCCGTCTACCAGTCCGTCCCCATACACCCCAAAACACACAGCCATCCACCCGTCTACCAGTCCGTCCCCATACACCCCAAAACACACAGCCATCCACCCGTCTACCAGTCCGTCCCCATACACCCCAAAACACACACCCATCCACCCGTCTACCTGTCCCTCCCTATACACCCCAAAACACACAGCCATCCACCCGTCTACCTGTCCCTCCCCATACACCCCATAACACACAGCCATCCACCCGTCTACCAGTCCGTCCCCATACACCCCATAGCACACAGCCATCCACCCGTCTACCAGTCCGTCCCCATACACCCCAAAACACACAGCCATCCACCCGTCTACCTGTTCCTCCCCATACACCCCAAAACACACAGCCATCCACCCATCTACCTGTCCATCCCCATACACCCCATAACACACAGCCATCCACCCGTCTACCAGTCCGTTCCCATACACCCCAAAACACACAGCCATCCACCCGTCTACCTGTCCCTCCCCATACACCCCATAACACACAGCCATCCACCCATCTACCTGTCCATCCCCATACACCCCATAACACACAGCCATCCACCCGTCTACCAGTACGTCCCCATACACCCCAAAACACACAGCCATCCACCCGTCTACCAGTCCGTCCCCATACACCCCATAGTACACAGCCATCCACCCATCTACCAGTCCGTCCCCATACACCCCATAGCACACAGCCATCCACCCATCTACCAGTCCCTCCCCATACACCCCATAGCACACAGCCATCCACCCGTCTACCAGTCCGTCCCCATACACCCCATAGCACACAGCCATCCACTCATGCCAAAATTACCCATTGTTAAGGCTACATTTTTGTCATGGACAGGTCATGGGCATTAAACAAAAATACACGGCTGGTGACCTGTCCATGACTTTTACTATGTACCCCTAACTAAAACTTGGGCGTGGGGCTGCAGGTGTTTTTCTGGGGGGGTTGTCCGGTGCTGGTGCTGGGTGGGAGCAGGCAGCAGCGTGTGGCCCGGGACCCCTGCTGGTGCTGTGAGGGGAGGGTTGGTGGGGCTCGCAGGCTCCAGGCTCTGGGTGTCCCTGCAGCTCCTAGGCGGCGGAGGGTCCAGGGGGCTCCGCGCTCTGCTCCCACCACAAGCGCCGGCTGAGCAGCTCCCATTGGCCGGGAACCGCAACCAGTGGGAGGTGCAGGGGAGGGGCCTGTGAGCGTGGGCAGTGCGTGGAGCCCCCAGACCTCTCCGCTGCCTAGGAGCTGCAGAGCCATGCCAGTGGGAGCCGGGGAGCCCCCCATCCCAAGGTAAGTGCCCCCCTGCATCCCTCTTCCCCAGCCCCCTCCCACACATCCAGAGTGCTGCTGCTGTCCGCTGCAGAAGTCACAGAGGTCACGGAAACTCACGGAATCCATGACGTCCATGACCTCCGTGACAGACTCACAGCCTCACGCATTGTCCATCCATCCTCATACACAGCTATCCCTCCCTTCGTCCCAACACACATCCATCCATCCATCCATCTACCAATCCATCTCCATACACAGCTATCCCTCCCTTCGTCCCAACACACTTCCACCCACCCACCCACCCATCTACCAATCCATCTCCATACACAGCTATCCCTCCCTTCGTCCCAACACCCATCCACCCATCCATCCATCCATCCATCTACCAATCCATCCATCCATCTATCCATCCATCCATCTACCAATCCATCCCCATACACAGCTATCCCTCCCTTCATCCCAACACCCATCCACCCATCCATCCATCCACCAATCCATCCATCCATCTATCCATCCATCCATCCACCAATCCATCCCCATACACAGCTATCCCTCCCTTTGTCCCAACACACATCCACCCACCCATCCATCCATCCCCATACACAGCTATCCCTCCCTTCGTCCCAACACCCACCCACCCACCCACCCATCTACCAATCCATTCATCCATCCATCCATCTACCAATCCATCCCCATACACAGCTATCCCTCCCTTCATCCCAACACCCATCCACCCATCCATCCATCTACCAATCCATCCATCCATCTACCAATCCATCCCCATACACAGCTATCCCTCCCTTCGTCTCAACACACATAGAATCATAGAATATCAGGGTTGGAAGAGACCTCAAGTGGTCATCTAGTCCAACCCCCTGCTCAAAGCAGGACCAATCCCCCATAGTTGCCCCAGATCCCTAAATGGCCCCCTCAAGGATTGAACTCACAACTCTCGGTTTAGCAGCCCAATGCTCAAACCACTGAGCTATCCCTCCCCCCGATTCACCACCAACAGACCCCACCTCATTTCCCTAAACTTTGATCATAGAGTATTTTTATAAAGGCCTCATACTGGGCTTAATGTAATACATCACCTGGATAGCAAAGGTACCAACTCCACCTGAAGCGCCGAAAATTAATATTCGTTAATCCATCCATCCATCTACGAATCCACCCATCCATCCATCCATTCATCCATCTACCAATCCATCCCCATACACAGCTATCCCTCCATTCGTCCCAACACACATCCATCCATCCATCCATCCATCTACCAATCCACCCACCCATCCATCCATCCATCTACCAATCCATCCCCATACACAGCTATCCCTCCTTTCTTCTCAACACACACCCATCCATCCATCCATCCACCCATCCCCATACACAGCTATCCCTCCATTCGTCCCAACACACATCCATCCATCCATCCATCTACCAATCCATCCCCATACACAGCTATCCCTCCTTTCGTCTCAACACACATCCATCCATCCATCCATCCATCCATCCATCCATCCACCAATCCATCCATCCACCAATCCATCCCCATACACAGCTATCCCTCGATCTTTCTCAACACATATCCACCCATCCATCCATCCATCTACCAATCCATCCATCCACACCCTCTATCCATCCACCCACCCACCAACACCGCTCTGTCCAGCCATGTGAACACATAACCTTCTCTCTCTCACCATCTGTTGAATGCACATAGATAGGTCATGGAAGCTGGAGAGTGGGAAGCGTCATCCCAGGAAGGTCCTAGCCTAGTGGCCAGCAGCCCTGCCACACTGCAAAACAAAGGGGGGTGGGTGGGGAAGGGGCCAGTGCCCGGGAGCAGCTGCTGACCTGTGACGGCGTCGGTGGAGATGGGGCCGAGGCGCTTGCGGCCAGAGATGCCGTAGAGGTTGAACTTGTATCTGCGGGAGGGGGCCAGGTTGGAGACGGTGACCATGCGGGATTCCCCATCCACGGGCAGCGCCTGGGGTTTGCCCTCCGTGTCCTTGTACTGGAGGAGGAAGGAGTCGAAGGTCCCGGCTTGGACGGTCCAGGAGAGCAGGGCGGAGTCGTGGGTGACGTTGGAGGCCCAGAGCTCCCCCAGGCTGGGCTGGGGGGCGGGTTCCTCCTCCCGCGGTGCCGTGGCTGGAACAGAGAGAGGGGGGTGAAGCGCATGGCCAGCAGGAGCACTTGCCGGGTCCTTGGGGGAGCCGGTTATTGCCAGCCAGAGGGGATCAGCAGAGAGAATTAGCAGGGGAGGGGGCAGGGAGCCCCAGGGACCGGCCCCAGGACACAGCTGGATCCTGCTGCTGGGAAGGAGACCTGGGGACAGACAGACGCACGGGGCATGTCTCCAAAGAGAGTCCTGCATTCCAAGGTTCCCCGCGGCCATCCCGCCTCCGTGGAGGGGTCAGCCCAGAGCGACCAGCACAAAACTCGGTGAGAGCTGAGCTGAGATGGGAGGAGAGAGGGGGAAGGAAGAACAAATGACAGCAAGAGAGAAGGGGGTGAACCAAAGCCACCGTCAATGGAAAGATCCTCATGGACACCCATCCAGCCCAACACAAACCTATACAGCCATCGATCACCATACCATACACCCATCCAGCCACGCATCTATCATCATACTCACCGTGTCCCATTGCTCACAATGCCACCTGGCCACACATCTACCCATGAATCCCCCAAAATACCCATCCATCCCCACACACATCCACCCACCTTACCGTCTGTATGTCCACCCTTCCATCCATCCCCACACAAATCCACCCACCCTACCGTCTATCCGTCCACCCCCATATATGTCCATTCCTCTATCCATTCATTACCATCGTCTCCATCCATCCATCCATCCATCCCCATACAAATCTATCCATTCAATTAACCTGCCCAAGACACATTGATCCAGTTGTCTGTCTATCCATCTATCCATCCATCCCCATCCACACTCCTCTCTCTACCCATTGAGTGGCCGGCAATCTGCTTATGGAGGCTGGAGGATTGGAAGTGTCTTCCTGGGAAGGTCCTGGCCCAGTGGTCGGCGTTTCTGACACTGCAAAGCAAAGGGGGTGGGAAAGGGGCTGGTACCCCGGGTCCAGCTGCTGACCTGTGACGGCGTCGGTGGAGACGGGGCCGAGGCGCTTGCGGCCAGAGATGCCGTAGAGGTTGAACTTGTATCGGCGGGAAGGTGTCAGGTTAGCGGCAGTGATCGTGCGGGATGCCCCGCCCACGGGCAGCGCCTGGGGGTTGCCCTCCGCGTCCTTGTACTGGAGGAGGAAGGAGTCGAAGGTCCCCTCCTCCACGGTCCAGGAGAGCAGGGCGGAGTCATGGGTGACGTCAGAGGCTGAGAGCTCCCCCAGGCTGGGCTGGGGGGCAGGTTCCTCCTCCCGCGGTGCCGCGGCTGGAACAGAGAGAGGGGGGTGAAGGGCATGGCTAGCAGGAGCAGCTCGTTGAGTCCTTGGGGGCCAGGTTATTCCTAGGCCAGAGGGGATCAGCAGAGAGGATTAGCGTGGAGAGGGTGCAGGGAGACCCACAGACTGGCCCCAGGACACAGACAGATGGACGGGGCATGTCTGCAAAGAGGATCCCACATTCCTGGGTCCTCCGCAGCCATCCCTCCCCATGGAGGGGTCGGCCCAGAGTGACTGGCACAAACCACAGGCAGAGCTGAGCTGAGACGGGAGGAGAGAGGGGGAAGGAAGAACAAATGAGAGAGAGGGAAGGGGATGAACCATAACCACCACCATCAACGGAAAGATCCCCATTGACACCCATCCAGCTCCAGACACTCCTCCATCCATCCCTCCATCGCTATACACATCCCTCCCTCCATCCACCACTGTACCATCCATCCATCCATCCATGAATCTACCAATCCATCCCCATACACAGCTATCCCTCCCTTCGTCCCAAAACACATCCACCCACCCACCCACCCACCCATCCATCTACCAATCCATCCATCCATCCATCTACCAATCCATCCCCATACACAGCTATCCCTCCCTTCGTCCCAACACACATCCACCCATCCATCCATCCATCCATCTACCAATCCACCCATCCATCCCCATATACAGCTATCCCTCCCTTTGTCTCAACACACATAGAATCATAGAATATCAGGGGTGGAAGGGACCTCAAGAGGTCATCTAGTCCAACCCCCTGCTCAAAGCAGGACCAATCCCCCATAGTTACCCCAGATCCCTGAATGGCCCCCTCAAGGATTGAACTCACAACCCTCAGTTTAGCAGCCCAATGCTCAAACCACTGAGCTATCGCTCCCCCACCAACAGCCCCCACCTCATTTCCCTAAACTTTGATCATAGAGTATTTTTATAAAGGCCTCATACTGGGCTTATTGTAATACATCACCTGGATAGCAAAGGTACCAACTCCACCTGAAGCGCCGAAAATTAATATTCGTTTCCCATCCACCCATCCATCCATCCACCCATCCATCTACCAATCCATCCATCCATCCATCCATCCACCAATCCATCCCCATACACAGCTATCCCTCCCTTCGTCTCAACACACATCCATCCATCCATCCATCCACCAATCCATCCATCCATCCATCCATCTACCAATCCATCCCCATACACAGCTATCCCTCCCTTCGTCCCAACACACATCCACCCATCCATCCATCCATCCATCTACCAATCCACCCATCCATCCCCATACACAGCTATCCCTCCCTTTGTCTCAACACACATAGAATCATTGAATATCAGGGGTGGAAGGGACCTCAAGAGGTCATCTAGTCCAACCCCCTGCTCAAAGCAGGACCAATCCCCCATAGTTACCCCAGATCCCTAAATGGCCCCCTCAAGGATTGAACTCACAACCCTCGGTTTAGCAGCCCAATGCTCAAACCACTGAGCTATCCCTCCCCCCGATTCATCACCAACAGCCCCCACCTCATTTCCCTAAACTTTGATCATAGAGTATTTTTATAAAGGCCTCATACTGGGCTTATTGTAATACATCACCTGGATAGCAAAGGTACCAACTCCACCTGAAGCGCCAAAAATTAATATTCGTTTCCCATCCACCCATCCATCCATCCACCCATCCATCCATCCATCTACCAATCCATCCATCCATCCATCTACCAATCCATCCCCATACACAGCTATCCCTCCTTTCGTCTCAACACACACCCATCCATCCATCCATCCATCCACCAATCCATCCATCCATCCATCTACCAATCCATCCCCATACACAGCTATCCCTCCTTTCGTCTCAACACACATCCATCCATCCATCTACCAATCCATCCCCATACACAGCTATCCCTCGATCTTTCTCAACACATATCCACCCATCCATCCATCCATCCATCTACCAATCCATCCATCCACACCCTCTATCCATCCACCCACCCACCAACACCGCTCTGTCCAGCCATGTGAACACATAACCTTCTCTCTCTCTCCATCTGTTGAATGGACATAGATAGGTCATGGAAGCTGGAGAGTGGGAAGCGTCATCCCAGGAAGGTCCTAGCCTAGTGGCCAGCAGCCCTGCCACACTGCAAAACAAAGGGGGGTGGGTGGGGAAGGGGCCAGTGCCCGGGAGCAGCTGCTGACCTGTGACGGTGTCGGTGGAGATGGGGCCGAGGCGCTTGCGGCCGGAGATGCCGTAGAGGTTGAACTTGTATCGGCGGGAGGGGGCCAGGTTGGAGACGGTGACCGTGCGGGATTCCCCATCCACGGGCAGCGCCTGGGGTTTGCCCTCCGCGTCCTTGTACTGGAGGAGGAAGGAGTCGAAGGTCCCGGCTTGGACAGTCCAGGAGAGCAGGGCGGAGTCGTGGGTGATGTTGGAGGCCGAGAGCTCCCCCAGGCTGGGCTGGGGGGTGGGTTCCTCCTCCCGCGGCGCCGTGGCTGGAACAGAGAGAGGGGGGTGAAGCGCATGGCCAGCAGGAACACTTGCCGGGTCCTTGGGGGAGCCGGTTATTGCCAGCCAGAGGGGATCAGCAGAGAGAATTAGCAGGGGAGGGGGGAGGGAGCCCCAGGGACCGGCCCCAGGACACAGCGGATCCTGCTGCTGGGAAGGAGACCTGGGGACAGACAGATGCACGGGGCATGTCTCCAAAGAGAGTCCTGCATTCCAAGGTTCCCCGCGGCCATCCCGCCTCCGTGGAGGGGTCGGCCCAGAGCGACCAGCACAAAACTCGGTGAGAGCTGAGCTGAGACGGGAGGAGAGAGGGGGAAGGAAGAACAAATGAGAGAGAGGGAAGGGGGTGAACCATAACCACCACCATCAATGGAAAGATCCCCATTGACACCCATCCAGCTCCAGACACTCCTCCATCCATCCCTCCATCGCTATACACATCCCTCCCTCCATCCACCACTGTACCATCCATCCATCCATCCATGCATCTACCAATCCATCCCCATACACAGCTATCCCTCCCTTCGTCCCAACACACATCCACCCACCCACCCACCCACCCATCCATCCATCCATCTACCAATCCATCCATCCATCTACCAATCCATCCCCATACACAGCTATCCCTCCCTTCGTCCCAACACACATCCACCCATCCATCCATCCATCCATCTACCAATCCACCCATCCATCCCCATACACAGCTATCCCTCCCTCTGTCTCAACACACATAGAATCATAGAATATCAGGGGTGGAAGGGACCTCAAGAGGTCATCTAGTCCAACCCCCTGCTCAAAGCAGGACCAATCCCCCATAGTTGCCCCAGATCCCTAAATGGCCCCCTCAAGGATTGAACTCACAACCCTCGGTTTAGCTGCCCAATGCTCAAACCACTGAGCTATCGCTCCCCCACCAACAGCCCCCACCTCATTTCCCTAAACTTTGATCATAGAGTATTTTTATAAAGGCCTCATACTGGGCTTATTGTAATACATCACCTGGATAGCAAAGGTACCAACTCCACCTGAAGCGCCGAAAATTAATATTCGTTTCCCATCCACCCATCCATCCATCCACCCATCCATCCATCCATCTACCAATCCATCCATCCATCCATCCATGCATCTACCAATCCATCCCCATACACAGCTATCCCTCCCTTCGTCCCAACACACATCCATCCATCCATCCATCTACCAATCCACCCATCCATCCATCCATCCATCTACCAATCCATCCCCATACACAGCTATCCCTCCTTTCGTCTCAACACACACCCATCCATCCATCCATCCATCCATCCCCATACACAGCTATCCCTCCCTTCGTCCCAACACACATCCATCCATCCATCCATCTACCAATCCACCCATCCATCCATCCATCCATCTACCAATCCATCCCCATACACAGCTATCCCTCCTTTCGTCTCAACACACACCCATCCATCCATCCATCCATCCATCCATCCCCATACACAGCTATCCCTCCCTTCGTCCCAACACACATCCATCCATCCATCCATCCATCCACCAATCCATCCATCTACCAATCCATCCCCATACACAGCTATCCCTCCTTTCGTCTCAACACACATCCATCCATCCATCTACCAATCCATCCCCATACACAGCTATCCCTCGATCTTTCTCAACACATATCCACCCATCCATCCATCCATCCATCTACCAATCCATCCATCCACACCCTCTATCCATCCACCCACCCACCAACACCGCTCTGTCCAGCCATGTGAACACATAACCTTCTCTCTCTCTCCATCTGTTGAATGGACATAGATAGGTCATGGAAGCTGGAGAGTGGGAAGCGTCATCCCAGGAAGGTCCTAGCCTAGTGGCCAGCAGCCCTGCCACACTGCAAAACAAAGGGGGGTGGGTGGGGAAGGGGCCAGTGCCCGGGAGCAGCTGCTGACCTGTGACGGTGTCGGTGGAGATGGGGCCGAGGCGCTTGCGGCCGGAGATGCCGTAGAGGTTGAACTTGTATCGGCGGGAGGGGGCCAGGTTGGAGACGGTGACCGTGCGGGATTCCCCATCCACGGGCAGCGCCTGGGGTTTGCCCTCCGCGTCCTTGTACTGAAGGAGGAAGGAGTCGAAGGTCCCGGCTTGGACAGTCCAGGAGAGCAGGGCGGAGTCGTGGGTGACATTGGAGGCCGAGAGCTCCCCCAGGCTGGGCTGGGGGGCGGGTTCCTCCTCCCGCGGCGCCGTGGCTGGAACAGAGAGAGGGGGGTGAAGCGCATGGCCAGCAGGAACACTTGCCGGGTCCTTGGGGGAGCCGGTTATTGCCAGCCAGAGGGGATCAGCAGAGAGAATTAGCAGGGGAGGGGGCAGGGAGCCCCCGGGACCGGCCCCAGGACACAGCTGGATCCTGCTGCTGGGAAGGAGACCTGGGGACAGACAGACGCACGGGGCATGTCTCCAAAGAGAGTCCTGCATTCCAAGGTTCCCCGCGGCCATCCCGCCTCCGTGGAGGCGTCGGCCCAGAGCGACCAGCACAAAACTCGGTGAGAGCTGAGCTGAGATGGGAGGAGAGAGGGGGAAGGAAGAACAAATGACAGCAAGAGAGAAGGGGGTGAACCAAAGCCACCGTCAATGGAAAGATCCTCACGGACACCCATCCAGCCCAACACAAACCTATACAGCCATCGATCACCATACCATACACCCATCCAGCCACGCATCTATCATCATACTCACCGTGTCCCATTGCTCACAATGCCACCTGGCCACACATCTACCCATGAATCCCCCAAAATACCCATCCATCCCCACACACATCCACCCACCCTACCGTCTGTATGTCCACCCTTCCATCCATCCCCACACAAATCCACCCACCCTACCGTCTATCCGTCCACCCCCATATATGTCCATTCCTCTATCCATTCATTACCATCGTCTCCATCCATCCATCCATCCATCCCCATACAAATCTATCCATTCAATTAACCTGCCCAAGACACATTGATCCAGCTGTCTGTCTATCCATCTATCCCCATCCACACTCCTCTCTCTACCCATTGAGTGGCCGGCAATCTGCTTATGGAGGCTGGAGGATTGGAAGTGTCTTCCTGGGAAGGTCCTGGCCCAGTGATCGGCGTTTCTGACACTGCAAGGCAAAGGGGGTGGGAAAGGGGCTGGTACCCCGGGTCCAGCTGCTGACCTGTGACGGCGTCGGTGGAGACGGGGCCGAGGCGCTTGCGGCCAGAGATGCCGTAGAGGTTGAACTTGTATCGGCGGGAAGGTGTCAGGTTAGCGACAGTGATTGTGTGGGATGCCCCGTCCACGGGCAGCGCCTGGGGGTTGCCCTCCGCGTCCTTGTACTGGAGGAGGAAGGAGTCAAAGGTCCCCTCCTCCACGGTCCAGGAGAGCAGGGCGGAGTCATGGGTGACGTCAGAGGCTGAGAGCTCCCCCAGGCTGGGCTGGGGGGCAGGTTCCTCCTCCCGCGGTGCCGCGGCTGGAACAGAGAGAGGGGGGTGAAGGGCATGGCTAGCAGGAGCAGCTCGTTGGGTCCTTGGGGGCCAGGTTATTCCTAGGCCAGAGGGGATCAGCAGAGAGGATTAGCGTGGAGAGGGTGCAGGGAGACCCACAGACTGGCCCCAGGACACAGACAGATGGACGGGCATGTCTGCAAAGAGGATCCCACATTCCTGGGTCCTCCGCAGCCATCCCTCCCCATGGAGGGGTCGGCCCAGAGTGACTGGCACAAACCACAGGCAGAGCTGAGCTGAGACGGGAGGAGAGAGGGGGAAGGAAGAACAAATGAGAGAGAGGGAAGGGGGTGAACCATAACCACCACCATCAACGGAAAGATCCCCATTGACACCCATCCAGCTCCAGACACTCCTCCATCCATCCCTCCATCGCTATACACATCCCTCCCTCCATCCACCACTGTACCATCCATCCATCCATCCATGCATCTATCACCTTACCCACCCGGCCCTTCTGGTTGACAATGCGACCTAGCCACAGAGTTATACATACACATCTATAAATCAATCTCCCAAAACACCCATCCATTCCCACACACACCCACCCACCCTACCATCTGTACGTCCATCCATCGATCCCCATACACATCCATCCACCCTACCGTCTGTACATCCATCCATCCATCCCCTAACACACCCACCCACCCTACCATCTGTACGTCCATCCATCGATCCCCATACACATCCATCTACCAGTCTGTCCTTCTGTCCATCCCCATACACATCCACCCAGGCACGCATCCATTCACCAGTCGCCATGCACGCCTGCCCACCAGTCCGACTGTCCAACCATCAGCTACACATCTGCCTACCCCCCCATCCATTTGACCATCCCCATATATATCCATTCTTCTTTCTATTGACCCATTACCATCCCCTCCATCCATCCATCTCTATCCACCCACAAAGACATCCTGTTAATTCATCCATCCATCCCTATACACATCTATCCATTCACTCAACCTGCCCCATGCACATCCATACAACTGTTTGTCTATCCATCCATCCCCATCCACACTCTTCACTCTACCCATTGAGTGGCTGGCAATCTGCTTGTGGAGGCTGGAGGCTTGGAAGCGTCTTCCTGGGAAGGTCCTGGCCCAGTGGTCGGCATCCCTGACACTGCAAAGCAAAGGGGGCGGGAGGGGACAGAGCCGGCGCCCCGGGTCCAGCTGCTGACCTGTGACGGCGTCGGTGGAGACGGGGCCGAGGCGCTTGCGGCCGGAGATGCCGTAGAGGTTGAACTTGTATCGGCGGGAGGGGGCCAGGTTGGCGACGGTGACCGTGCGGGATCCCCCGTCCACGGGCAGCGCCTGGGGGTTGCCCTCCGCGTCCTTGTACTGGAGGAGGAAGGAGTCGAAGTCCCCAGCCTGGATGGTCCAGGAGAGCAGGATGGAGTCGTGGGTGACGTCGGAGGCCGAGAGCTCCCCCAGGCTGGGCTGGGTGGCGGGTTCCTCCTTCCGTGGTGCTGCGGCTGGAACAGAGAAAGGGGGGGGTGAAGGGCAGGGCCAGCAAGAGCAGCTTGCTGGGTCCTGGAGGGTGGGGTTATTCCTAGGCCAGATGGGATCTGCAGAGAGGATTAGCAGAGGAAGGGTGCAGGGAGCCCAAGCAACCGGCCCCAGGACCGGCCCCAGGACACAGCCGGATCCTGCTGCTGGGAAGGAGAAAGAGAAGGGGGTGATCCAAAGCCACCATCAATGGAAAGATCCCCATTGACACCCATCCAGCCCCAGATGCTCCTCCATCCATTTCCCCATCACCATATGCACCCGTCCCTCCATCCATCCATCCATCCATTCCTCACTACACCATACGTCCATCCATCCATGCATTTATCACCTTACCCACCCAGACTTTCTTGCTGACAATGTGACCTAGCCACAGAGTTACACAGACACATCTGTAGCCACCTTCCTGTATACAGTGCTATAAAATCCCTCCTGGCCAGAGGCAACATCCTGTTACCTGTAAAGGGTTGAGAAGCTCAGCTAACCTGGCTGGCACCTGACCCAAAGGACCAATAAGGGGACAAGATACTTTCAAATCTTGGGGTGGGGGGGGAGGCTTTTGTTTGTGCTCTTTGTTTACAGGGTTGTTCTCTCTTGGGACTGAGAGAGGCCAGACAGAAATCCATCTTCTCCAACCCATCCTAACCCAAGTCTCCGATATTGCAACCAGTAGAGGTAAGCCAGGCAAGGCAGATTAGTTTATCTTTTGTTTTATGTGAATTTTCCCTGGGTTAAGAGGGAGGTTTATTCCCGTTTTCTGTAACTTTAAGGTTTTGCCCAGAGGGGGATCCTCTGTGTTTTGAATCTGAATACCCTGTGAAGTATTTTCCATCCTGATTTTACAGGGATGATTTTTACCTTTCTTTTTTTTTTTTAATAAAATCCTTCTTTTAAGAACCTGACTGATTTGTCCATTGTTCCAAGATCCAGGGGTTTGGGTCTTTGATGATTTTGATGACCAGTTGGTTAGGATATTATTCTCAAGCCTTCCCCAGGAAAGGGGTGTAGGGCTTGGGGGGATATTTTGGGGGAAGACGTCTCCAAGTGGGCTCTTTCCCTGTTCTTTGTTTAACTTGCTTGGTGGTGGCAGCATAGGGTTCAAGGACAAGGCAAAGTTTGTACCTTGGGGAAGTTTTTAACCTAAGCTGGTAAGAATAAGCTTAGGGGGTCTTTCATGCAGGTCCCCACATCTGTACCCTAGAGTTCAGTATGGGGAAGGAATCTTGACACACATACACAACTACAAATGCATCCCCTAAAATACACATCCATCGCCACACACATCCACCCACCCTACCATCCATACATCCATCCATCCTTCCACAAACACATCCACCCACCCTTCTATCCCTCCATCCCTCTCTATATATCCACATTTCTCTTTCTATCCATCCATTACCATCCCCTCCATTCATCAATCCCTCTATCCATCCATCCAACCACATCGAAGCACTCCATCCATTCCTCCGCACACACCCCCATCCATCCCCATACACACTCATCCATTTGTCTATCACCATACCACCTGTCTGTCCAGCCACCTATGCATCCATCACCATATGCAACACAGTCCTTATGGCTGCCAGTATCACCTGCCAAAAGGGTTACACGTACATACACGTACACCTCAATGCGTGCATCTCCAAAAACAGACATCCATCCCCATACACATCCGCCCACCTGCCTGTCCCTCCGTCCATCCCCATACACATCCGCCCACCTGCCTGTCCCTCCGTCCATCCCCATACACATCCGCCCACCTGCCTGTCCCTCCCTCCATCCCCATAAACATCCGCCCACCTGCCCATCCACCCATCCATCCCCATACACATCTACTCCTCTATCTATCCGACCATCCCCTCCATCCATCCATCCACCCCTGCAGACAGCCATTCATCTACCTTTGTATTCATCCATCTGTCCCCATACACATCTGTCCATTCACTCAACCTGCCCCATAGACATCCACCCATCCACCCACCCATCCCCATCCACACTTTTCTCTCTACCCACTGAATGCCCGCAGTCTGCTTCTGGAGGTTGGAAGTTTGGAAGAGTCTTCCTGTGAATGTCCCAGCCCAGTGTTTGGCGTCCATGTCACGCTGCAAAGCAAAGGGGGTGGGAGGGGACGGAGCCGGCGCCCCGGGAGCAGCCGCTGACCTGTGACGGCGTCGGTGGAGACGGGGCCGAGGCGCTTGCGGCCGGAGATGCCGTAGAGGTTGAACTTGTATCGGCGGGAGGGGGCCAGGTTGGCGACGGTGACCGTGCGGGATCCCCCGTCCACGGGCAGCACCTGGGGTTTACCCTCCGTGTCCTTGTACTGGAGGAGGAAGGAGTCAAAGTCCCCGGCCTGGACGGTCCAGGAGAGCAGGGCGGAGTCGTGGGTGACGTCGGAGGCCGAGAGCTCCCCCAGGCTGGGCTGGGGGGCGGGTTCCTTCTCCCGCGGCGCCGTGGCTGGGACAGAGAGAGGGGGGTGAAGGGCGCAGCCAGGGTGGGAGGCAGCTCACTCGGTCCTTGTGGGCCTTCATTATTCCTAGACCAGAGGGGACCTGCAGAGAGGATTAGCGGGGGGAGGGTGCAGGGAACCCACAGACCGGCCCCAGGACACAGCCGGATCCTCCTGCTGGGAAGGAGAGCTGGGGACAGATAGACGGACGGGGCATGTCTGCAAAGAGCATCCCACGTTCCCCGGTTCCATCCATCCACATGCACATCCATCAACCCTCCAGACAGCCATCCCCATTCATATCCGCACACCCACTCATCCATCTATCCATCTATCCATCCACCCCTGTAGACAGCCATTCATCTACCTTTGTATTCATTCATCCATCCCCATACGCATCTGTCCATTCACTCAACCCGCCCCATAGACGTCCATCCATCCATCCCCATCCACACTCCTCTCTCTACACATTGAATGGCCGGCACTCTATTTCTGGATGCTGGAGACCTGGAAGCATCTTCTTGTAAATGTCTCGGCCCCGTGGTTGGCGTCAGTGTCACCCTGCTCACCTGTGACGGCGTCGGTGGAGACGGGGCCGAGGCGCTTGCGGCCGGAGACGCCGTAGAGGTTGAACTTGTATCGGCGGGAGGGGGCCAGGTTGGCGACGGTGACCGTGCGAGATCCGCCATCCACAGTCAGTACCTGGGGTTTGCCCTCCGCGTCCTTGTAGTGGAGGAGGAAGGAGTCGAAGTCGCCGGCCTGGACGGTCCAGGAGAGCAGGGCGGAGTCGTGGGTGACATCGGAGGCCGAGAGCTCCCCCAGGCTGGGCTGGGGGGCAGGTTCCTCCTCCCGCGGCGCCGTGGCTGGAACAGAGAGAGGGGGGTGAAGGGGAAAGCCAGGGTGGGGGATGGCTCACTGGGACCTTGGGGGGCCAGGTTATTTCTAGCCAGAGGGAATCTGCAGGAAGGATTAGTGGGGGGAGGGTGCAGGGAGCCCCAAGGACTTGTCCCAGGACACAGCCAGATCCTGCTGCTGGGAAGGAGAGCTGGGGACAGACAGAGGAACGGGGCATGTCTGCAAAGAGGATCCCACATTCCCAGGTTCCCTGCAGCCACCCCACCTCCGTGGGAGGGTTCAACAGAGAGCGACCGGCACAAACCTCGGTGAGAGCTGAGTTGAGACAGAGGGAAGGAAACAGAAACGAGACAGAAAGAAAAGGAGGTGAACCAAAACCACCAATGTCAACGGATGACACCCATGCAGCCCCAGACACTCCTCCATCCATTCCTCCATCCCCATACACATCCATCCATCCATCGGTCCATCACTATACCATACGTTCATCCATCCATGCATCTATCACCTTACTGACCCTGTCCTTGTAGCTGATAATGCAACCTAGCCACAGAGTTACAAAAATACAGGTACCCATGTGTGACGAAGTGGGACTGTTCTTAATGTTTCCTCTGAATAGTGTGGGGGTGCCTCAGTTTCCCCTAGGCAGTTCTTAAGTATCTAGGGGGTGGAGTAAGGGTGTCTGATCATTGCAGAGCCCTAGAGGGCAGGTGTGTGCAGGGGTCTGGACACAGAGAATGGCCGACACCCTGTTTCCTGGCAACTGATGGCCTGGGCCCTTCCCCCCCTGCAAGGTGAGAGCTGAAGGGTTGGAGAACAAAGGAATCAGGTGACCACCTGGCCCGGGAAAGGAACAAAGCCCAGAGGAGGAGGGGCTGGAGGGGGTTTTCAGTTTGGGGCTGGCTGGGACATGGAGTGAAGTGCAGACGTGGTTGTCTGGCTCACTGCCCCCCAGAATGGACCCAGCTGAGGGGTCCCGTTCTCTGCACCTGCAAGCTCTGTTTTAGACCATGTTCCTGTCGTCTAATAAACCTTCTGTTTTACTGGCTGGCTGAGAGTCACGTCTGACTGCGGAGTTGGGGTGCAGGACCCTCTGGCTTCCCCAGGAGCCCCGCCTGAGCGGACTCGCTGGGGGAAGCGCACGGAGGGGCAGAGGATGCTGAATGCTCCGAGGTCAGACCCAGGAAGGTGGAAGCTGTGTGAGCTGCGTGTCCTGAAGACAGGCTGCTCACAGAAAGGCGACTACCCCAGAGTCCTGACTGGCTTCATGGGGAGCAGTTCCAGAGCATCGCCCAGGGACTCCGTGACACCATGAACCCCCCAAAACACCCATCCAACCACTCTACCGTCTGTACGTCCATTCATCCATCACCAGACACGTCCACCCAGCCTTCTGTCCATCCGTCCGTCCACCACTTGCCATACACACACGCACCAGTCTGTCTGTCCATCCATTCCCCTATGCATCCGCTCACCTGCCCATCCATCCATCCATCCATCCATCCATCCATCCATCCATCCCCCTACACATCCACCCACCCACCCACTCATCTGTCCATCCCCATATATATCCATTCTTCTATCTATCCATCCATTACCATCCCCTCCATCCGTCCATCCATCCATCTCTATCCACCATCATAGACAGCCATCCATCTACCTATTAATTCATCCATCCACCCCATACACATCTATCAATTCATGGAGGCTAGGTCCATCAATGGCTATTAGCCAGGATGGGCAGGGATGGTGTCCCTAGCCTCTGTTTACCAGAAGCTGAAATGGGCGACAGGGGATGGATCACTTGGTGATTCCCTGTTTTGTCCATTCCCTCTGGGGCACCTGGCATTGGTCACTGTCAGAGGACAGGATTCTGGGCTAGATGGACCTTGGTCTGACCCAGTAGGGCCATTCTTATGTTCTTATCCATTCACTCAATCTGTCCTACACACATCCATCCAGCTGTCTGTCTATCCATCCATCCATCCACGCATCCATCCCCATCCACACTCCTCTCTCTACCCATTGAATGGCCGGCAATCTGCTTGTGGAGGCTGGAGGATTGGAAGTGTCTTTCTGAGAAGGGCTCGGCCCAGTGGACGGCGTCTCTGACACTGGAAAGGAAAGGGGGCGGGAGGGGACGGAGCCGGCACCCCTGGGTCCAGCCGCTGACCTGTGACGGCGTCGGTGGAGACGGGGCCAAGGCGCTTGCGGCCAGAGATGCCGTAGAGGTTGAACTTGTATCGGCGGGAGGGGGCCAGGTTGGCGACGGTGACCGAGCGGGATCCCCCGTCCACGGGCAGTGCCTGGGGTTTGCCCTCCGCGTCCTTGTACTGGAGGAGGAAGGAGTCAAAGTCCCCGGCCTGGACGGTCCAGGAGAGCAGGATGGAGTCGTGGGTGACATCGGAGGCTGAGAGCTTCCCCAGGCTGGGCTGGGAGGCGGGTTCCTTCTTCCGCGGCGCCGCGGCTGGAACAGAGAGAAGGGGGTGAAGGGTGCAGCCGGGGTAGGGTCAGCTCTCCAGGTCCTTATGGGGCCGGGTTATTCCTAGCCTAATGGGATCTGCAGAGAGGATTAGTGGGGGGGAAGGTGCAGGGAAACCACAGACCAGCCCCAGTACACATCCAGATCCTGCTGCTGGGAAGGAGATTTGGAGACAATGAGATGGATGGGGCATGTCTGCAAAGATGATCCCACATTCCCAGGTTCCCGGCGGCCACCCCGCCTCCGTGGAGGGTTTGGGCGAGAGCAACCAGCACAAACCACGGTGAGAGCTGAGCTGAGACAAAAGAGGAGAGAGAGGGAAGGAAGAACAAATGAGAGAGAAAGAGAATGGGGTGAACCAAAGTCACCGTCTGTGGAAAGATCCCCACTGACACAAAATCATCCCCAAGCACTCCTCCATTATCTGCATATACACCCATCCATCCATCCCTCCATCTCCATACATACCAACTCATCCATCCACCCCCATACCATATGTCCATCCATCCATACATCTATCAACTTACACACCCTGTCCTTATTGCTGAAGATCCTTTCATGGCTTGAGAACTGCTTAAAAGACAGGGAACAAAGGGTAGGAATAAAGGGTCAATTTTCAGAATGGAGAGGGGTAACTAGTGGTGTTCCCCAAGGGTCAGTCCTAGGACCATTCCTGTTCAACTTATTCATAAATGATCTGGAAAAGGGGTAAACAGTGAGGTGGCAAAGTTTGCAGACGATACTAACCTGTTCAAGATAGTTAAGACCAAAGCAGACTGTGAAGAACTTCAAAGAGATCTCACAAAACTAAGTGATTGGGCAACAAAATGGCACTGAATGACCGGAACCCAGCTTGTGGAGGCCGGGGGCTTGGAGGCCTGGCCCTGTGGTCGGCATCCCTGACACTGCAAAGTAAAGGGGGCGGGAGGGGACAGAGCCGGCGCCCCGGGTCCAGCTGCTGACCTGTGACGGCATCGGTGGAGACGGGGCCTAGGCGCTTGCGGCCAGAGATGCCGTAGAGGTTGAACTTGTATCGGCGGGAGGGGGCCAGGTTGGTGACGGTGACCGTGCGAGATCCCCCATCCATGGGCAGCGCCTGGGGGTTGCCCTCCGCATCCTTGTACTGGAGGAGGAAGGAGTCGAAGTCCCCGGCCTGGACGGTCCAGGAGAGCAGGGCGGAGTCGTGGGTGATGTCGGAGGCCGAGAGCTCCCCCAGGCTGGGTTGGGGGGCGGGTTCCTCCTCTCGCGGTGCCACGGCTGGAACAGAGAGAGCGGGGTGAAGAACGCGGATGGGATGGGAAATGGCTCACTGGGGCCATGAGGGGCTCGGTAATTCCTAGCCAGAGGGGATCTGTAGAGAGGATTAGCAGGGACAAGGTGCAGGGAGCCCCAAGGACCGTCCCCAGGACACAGCTGGTTCCTGTTCCTGGAAAGGAGAGCTGGGGACGGAAAGATGGATGGGGCATGTGTGGAAAAAGGACCCCACTTTTCCGGGTTCCCCGCAGCCAGCCCACCTCCATGGACTGGTTGGCCCAGAGCGATCAGCACAAACCTCAGTGAGAGTTGAGCTCAGACGGGAGGAGAGGGGGGAAGGAAGAACAAATGAGAGAGAAAAAGAAGTGGGTGAACCAAAGTCACCAACATCAATGGAAAGATCCCTGCTGACACCCATCCATCCCCAACCACTCCTCCATCTGTTCCTGTACACACCGATCCATCCCACACATATCTACCCACCTTTCCATCTGTCCATCCATCCATCCACCCCCATACATCTCTACCCAGGTGTGACGAAGCGGGATTGTTCTTAATGTTTCCTCTGAATATTGTGGGGGTGCCTCAGTTTCCCCTATGCAGTTCTTAAGTATCTAGGGGGTGGGGTAAGGGTGTATGATCATTGCAGAGCCCTAGAGGGCAGGTGTGGGCAGGGGTCTGGACACAGAGAATGGCCGACACCCTGTTTCCTGGCAACTGATGGCCTGGGCTCTTCCCCCCTGCAAAGTGAGAGCGAAAGGGTTGGAGAACAAAGGAATCCGGTGCCCTCCTGGCCCGGGAAAGGGACAAAGCCCAGAGGAGGGGGGCTGTAGGGAGTTTCAGTTTGGGGCAGGCTGGCTGGCTCACTGCCCCCCAAAATGGACCCAGCTGAGGGGTCCTGTTCTCTGCACCTACAAGCTCTGTGTTAGACCATGTTCCTGTCGTCTAATAAACCTTCTGTTTTACTGGCTGGCTGAGAGTCCCGTCTGACTGTGGAGTTGGGGTGCAGGACCCTCTGGCTTCCCCAGGACCCCGCCTGGGCGGACTCGGTGGGGGAAGCGCACGGAGGGGCAGAGGAGGCTGAATGCTCCGGGGTCAGACCCAGGAAGGTGGAAGCTGGGTGAGCTGTGTGTCCTGCAGACAGGCTGCTCACAGGGAGGAGACTTCCCCAGAGTCCTGCCCGGCTTTGTAGGGTGTAGTTCCCGAGCATCGCCCAGGGACTCCGTGACACCAGCCTTCTATCCATCCCTCCATCCACCCCCATACATATCTTCCCACCTGCCCATCCATCCATCCATCCCCATACAAATCCATTCCTCTCTCTACCCATAGATGACCATCCCCTCCATCCCTCCATCCACCCCTGTAGACACCCATCCATGTACCTATCTGTTCATCCATCTGTTTCCATACACATCATTCCAGTCACTCAACCTGTCCCATGCACACCCATCCAGCTGTCTGTCTGTATATCCATCCATCCATCCATCCCCATGCCTATCCACTCTCCTCTCTATCCACTCTCTTCTCTATCCAGGAGGCTTCGAAGCATCTTCTTGGGAATGTCCTGGCCCAGTGTTCAGCATCCACATCACACTGGAAAGTAAAGGGGGCCGAAGGGGAAGGAGCCGGCGCCCCCAGAGCAGCCGCTGACCTGTGACGGCGTCGGTGGAGACGGGGCCGAGGCGCTTGCGGCCAGAGATGCCGTAGAGTTTGAACTTGTATCGGTGGGAGGGGGCCAGGTTGGTGATGGTGACGGTGCGAGATCCCCCATCCACGGGCAGCGCCTGGGGTTTGCCCTCTGCATCCTTGTACTGGAGGAGGAAGGAGTCGAAGTCCCCGGACTGGACGGTCCAGGAGAGCGGGATGGAGTCATGGGTGATGTTGGAGGCCGAGAGCTCCCCCAGGCTTGGCTCGGAGGCGGGTTCCTCCTCCCGCGGCTCAGCAGCTGAAACAAAGAGGAGGGTAAGGGCATGGTTGGGGAAGAGGGCGGCTCACCAGGTCCTTGGTGGGCCGGGCTGTTCCTAGCCAAAGGGGATCAGCAGAGAAGATTAGTGGGATGAGGGTGCAGGGAGCCCTCGAGACCAGCCCCAGGACACAGCTGGATCCTGCTGCTGGGAAGAAGAGCTGGGGACAGACAGATGAACGGGGCAACTCTGCAAAAAGAATCCCACATCCCCGGGTTCCCTGAAGCCATCCCGCCTCCATGGAGGCATCGGCCCAGATCAACCGGCACAAACCACGGTGAGAGCTGAGCTCAGATGGGAGGAGAGAGGGGGAAGGAAGAACAAATGAGAGAGAAAGAGAAGGGCGTGAACCAAAGCCACCACCATCAATGGGAAGATCCCCATTGACACCCATCCATCCCCAACCACTCCTCAATCCATCCCTGTACACACCCATCCATCCACCCGTCCATGCATCACCACACCCAACCCAGCCCTTGTGGCTGCTGGAACTACCTGGCGGAAGGGATACACATACACCTCTACCCGTGCTTCCCCCCAAACCCCCATCCACCCCCATACATATCTACCCACCCTTCCATCCATCCATCCTCCCCCATACATGTCTACCCGTGCTTCCCCCAAAACCCCCATCCACCCCCATACATATGTGCCCACCCTTCCGTCTGTCTGTCCATCCACCCCATACATATCTACCCATGATTCCCCCAAAACCCCCATCCACCCCCATACATATGTACCCACCCGTCCGTCTGTCCGTCCCACCATCCATCCATCCACTCCCATACATATCTACCAACCCTTCCATCTCCCTGTGCCTCTATCCACCCCCATATCTACCCACCCTTCCGTCTGTCCGTCCATCCATCCATCCATCCATCCATCCACCCACCCCCATACATATCTACCTATGCTTCCATCTCCCTGTGCATCTATCCACCCCCATATCTACCCACCCCTCCGTCTGTCGGTCCACCCCCATCCACCTCCATACATAACTACCCACTCTTCTGTCAGTCCATACCTGAATCCACCCCGCTACATATCTACCCAGCTTTCTGTCCATCCATTCATCCATCCCCATACATATCTGCCCACCTGCCCGTCCATCCATCCTTCCCACCCCCATACATATCCATTCCTCTATCTACCCATCGATGACCATCCCCTCCATCCCTCCATCCAATCCTGTAGACACCCATCCATGTACTTATCTGTTCATCCATCTGTTCCCATACACATCATTCCAGTCACTCAACCTGTCCCATCCACACCCATGCAGCTGTCTGTCTGTCTATCCATCCATCCACCCCCGTGCCTATCCACTCTCCTCTCTATCCACTGAATGGCCGGTAATCTAGTAGTGGAGGCAGGAGGCTTCGAAGCATCTTCTTGGGAACCTCCTGGCCCAGTGTTTGGCGTCCACGTCACACTGGAAAGCAAAGGGGGCCGAAGAGGACAGAGCCGCGCCCCCGGAGCAGCCGCTGACCTGTGACGGCGTCGGTGAAGATGGGGCCGAGGCGCTTGCGGCCGGAGATGCCGTAGAGGTTGAACTTGTATCGGCGGGAGGGGGCCAGGTTGGCGACGGTGACGGTGCGAGATCCCCCATCCACGGGCAGTGCCTGGGGGTTGCCCTCCGCATCCTTGTACTGGAGGAGGAAGGAGTCGAAGTCCCCAGACTGGACGGTCCAGGAGAGCAGGACGGAGTCGTGGGTGACGTCGGAGGCCGAGAGCTCCCCCAGGCTGGGCTGGGGGGCGGGTTCCTCCTCCCGTGGCACCGCGGCTGGAACAAAGAGGAGGGTAAGGGCATTGCTGGGGTGGAGGGCGGCTCACCAGCTCTTTGTGGGGCCGGGCTGTTCCTAGCCAAAGGGGATCAGCAGAGAAGATTAGTGGGATGAGGGTGCAGGGAGCCCTACAGACTAGCCCCAGGACACAGCTGGATCCTGCTGCTGGGAAGAAGAGCTTGGGACAGACAGATGAACGTGGCATCTCTGCAAAGAGGATCCCACATCTCCGGGTACCCTGTATCCACCCTGCCTCCATGGAGGGGTTGGCCCAGATCAACCGGCACAAACCTCGGTGAGAGTTGGGCTGAGATGGGAGGAGAGAGGGGGAAGGAAGAACAAATGAGGGAGAAAGAGAAGGGGGTGAACCAAAGCCACCACCATCAATGGGAAGATCCCCATTGACACCCATCCATCCCCAACCACTCCTCCATCCATCCCTGTACACACCCATCCATCCACCCGTCCATGCATCACCACACCCAACCCAGCCCTTGTGGCTGCTGGAACTACCTGGCGGAAGGGATACACATACACCTCTACCCGTGCTTCCCCCCAAACCCCCATCCACCCCCATTCATATCTACCCACCCTTCCGTCCATCCATCCATCCATCCTCCCCCATACATGTCTACCCACCCTTCCGTCCATCCATCCGTCCTCCCCCATACATGTCTACCCGTGCTTCCCCCAAAACCCCCTTCCAGCCCCATACATATTTACCCACCCTTCTGTCTGTCTGTCCATCCATCCACCCCCATACATATCTACCCACCCTTCCATCTGTCCTTCCACCCGTTCACCCCCATGTATACACACGCATCCATCCATCCATCTACCCTCATACATCTCTACACAGACTTCCATCTGGCTGTCCATCCATCCATCCCCATACATATCTGCCCACCTGCCCGTCCATCCATCCATCCCCATACAAATCCATTCCTCTCTCTACCCATCGATGACCATCCCCTCCATCCCTCCATCCACCCCTGTAGACACCCATCCATGTACTTATCTGTTCATCCATCTGTTTCCATACACATCATTCCAGTCACTCAGCCTGCCCCATGCACACCCATCCAGCTGTCTGTCTGTATATCCATCCATCCATCCATCCACCCCCGTGCCTATCCACTCTCCATTGAATGTATTGAATGGCCGGTAATCTAGTAGTGGAGGCAGGAGGCTTCGAAGCATCTTCTTGGGAACCTCCTGGCCCAGTGTTTGGCGTCCACGTCACACTGGAAAGCAAAGGGGGCCGAAGGGGACAGAGCCGCGCCCCCGGAGCAGCCGCTGACCTGTGACGGCGTCGGTGAAGACGGGGCCGAGGCGCTTGCGGCCGGAGATGCCGTAGAGGTTGAACTTGTATCGGCGGGAGGGGGCCAGGTTGGCGACGGTGACGGTGCGAGATCCCCCATCCACGGGCAGCGCCTGGGGGTTGCCCTCCGCATCCTTGTACTGGAGGAGGAAGGAGTCGAAGTCCCCGGACTGGACGGTCCAGGAGAGCAGGGCGGAGTCGTGGGTGATGTCGGAGGCCGAGAGCTCCCCCAGGCTGGGCTGGGGGGCGGGTTCCTCCTCCCGTGGCACCGCGGCTGGAACAAAGAGGAGGGTAAGGGCATTGCTGGGGTGGAGGGCGGCTCACCAGCTCTTTGTGGGGCCGGGTTGTTCCTAGCCAAAGGGGATCAGCAGAGAAGATTAGTGGGATGAGGGTGCAGGGAGCCCTAGAGAGTAGCCCAAGGACACAGCTGGATCCTGCTGCTGGGAAGAAGAGCTGGGGACAGACAGATGGACAGGGCATCTCTGCAAAGAGGATCCCACATCCCCGGGTTCCCTGCAGCCACCCCGCCTCCATGGAGGGGTCGGCCCAGATCAACCGGCACAAACCACGGTGAGAGTTGGGCTGAGATGGGAGGAGAGAGGGGGAAGGAAGAAGAAACCAGGGAGAAAGAGAAGGGGGTGAACCAAAGCCACCAACATCAATGGAAAGATCCCCATTGACACCCATCCATCCCCAACCACTCCTCCATCCATCCCTGTACACACCCATCCATCCACCCGTCCATGCATCACCACACCCAACCCAGCCCTTGTGGCTGCTGGAACTACCTGGTGGAAGGGATACACATACACCTCTACCCGTGCATCCCCCCAAACCCCCATCCACCCCCATTCATATCTACCCACCCTTCCGTCCATCCATCCGTCCTCCCCCATACATGTCTACCCACCCTTCCGCCCATCCATCCGTCCTCCCCCATACACATCTACCCACCCTTCCTTCTGTGCGTCCATCCATCCCCTCCAATACATATGTACCGACCCTTCCATCCATCTATCCATCCACATCCATACATATGTACCCACCCTTCTGTCGTTCCATCCATATGTATCCACCCTTCCATCAGTCCATTCACCCATCCCCATTCCTCTATCTATCCATCGATGGCCATCCCCTCCATCAATCCATCCACCCATGTAGACACTCATCCATCTAACTATCTGTTCATCCATCTTTTCCCATACGCATCATTCTATTCCCTCAACCTGTCCCATGCATATTGATCCAGCTGTCTGTCTGTCTGTCTATCCATCCATCCACCCATCCCTATCTACTTTCTTCTCTCTATCCATTGAATGGCCAGCAGTCTAGTTATGGACGGACGGACCACTGGACTGACAGATGGACTTGGGGATGGACGGATGAGTGGACAGGTGGATGGATGGATGGATGGACGGATGCTCTCGTCCCTCCATGCTGCTTCCACACTCCAATCCTTGCTGCTTTCCCTCCTTTGCTCATCCTTCTCTCTCATTTCCTTGGAAACATCTTCTTGGGAAGGTCCAGTGGTCAGTGTCCCCACCACACTGCAAAGCAAAAGGGGCACAAGGGGAAGGAGCCGGTGCCCCGGATCCAGCCACTGACCTGTGACGGTGTCGGTGGACATGGGACCAAGGCGCTTGCGGCCGGAGATGCCGTAGAGGTTGAACTTGTATCTGCGGGAAGGGGCCAGCTTGGTGATGGTGACCGTGCGGGATCCCCCGTCCACGGGCAGCGCCTGGGGTTTTCCCTCCGCGTCCTTGTACTGGAGGAGGAAGGAGTCGAAGGTCCCGGCCTGGACAGTCCAGGAGAGCAGGGCGGAGTCGTGGGTGACGTCGGAGGCCGAGAGCTCCCCCAGGCTGGGCTGGGGGGCGGGATCTGCTGGTGCTGGCAGGGAGAGGGCAGGAGGGATGGTCCCATCAGTTCTGGGTCAGGGTGGGGCCAAGGGTGTGGGGTAGGGGAAGGGGAGTGGAGAAGTGGGGTGGGATCGCTGCGTGTATCTGCCCCGCGTCTGTTTGCCATCTTTCCCATGCCATCGCTTTGGTTCTCTCCCCACATCACTGCCATGAGCGATTCGTCCCTTTTCCTTTCTCCCTGCCACACTCTCCACCGCGCCTTGCTTCCGGTCACGGCCCGTCCCTCCCTCAGGCTCCTGCCCGTCCCGGCCACTCTCCCTTGTCGCTGTCTCCTTCTTCCTCTCCTCCACGCTGTCAGCCGGTCTCCCCTTTCCTCCAGCACGTTTCTCTTTAGTCTGTCGCGCTTCCTACTGTCACCGTCGCCTGCGGTCACCCCCCCCCGTCCCTTCACTCGTTTCCCTTCTTCTGTTTCTTTCCTTTGTCCCTTTCTTCCCTTCACCCTCCGTCCATCGGCACACACCTCCCTTTCTCTGCCACCTTCTTTCTGTTTTCCTACGGGGGCCGCTCCTTGCTCCCTCCCTGCCTCGTTGAAGGGGAGTGGGGGCTGGTGGGTTAGAGGAGCGGGGGCTGGGAGCCAGGACTCCTGGGTTCTCTCCCGGCTCAGGGAGAGGAGTGGGGGCTGGTGGGTTAGAGCAGGGGGTCTGGAAGCCAGGACTCCTGGGTTCTCTCCCAGCTCTGGGAGGTGAGTGGGGGCTGGTGGGTTAGAGCAGGGGGGCTGGGAGCCAGGACTCCTGGGTTCTCTGCCTGGCTCTGGGAGGTGAGTGGGGGCTGGTGGGTTAGAGCAGGGGGGCTGGGAGCCAGGACTCCTGAGTTCTCTGCCTGGCTCTGGGAGGGGAGTGGGGGCTAGTGGGTTAGGGCAGGGGGGTCGGGAGCCAGGACTCCTGAGTTCTCTGCCCGGCTCTGGGAGGGGAGTGGGGGCTGGTGGGTTAGGGCAGGGGGGCTGGAAGCCAGGACTCCTGGGTTCTCTCCCAGCTCAGGGAGAGGAGTGGGGGCTGGTGGGTTAGAGCAGGGGGGCTGGGAGCCAGGACTCCTGGGTTCTCTGCCTGGCTCTGGGAGGTGAGTGGGGGCTGGTGGGTTAGAGCAGGGGGGCTGGGAGCCAGGACTCCTGGGTTCTCTGCCTGGCTCTGGGAGGTGAGTAGGGGCTGGTGGGTTAGAGCAGGGGGGCTGGGAGCCAGGACTCCTGGGTTCTCTCCCAGCTTGGGGAGGTGAGTGGGGGCTGGTGGGTTAGAGCAGGGGGGCTGGGAGCCAGAACTCCTGGGTTCTCTGCCTGGCTCTGGGAGGGGAGTGGGGGCTAGTGGGTTAGGGCAGGGGGGTCGGGAGCCAGGACTCCTGGGTTCTCTGCCTGGCTCTGGGAGGTGAGTGGGGGCTGGTGGGTTAGAGCAGGAGGGCCGGGAGCCAGGACTCCTGGGTTCTCTGCCTGGCTCTGGGAGGGGAGTGGGGGCTAGTGGGTTAGGGCAGGGGGACCGGGAGCCAGGACTCCTGGGTTCTCTCCCAGCTTGGGGAGGTGAGTGGGGGCTGGTGGGTTAGAGCAGGGGGGCTGGGAGCCAGGACTCCTGGGTTCTCTGCCTGGCTCTGGGAGGGGAGTGGGGGCTGGTGGGTTAGGGCAGGGGGGCTGGGAGCCAGGACGCCTGGGTTCTCTGCCCGGCTCTGGGAGGGGAGTGGGGGCTGGTGGGTTAGGGCAGGGGGGCCGGGAGGCTCCTGGGCACTGCCCCCGAACACTGTGGAAGGAGAGCAGGCTGGTGGGCAAGTACCGAGCTGGGACTTAGAGTGGGCAGGGCACAGAGCAAGGGGCAGCTCGCGCTGCCCCGGCTGGCAGGGAGCTGAGGCGTGAGCTGCACAGGGGCTGGCGGTACCTGTCCGGACTCTGGCTCGGAGCGGGGGTGAGAGCTGGCCGCGGTGCACCCCATACAGTGTGACGTTGTACTCGGCGCCAGGCTGCAGCCCCCCGACGCGGGTCGCTCGCTGGTCCCCCGGCACCTCGGCCTCCTGGGGCCCCGTGCGCCCGGCCGCATCTTCGTAGCGCAGCAGGAAGGACTGGAACAGGCCCTTCCGCGCCCTCCACTGCAGCCCAAACCCATCGCTGGTCACGTTCCTGACCCCCAGGACCCCCAGCTCGTTTGGCCCGGGGCCCCCGCCAAGGCGTGCTGCGGGAAAGAGAGAGAGCGTAGCGCGGTCAGGATGCCTGGGCTCTCTGGGAGGGGAGGGAAGGGGAGTCTGATGGTTAGAGCAGGGGGGGCTGGGAGCCAGGACCCCTGGGTTCATTCCCCGGCCCTGAGAGGGGACCGGGGGCTAGTGGGTAGAGCAGGGTGGGGAGGGGGACCTAGGAGCCAGGACTCCTGGGTTCTCCAAGGCATCCATATAGCCCTGCACAGACTCGCTGTAAGGACGAGGTGAAGGATCCGGCAGAGGAGGGCTGGCTAGAGTAAGGGGCGGGGGTGTTACCTGTCCACACGCTGGTGGTGATGGGCTCTGAGATGGTCCCGTCAGGTGCCACCCCCCGCAGCTCCACCTCGTACTCGGTGCCGGGGCTCAGCTGGGTGACGATCACACTCCTCTTCCCCCCAGGCACCTGGGTCTGCCCGGGGGGCACCACGGAGCCGGGCTCCCGGTACCGCAGCAGGAAGTGCTGGAAGGGGCCAGTCGTGGCCGTCCAGGTGACGCGGAACCGGTCGGGGGAGACGTCTGTCACGGCCAGGTCCCCTGGGGGTGGCCCAGGGCGGGAGAGGCTGGGCATGGAGGTCTCTGGGGGCTGCTCGGTGCCGGATGCCTCTGGAGCTGGGGGGGGGGCATGAAAGGGTGAAAGGGCACCCCCCAGAGGGGAAAGACCCCGTGCCCCATTCCCCGCCCCCCTGAGCCAGCCAGTCCTTGCCCTGGGGGCAGATGGGAGCCGGCGCCCCCTAGAGGGCACAGGCCCCGAGCCCCATTCCCCGCCCCCCTGAGCCAGCCAGTCCCCGCCCTGGGGGCAGATGGGAGCCGGCGCCCCCTAGAGGGGAAAGACCCCGTGCCCCATTCCCCGCCCCCCTGAGCCAGCCAGTCCTCGCCCTGGGGGCAGATGGGAGCCGGCGCCCCCTAGAGGGGAAAGACCCCGTGCCCCATTCCCCGCCCCCCTGAGCCAGCCAGTCCCCGCCCTGGGGGCAGATGGGAGCCGGCGCCCCCTGGAGGGCACAGGCCCCGAGCCCCATTCCCTGTTGAGTCCGTGGCGTGAGGCCGGGAGCGGGTGGAAGCCAAACCAGCTGCAGGAGAAAGGGTGGGGTTAATGCCAGAGGAGAGAGAGGGCGGGAAGGGGACGGAGGGAGGGGAGGGTGGAGTCGCCCCGTCCGATGGCCATGCCAGGCCCGTGGGCAGAAGCCAGCAGCCTGCGGGAGAGAGGAGGGCAGAACCGAGCGGCTTAGCACCAGCGGGTGGCATCGGTGAACAGCCAAGGCGGGCGCGTGGCGGGCGCCGTGGCCGGTGGGGTTACTGAGCCAGAGCAGGCGAGCCCCCGGTCGGACTACCTGTGGAGGCGACAAAGGAATAGGACTTGGACAGCCGCCCCTGGACCAGGCCGTGGATCTCCACCTGGTAGGTGGTGCCGGGCGCCAGGCCCTGGAGGTGAACCGCCGCGGCGTCGCCGGGAACCGCCAGCTCCCCCGCTCCTCCGCCGTCGCCCGCCCGCCAGTGGCGGACCACCACGCGCTCCGCGTGGCCACGCATGCCCTCCAGCGAGACCACAATGGTGCCGGGGGAGCGGGCCACCACCGCCGGCTTGGTGTGGCCCCTGGGCCCCGCGTCCGAGCCGGGGGAGCCCGCCGAGAAGATGCTGCCCACCTCCCCGGCTATCTGGAAGCGGCCGGGGGGCCCCGTGGGCTGCTCCATGGGGTGCCCTTGCGGGGGTGCCATGGCCCCGAGCTCCTTCGAATGCTGGCCCAGCCCCACGTAGACCATCTCCTGTTCCTCCAGGGACTTCCTCTGCACCAGGTAGCGGTAGATGGCCTTGGCCACGGTGGCGATGGTTTGGTTGCCGCGGAGCGGGTAGCGTGTGGCACGGAGGTAGCTCTCCAGGCGCTGAAGCAGGGTCCCGTTGTACCGGGACAGCTTGGCCGTGAGGTTCTGCGTCATGGTCCGGAAGAAGAGCGGGCTGGGGACCGAGGAGGCGTTGGCTGGGGCGGGCCGGGGGCCCGGCTTCCCCGCGGGGCCAGGCGGCCGGAGACGGGGCACTGGGGGGCGCGTGGGCTCTGGGTGCAGCCGGCCAGGCAGGGGCAGGGTGGGCATCGGCGCTGCCAGGAGCAAATATTGGTGCAATTAGGGGATCCCATTCCCTGCCCCCCTGAGCCAGCCAGTCCCCCGCCCTGGGGTGGATCAGAGCCGGTGCCCCCTAGAGGGGAAAGGCCCCGTGCCCCATTCCTCACCCCCCTGAGCCAGCCAGTCCCTGCCCTGGGGGGAGACGGCACCTGCTGGAGGGGAAATGCCCCGTGCTCCCCGTCCGGTGCCTGTGAGCTAGCTGCGAAGAAGAGAGAAGGTAAGAGAACTGGGTTAGTCCGACCCCCCCGTGGCCGCTTGGCTCCGTGACCTGCGGATCCTAAATGGAGGGGGAGACGGGTGGTGAGTGGGGGGCGGGAGGGGCAGGCGCTGGCTCCGACCGGGCTCCCGGGCAGCCCCGCTCTGGGCAGAATGAAGAAATCACTCGCTGTGGGAGAGAGGGAAAGAAAAACCCTGAGCGGAGGAGTGGGGAGAAGAGAAGGAAAAACGTCTGGCTCCCTTATAGACACACGGGCGGATAGACGATGGACGACCAACTGGGCAGACGATTGGAGGGATGGAGGGATGGACGGACGGACAGGTGGATGGACGGATGGACAGACAGGTGAATGGATGGATGGATGGATGGATGGACGAACAGGTGGATGGATGGATGGATGGATGGATGGATGGACGAACAGGTGGATGGAAGGATGGATGGATGGATGGATGGACGAACAGGTGGATGGATGGATGGATGGACGAACAGGTGGATGGAAGGATTGATGGATGGATGGACGGACGGACGGACGGATGGACGGACGGACACGCTCGTCTCTCCGCGCCGCTCCCACACTCCAGTCCTTGCTGCTTTCCCCCCTTCACGCGTCCTCCTCTCTCATTTCCGTCTTTCCCTTCTCTCTCCCCCCTCCCCATCCCCTGCCCCGCTCCCGGGCCCGTGGGACCCACCGGTGCTGGCGTGGGTGGTGGCGGGAGGGCTCTGCTCTGGGCCGCGGTGGGCGGTCAGGGTGAGGGTGTACTGGGTGGTGCCGCGGAGGCCGGTCAGGGTGAGGGCGGTGCGGTCGGGGGGCAGGGCCAGGCGGGTGGGGGGCTCGGTGCTGTCCCGCCCCGCCGGGCCGTAGAGCAGGGTGTATCCGTCGGGCCGGGCGGCCGGGGGCTCCCAGCGCAGGCTCAGCGAGGTGGCCGTGGCCCCCGTGGGGCGCAGGTCGCGGGGCGCGTCGATCCCTGGAGGGGGAGAGGGGTGAGAGAGCGGAAGGGGGGCCCCCTCCCCAGAGAACCCCCCTGCCTCCTAAACTTCCCCCCAGCATCCCCTCCCCCCACGGCGCCCCCAGTCCAGAGAATCCCCCTCCTTACTGCCCCCTCCCCCCACTGGGCCCCCATCCCAAAGGGCTCCCATCACAGCCCCCAAACCTCCTGCCCCCCAGAGCTCCCCCCAACAGCCCCCCAGCGGCGTCCCTCCCGCCACTTACGGGTGCGGACGCTCTGGGTGGCGGGGGGGCCCGAGGCGCTGGGCCCGCTGGGCCCGGACGGTGACGCTGAACTCCTGGCCTGGGCCCAGCCCCGAGCGCTCGAAGGACGTGGCCGAGCCGGGCAGCTGCAGGGACTCGGCGCCCTCGGGGTCACCCTGGGGGGGATAAGGGGGGGGTCAGGGGCTGGGGGACGCAGCCCCCCCGCCCTCTCAGGCACCTCCCCCATCCCAGGCCCCCAAACCACAGAGTCACGGTGCTGCTGGGGGTCAGATGGGTCAGGGGATGGGGGTCCCCCCAGCCTCTGTCTGCACCCCCCCCATGCTCCCCCACCCCATCCAGACCCCCCACCCCCTCTTCCCACCTTCCTTCCAATGCCCCCTCCCAGAAGTGAGGCTCCCCAGGGCGGGGGCTGGGGGGTCACACACCCTCCTCCCCCACTGACATCCCCTGCCCTCCAGGGCCCAGATCCGGGACCAGCCCCCCTGCAGTGGGGGGAGGGGATGATTGACACCCCCCCTGGGACCCCATTACCGTGGGGACGAGGTGAATTTCATATCCATCCACGTGGGTCTTGGGGCGAGTCCATTGCAGGCGGAAGGAGCCCTCGTCCCGGCGCCCCACTCGCAGCGTCACGGCCGGGATCTCTGCGGGGGGACAGGGGTGAGTGCCCCGAACCCCCTTCCCTGCCCCCAGCCAGGCAGACCCCCACCCTGCGGCTGGCGCCCCGTCTCCCATTCCTTGCCCCCCTGAACCAGCGAGTCCCCTGCCCTGGGGCCAGATCGGGGCTGGCGCCCCCTAGAGGGGACAGGCCCTGTGTCCCAGGCCCCTGCCCCCCAAGACAGCTGCCCCCTCCCCCTGCCCCATAGAGGGAAAAGGCCCTGTGTGCCGGTCTGCACCCAGGGCCTCCCCTCTCCATCCAGCCAGGGCCTTTGATCTCTGTCCCGTCCTGGGCGGGGATGGAAAGCAAACACCTTGGGGAACAAGCGCGGCTCAGATCCCTGCCCCCCCCGGCACCGCGCCCCCCGGCCGGGATGAATGGGGCCGATTCTATGGGGGAACCGGAGCCGGAGGGGGCGCGGTGCCAAGGCTGATCTTGGCCTGCCCGGCTGTGGGATGGGCGGCTCCTAACAGGGGGTCTCTGTGCCCTGGGACGGGACGTCCCGGGCAAGGGGGCACCAGCTGCCATATAGATCTGGGGGGAGCTCCCCCCCGCCTTGGCCATGGGTCAGGAGAGGATTAGGCAGCACAAAGGCCCTTCAGCTCGGTGCCCAGCGCTGCCCCACATGGGGGGAGGGCAAGGACAGGGCGCCCCCGACCCTGCCTCAGGGATGGATGCCCAGGGACGTGGGGAGCAGGCACAGAGGGGGATTGTGGGTTGGGGGGCAGGACACAGAGGGGGATTGTGAGTAAGGGGTGGGGCACAGAGGGGGATTGTGGGTAGGGTGGCCACAATGGCCCAAGGCATTGTGGGTAGGGTGGCCAGGGCAGCCCAGGACACTGTCGGTAGGGTGGTGGGGGCAGCCCAGGGCACTGTGGGTAGGGCGGCCGGGGCGGCCCAGGGCATTGTGGGTAGGGTGGTGGGGGCGGCCCAGGGCATTGTGGGTAGGGTGGCCACGACAGCCCAGGGCATTGTGGAGGGCAGTTGGGGTGGCCCAGGGCACTGTGGGTAGGGTGTCCGCGACGGCCCAGGGCATTGTGGGTAGGGTGGTGGGGGTGGCCCAGGGCACTGTGGGTAGGGTGTCCGCGACGGCCCAGGGCACTGTGGGTAGGGTGTCCGTGATGGCCCAGAGCATTGTGGGCAGGGTGGTGGGGGTGGCCCAGGGCACTGTGGGCAGGGTGTCCGCAACGGCCCACGGCATTGTGGGTAGGGTGGTGGGGGTGGCCCAGGGCACTGTGAGTAGGGTGTCCGCGACAGCCCAGGGCATTGTGGGCAGGGCGGTGGGGGCGGCCCAGGGCATTGTGGGTAGGGCGGTTGGGGTGGCCCAGGGCACTGTGGGTAGGGTGTCCACAACGGCCCAGGGCATTGTGGGCAGGGCGGATGGGGTGGCCCAGGTCACTGTGGGTAGGGTGTCCGCGACGGCCCAGGGCATTGTGGGCAGGGCGGTGGAGGCGGCCCAGGGCATTGTGGGCAGGGCGGATGGGGTGGCCCAGGGCACTGTGGGCAGGGTGTCCGCGACGGCCCAGGGCATTGTGGGCAGGGTGGTGGGGGTGGCCCAGGCCACTGTGGGCAGGGCGGATGGGGTGGCCCAGGGCACTGTGAGTAGGGTGTCCGCGACGGCCCAGGGCACTGTGGGCCGGGCGGTGGGGGCAGCCCAGGGCACTGTGGGCAGGGTGTCCGCGACCGCCCAGGGCACTGTGGGTAGGGTGTCCGCGATGGCCCAGGGCACTGTGGGCAGGGCGGATGGGGTGGCCCAGGGCACTGTGAGTAGGGTGTCCGCGACAGCCCAGGGCATTGTGGGCAGGGCGGTGGGGGCAGCCCAGGGCACTGTGGGTAGGGTGTCCGCGACGGCCCAGGGCATTGTGGGCAGGGTGGTGCTAGTGGCCCAGGGCACTGTGGGTAGGGTGTCCGCGACAGCCCAGGGCATTGTGGGCAGGGCGGTTGGGGTGGCCCAGGGCATTGTGGGCAGGGTGGTGGGGGTGGCCCAGGGCACTGTGGGCAGGGTGTCCGCGACGGCCCAGGGCACTGTGGGCCGGGCGGCGGGGGCGGCCCAGGGCATTGTGGGTAGGGTGGTGGGGGTGGCCCAGGGCACTGTGGGTAGGGTGTCCGCGAGGGCCCAGGGCATTGTGGGCAGGGTGGTGGGGGTGGCCCAGGGCACTGTGGGTAGGGTGTCCGCGACGGCCCAGGGCATTGTGGGCAGGGTGGTGGGGGTGGCCCAGGGCATTGTGGGCAGGGCGGATGGGGTGGCCCAGGTCACTGTGGGTAGGGTGTCCGCGACGGCCCAGGGCATTGTGGGCAGGGCGGATGGGGTGGCCCAGGTCACTGTGGGTAGGGTGTCCGCGACGGCCCAGGGCATTGTGGGCAGGGCGGTTGGGGTGGCCCAGGGCATTGTGGGTAGGGTGGTGGGGGTGGCCCAGGGCACTGTGGGTAGGGTGTCCGCAACGGCCCAGGGCATTGTGGGCAGGGCGGATGGGGTGGCCCAGGGCACTGTGGGTAGGGTGTCCGTGATGGCCCAAAGCATTGTGGGCAGGGTGGTGGGGGTGGCCCAGAGCACTGTGGGTAGGGTGTCTGCGATGGCCCAGGGCATTGTGGGCAGGGTGGTGGGGGTGGCCCAGGGCACTGTGGGTAGGGTGTCCGCGACGGCCCAGGGCATTGTGGGCAGGGTGGTGGGGGTGGCCCAGGGCACTGTGGGTAGGGTGTCCGCAACGGCCCAGGGCATTGTGGGCAGGGCGGATGGGGTGGCCAAGGTCACTGTGGGTAGGGTGTCCGCGACGGCCCAGGGCATTGTGGGCAGGGCGGT